GTTAACTCTCATATAGGACTATGTAGTTCTCTCTCTCTGTATTCGATTGGTTCATTCTATTGAATTTGTAATTCATCGTCTCATCGTTATATAATTATGTACATTCATGTATAACATTACGTGTATTCTAGTATAACATTATGTACATTCTTGAACAGCGAGTTTTTTTTTAAAGAAAAAACTACTGCCATTCACTGGGGAGGAAAATTTCAAAAAAAAAAAAAATTAAAACGACATCGTTTTGCATCTGGGCGCATAGTGCAACGCGCGCCGTGGTGTAGGATATAAATTGCCCACGTACATTCACCCAATTGAATAGTATATTCAAAGCATGATTGATTTGAATCCGTGTTGACTGGTGCAGCAAGTGGATGGTTTAGTTTTCTTCCCTGCAATCCGTTGGCGTTACTTGTAAAATTTCCAATCTTTAATTTAATTTTGTCTTTATAGCCCCATACTAGTCCAACGATCAATCTCATAACCATACGCATCAGATCATTATTAGTCCGATCCCCTCATTGATTGCACCAGGCAGTTAGAGAGTTATCCTTGTAATACGGGTAAACGAGGACCCTACTTAATTACACATTACGTTACAATATTCAGTGTTTTGGGTGAAATATGTCTTGTTACTTTAATGCAATTGACAAAGGATCATAAGAAGATAAATCAATTATAGTGGACTAACTCAAATCAAGAATGTTACGTTAAAAAACAGTTTTCATGAAAGATTGAACGTAAAACATTATAGTTGCTAAACTAATTATGTCTGACCAGTTTGGTTGGAATTATTTCTAACTCAATTATTCTATATTGGTGAAACTTGAGTAGGCGAAAATAACACGTACCAGTATTTTTAAAATTGGTATGTCAGAAAATGAATGTTACGGTACTCCTCGTTTTTACATATGCCTGAGCTAATATTAGGTGAGGCTTTCAATTGCGCCCCCACCCAAGTACCTGCCGTTCCTAAATCAGAACAATTAATGATAAATTAATGGACCATCCACCACATTCTTGTCCACACACAGTATGTTGAGAGAGAGAGAGAGAGAGTGAGCAGTGTCTGAAATAATCTTGAAAAGTTGCTTCACGTTCACACTTCAATTCACCTTCAATAATAGTTCAATCAATCCCCCGCCCAACAACTATATACTTAATTGAGAGAATTGAAGTGTCCTTTTTTAAAAGAAAACAAAAATTAAATTGAGTGAAGACATAAATGGGAGTGGAAATGGAGGATAATAAGCATGGAGGAGAATCTCCGGCGAAGGCGGAGAAAACCACAACAGTAATGAACGGCCATGATGAGTCGTCGGTTATTGAAGAACCGGCGCCCAAGTACCGAGGAATCAAAGCCATGCCCTTCATTATAGGTAGGTTTTTTACAATTAATTAATAATTATGATTAGCAGTACTACGTATGTATAGTATACGAGGTTGTTGATTTTGGGTGTTTAATTATTTAAGGGAACGAGACATTCGAAAAGCTGGGAGCAATAGGCACGCTGTCCAACCTGTTAGTGTACCTCACGACAGTATTCAACTTGAAGCACATAACGGCGGCGAATCTTCTCAATGTCTTCAATGGAACCACCAACTTCGCCACCATCCTCGGCGCTTTCATTTGTGACACCTACTTAGGCCGCTACAAAACCTTGGGAATCTCCACCGTTAATTCTTTCCTGGTACATACTAATTAAATCCCGCTTAAAATAAGATATAAGTTCTTAAATAAGTTCTATCAAACAGAGTCATAACACTATGTTTTTGTTTTGAAGGGATTAATGATGATAGCATTGACGGCAGCAGTGAAGAGTCTGCATCCTCCGCGGTGCACAAAAGGCGGCGGGGAGTGCGTGGAGCCGACGAGGGGGCAGATGGGGTTTCTCCTCTGCGGGTTCGCCATGTTGACGGTGGGAGCCGCCGGAATCCGGCCGTGCAACTTGGCATTCGGGGCGGACCAGTTCAACCCGAAGACAGAATCAGGGAAGAGGGGCATCAACAGCTTCTTCAACTGGTACTTCTTCACCTTAACTTTCGCGCAGATGATGTCGGTGACGCTGGTGGTTTACATTCAATCCGAGGTTAGCTGGCCCATCGGACTGGGGATTCCGGCGCTGTTCATGCTGATTTCATGTGTTGTGTTCTTCGTGGGTGATAGAATATATGTGAAGGTGAAGCCGGAAGGTAGCCCCTTCACTAGTATAGTCCAAGTTCTGGTGGTTGCTGCTAAGAAGAGGAACTTGAAATTACCACAACACCCTTCTCTCTCTCTCTTCAATTACATCCCTCGCAAGTCCATCAATTCCAAGCTTCCCTATACAAACAAATTCAGGTAATTAATATATATAATATAATTATCCTAGTTACTAAATACTCACATTATGTTTATTAGTTCTAACATTTTAATGTGAATCAAAATTAAAATAAAATTAAACAATCTGATCTTTTGAATTGGTTGTTCTAACAAGTAACATGCATTGATTCATCGATATATCTTACTTCATTTAGATTTAAGCATACATTCATGCATACACTTTTGCTTCCAACTTTTTAACTAACACGCTTCACGCATGCAACATGACACAATGTCATTGTGATTTAAAATTAAAAATTATTCACTTTTATTCGTTTTTAAAGTAATATAATATATTTTTTTTCGTCACCTAAGATAATGCAATAGAAGTTTCTATTCAATTCAACTTGCATCACATTAATGAAGTCAAAAGTGGTTGGGAAATTAAACTTGCAAGGTAATAACATCAACCTAACCAATTAATGGTGTAGCAGCGGTCCAATTAGGTTAAAGTAGCTAATTGCTCGAGGTGATGATAAATTAGTATACTAACCTTTTGTTTGTGTCGTCCACATGAGCACATGCATACATGAAACCAACGACACTGACAGCTAGCCTAGCTAGCTTTTTCAACCTAATTAAATCACATGATAACAATGTGGGATGTTTGGTAAATAGTTATTAACGGAAAATTGTTAGCTGATTGAGTTAGTGTATTTGATTAGTTGATAATATTAATTGTAGAAAGATGTTTGGTAAATTAACTGATAGTTAATTTGCATACAAAATGATTTTCTCAAAAAATTTATCAAAAAAAACTGATTTGAGTAGCTTTTTAAATCTTAGTATTTTGAAGTAATAAGTTATTACAAAAAATTAATTAATAAAACACTTATATTGGTTGGTTAAACAAATTAAAATTGACTAATAGGTTAACTATTTTACCAAGTGCATGTATGGTTGACTATAAGTAACATTATTGTTGTGTTTAAATATTTCAAGCCGTGCATATTTGACTATAAGTAACATTATTAATATTTTGCATGACATTAGCTAGTATGACTAACGTAAAGTTTGATTCAAATATGTTTACGTTAACTGGCTTGATTGACGTAAATAACTGTGCACTCCCATCTCTTAACAGAGGTTGAGGTATGAAAAACCAATTTGGCCAGCACTTTATCCTGACCCAGTGCAAATATTAGTCTAAGTATGGTAAGGTGTCTCCTACTACTCAGGAAGATTGACCAAAAAAAATATGTTAATATTGGCACTTTACAATTTGCGTCTTTGACTCGCTAATTGTGTGTTTTGACCAGCCAATCACTGATCTGTCGCAATTAACGCCTGCACTTTTATTTGGTTTATTAAAAAATAATACGTACAGTAAATATTAATTTGCAGTTGTATGTTTTCTGCAGATTTCTTGACAAGGCTGCTATAATGACAGAAGAAGACAAAGTGGGAGAAGATGGATCATCAGCTTATCCATGGAAGCTGTGCAGCATGCAACAAGTGGAAGAGACGAAATGTGTGTTTAAAGTGATCCCAATCTGGGCAGCCGCCATAGTGTACCATGTTGCCATTTTAGAACAGCAACAATATGTCGTGTTCCAAGCGCTGCAATCCGACAGACACCTAGGATCCTCCTCCTTCCAAATTCCGGCCGCCACCTACACCATTTTCTCAATGCTCAGTCTCACTCTCTTCCTCCCTATCTACGACCGAATCATCGTCCCGTTTCTGAGAAGATACACGCGGAAAGAGGAAGGCATCACTCTTCTGCAGCGCATGGGGATCGGCATTTTCCTCACCGTGGTGGCATCCTTCATCTCCGCCTTCGTGGAGGAGCGCCGCCGCAGCGTCGCGCTCAGCAGGCCGATGCCCGGGGTGACGTCGAAAGGCGCCGCCATTTCTTCCATGTCGGCGCTGTGGTTGGTCCCCCAGCTCTCCCTGGCGGGGCTGGCGGAGGCGTTCACGGCCATCGGACAGGTGGAGTTTTACTACAAGCAGTTCCCGGAGAACATGAGAAGCGTCGCCGGGTCCTTTTTCTTCTTGGGGATGGGGGCCTCCAGCTATCTCAACAGCTTCTTGATCTCCATTGTACATAGAACCACAGAAAACGCCAAAACTGGAAACTGGTTGCCGGAAGATCTCAACAAGGGAAGATTAGACTACTTCTATTTCATGATCACAGGCCTGGGAATCTTAAATGTTGTGTACTTCCTAGTATTTTCCAGGTGGTATGAGTACAAGGATGGAACTGAAGGAGCCATTAAAGATACTGAAATGGAACCAAAGAATCTTGACAACAAACATGCAGTTTAGTTTAAGATGGCTGTTGGATTCTGGTATAGGATAGTTTGAATCTGACAGTTAGTCAGTTATTGTCCCTTATCAAATGAGGATCTCTTATTAGGAATCATCATCAAGATTCCATTCTTAAACAATAAGTGACTTTGTTAGGATAGAACTTAACTATCCCATGTAAATTCTATTCTAACAAAATCACTTGCTGGTTAAGAATGGAATCTTTATGATGATTCCTGATATTATGTGCATGTCACCCTGTATTAATAATGAATATTTTATTATGAGAAAATGGCATATTTATTCCTGAGTTGTATTTGAGGTTGACAAAGTGGTGTTTGTACCATAACTTAACCTGTTACATGATAATCATGAAAGCAGAGAAGACAAGTATAGGCAGACAATAAAACTACTATATTTAATGTTAAATTGTTTTCCACTTCAGGGCATTGTTGTTATGTTCTGGCCCTTCTGGGTGAAGGAAATAGCAGGGGGAGATGGGATGAAAAGTAAATATACTAAATGAAACCAGAGAACTAGAGCTAGGCCAACTTGATACATGGCGGCTTACGTCTTCGTTCTAAGCTCGCTCGCTATCACCTTAAACGGTGTAGGCTTGCTGAATTGTCTCTATATCAAGACCTTTCAGTTTCACCACGGATTCCACGTGACCTTTTAGCGTATGCAGTTCGCGTAATCTGGACAGAATTAACAGTTCACGCGTTAAATCAAATCAAAGATTCAAAGCAACTTTTTTCTAAACATCAATTAGGTAGGTAATAGGTATAAGGTACCTGGCAATTTCAGCTCTCCTTTTTGCTTCCTCGGCCAGCTGATTAAGTTCACTGAAATTAGTTGCCTCGTTAAACAATTTGGTGTCGGGAACTTGCAGGCCATGAAGTGTCCTCTGCGCGTGCGCCCATTGCAGTTCACGTTGTTCTTTGCCGAAATCCTTTTTCCTGGTGAAAGCAATCTGTGGAACAAGAAAGCCACCGGATGAGGATAGACTAGGGTAAGAAACAATAAAAGTAACTAGATTTATCCTTCTCCAGCTTGAATCGTACCCTTTGTTCAAGAACCAAATCCCATGCCTTCCCACTAAGGGCATAGCGGGTGAAGAACTTAATGAAATCAAGGGGGATGTAGAAAATAAGATTGTAAAGCCAAATAACCCCAGCCCAACCCCAACCAATGCCTTCAATCGCCGCAAAGCTCCAATTCGCGTAGACAGCAATTAGAGTAGCAACCTGTTAATGATGAAGTATAAAGATAAGGGTGTCCGAACTGTTTAAATCAAAAGAGAATCAGGATAGATAGGTTGCAGAAGAATAGAGCAAATGGCTTACTAGTTGAGCAATCACAAATGCAACAACAAGAAATACACCAGGACGTTCAACAAATGACCAACTCCGTGATCTCGTGACAAATATCAGTGCCTGACTGATAGTGCTAACTTGAAGGTAGATCGCAGATGCAAGCTTCCTAAAGTCATCAGTAGCCGTCTTCTCAAGTGTAGCCACGCCAAATGTTCTCTGGCCATTCACCAAAAATGGTCACTTTTTCGTTATAAACTTAGCAAGATAAACATATATTTGAAAACAAGGGTAAGAAATGAAATAAATTATATATATGAAGAATGTTTATACGTATACTTTGGAGGTTCAGTCTGGCCAGAACAAAGCCATTAACAGCAACTAAATGATTATGGAAAAAATTATGAATGCATTTAGTAACCACAATTTGAAAAGCCCAGAGTATTTATATTGATAAATATAGGTTTGCTCACCGGGAAGAAGTTGGTTTTATACGCTACCCAAAAGAATATGACAGTCATCATTGCCAAGTAACCGCCAAGAATAACTCCGGTAGCAAAAATCTCAGCCAGCTTCCAACTGTCAGGAAGAGGGGATGGTTTCACCCTGTCTTTTGATATTGTCATAATAGTACCTAGACAGTAATGTGCTAGTCAGAGGTCAAAAATACACTGCAAAAGTTGCTGCACAAGACATACATACTCGTTTATGATTTTTACTTGTATATCACATGATGTTAAATAGTACAAGTGCTCAACTGTACGGTGAGAGTTGAGACACAACCAATGCTAAAAGGGGCTTTAGTATCATATTTAATCTTTTTGAGAAAAGTCAAGAGAGAGAACTAACCATCATTCAGAATAGCAATGATAAGAACCATGAATGGTGGGAAATCAAATCTCCATATTAGAGCCAGCAGCATGAAACCAAGCTGTCATATCAAGTCATAAACTTATAACAGAAAGAAATCAGAAAAGTGATTTAATGAATGACATGCAGATAACCTCCTCCGGTGAGATGTGTAAAGAAAAGGAAGAAAATAAGAAAGATGTCTAACACAACATACCACTATACGAATTGTGATAGAAACAGCATAAATCTGCCCAAAAAAGAGAGATAGTAAATGAGCGCTAGCAATAAGCATGTAAGTCAACTCAGAAAGCACTTAAAAGCTTATTTAAGAGCTCAAGACAGTCATCAAATTCCACAGCACAATGGCCATGTAGAAATACGTTACTTTCAATTACGAATCATATGACTACCAAAAAGCCAACAGCTAACCGTGTAGTTTTTCATCCTCTGAAAGATTGCTCGACTGGTCAAAACAGCACTGATGATGACACTGAGACCAGGTTCAGTAAGAACAATATCAGATGCACTGCGTGCTGCATCAGTTGCATCAGCAACAGCTATCCCTATATCAGCCTTCTTTAAAGCTGGAGCATCATTGACACCATCACCAGTCATTCCACAGATATGCTTCCTTGCTTGCAAGCGCTTCACTATCTCATACTTGTGCTCTATATCAATTATCCAAGACAACCACCAAATCAGCAAACGCAATTTAATCACATGGACCAAGTTATCTGGTAGAATGTGCAATAAATTTTGCAATCAAGTTGACAAAAAAATGTACCGGGGAAAACACCAGCAAAACCATCTGCCTTCTCTATCAGTTCATCAATAGGTAATGCAGCAATTGACTCATCCTTACTCTGTCCCAGCAAAGAAGATGAAGGATACATATTTGTACCCATTCCCAAACGCCGCCCGGTTTCTTTTCCAATTGCTAGCTGATCACCTGTCAAATATCCAAGCATTAATAACAAACATGCAGAAGAGTCACCACTTTTCAAATTTGGTATATTAACAGTTTAAGATGCCAGCTTTTGACATAAAATGAAAATCAATTGAGAAAAAATAAAGTCGCAATAGCGATGTAGGATATATTAATAACAAATAAATTATGTATGACTGTATCACATGCTATCGTTCTGCCAAAACTAGTGATATTTACCAATAATGCAAAATGTATTTCATCATCAGGTTAAAAACTTCCAACACACAACACATCATGCTTCATGACCTAATATCACAAACCATAACTCACCAGTAATCATTTTAACATTAACTCCAAGATTCAAAGCCCTCCTGATGGTCTCAGCACTATCGTGCCTTGGTGGATCAAACAAAGGCATGAGTCCAATGAATTGCCAGGGTCCTCCAGCACTCTCTTTCCTTCCATCAGGAACCTCCTGCTCACAAATTTAGACAATATTAAATGAACAAAAAGTCACTGGGGTGTAAAATATTCAATTTGTATAAAGCATGAAAGCAGGTGAAATGATAACTATAGCCCAAAAAGGGGGGAGGGTTTACCTGATAGGCTACAGCAAGTGATCGCAAGCCTCGTTCTGCAAACTTATCAATCACGGTATGAACCCTGCGCTCTATCTCCGATCTGTTGTGTGCGAGATTTAAAATCTAGAACACAATGTGGTGAAAAGATATTAGGTAATCAACTTTAGAGTTACCAACATAGAAAGAAATTTATCCAGAATAATACCTGCTCCGGAGCACCTTTGCTGACCCTGTGCATTTTTCCTTCACTGTCAAGATAAGTAAGTGCTGTTCGCTTGTCGGTGGGGTTGAATGGAAGGAAATGTATTTCTCGAATGCCAGCACGTGCCTATTTATAGTAATTATTCAAGCCAATTTTGTAGCTAGAGAACACAACCCATCAACACAATAGACAAGGTAGAACAACCTATAGTTACCTCCTTTGGATCAGCAAGCATCCCAACAATAGCAGCATCAATTGCATCTTGGTTTTCCGTTCTTGATGCTCGAGCTGCCATCAGAACAACAGTATCTGGATCGACTCCCTTGGCAAACACCTGATCATAGAATAAAAGTAATTATGATCTGTTTCCAGAGTGGACCCCACCATCAGCATTGATTGACACTCGCATTCTAACCTCAATAAGATTCTTGTCAACAGTAAGCTTGTTCAATGTCAAAGTTCCTGTCTTATCACTGCAAAGAACATCCATTCCAGCCATCTCTTCTATAGCTGTCATCCTTTTTGTAATAGCTCCCTGCACAATTAATCATTACGAGAGAGCTGTAGAATTACTGAGCCAACGAAACTCATAGTAACCAAGGATATTAACAAACCTGTTGAGCAAGACGATGCGAACCAATTGCCATTGTTACTGAAAGGACAGTTGGCATGGCAATTGGAATTCCACCAATGAGCAGTACAAGAAGATTGTCAATCCCAGGACGATACTTTCGGTGTTGGATAGGATACATGACAATAATCTCTATAATCATGCCCACAGCAATAGAGCAAATGCAAAAGTTTCCAATTGCAGTTAAAACCTGATAAAAATAGCAAAGTTCCATTTTGATATATTTGATTTGGAAAAAAGCAAGTAAATAGCATATACAAACTAAACCAATATGATATAATCCGGTAAACTTGCCTTTTGGAAGTGGCCCACTTGGTTGGTAGAATCAACCAGGTGTGCGGCCTTTCCAAAAAAGGTATGAACACCCGTAGCAATGACAATGGCCTCAATCTCTCCTTGTTTGCAAGTAGAACCAGAGTAAACACCATCTCCAGGACCTTTAGTTACAGGAAGAGATTCACCTGTCAATGCAGACTGCAAATTTCAAAGGAAATATTAGATGTATATTTCAATAGTAAAAACAAAGAAGGCAGGTGAGCAACCAGCCACTATCATAAAAGCATAATCACCTGATCAATTTTCAATGGATCTCCTTCAAGTAGACGAGCATCAGCAGGAATTATATCTCCCAGTTTAACACTGACAATATCCCCAGGCACCAAAACAGCAGCATCTTCCTCACTCCATCTTCCATCTCGAAGGACCTTCAACAACAAAAGCAAACAGTCAGAAGACCAGCATAGCTAGGAGCATAAAATAAATAGCTGATTAATTGTTCTCAAGCTGGATTAATCACCATAATAATGAGTATGAGACTAAAACAAATTACTAAACTAAGACCATAGACTATTCTATGACAAAGAAAGTCAATTTATACACTGTATCCTTACCTTGGCTTTTGGAGCTAGACGAGCCATGAGAGCTGCTGCTGCATTGCCTGCATTGTTCTCCTCAATGAAACTAATGGTGGAGTTTATCACCAGCAATGTAATAATCCCAACAAAGTCCTGCCAATCTGGGGGCTTTCCCTGCAAAATTGAAGATATATTCCAATGAGTCCAAACCAACAGTTTAAATAAACAACCAATTCAACTAAATTTGAACAAGAGCCTCACCCCTCCATTTGCAAGTGCGATTGCCATAATTGCTGCAGCTTCCATCACCCACGAGAGAGGATTCCACATGAAGCCCAAGAATTTCAGGAATTTGCTATCCTGGGGCATAACAATTATTGCAACAGTTAAATTGACACAGGGATCAATGATAAGTGGCTACTGATTTCCAGAGCAAATAAGCAATTTAAAGGGTAAATTGCATACACACACAAAAGGAAAGAGAGAAGTAAGACCATCTGATTTGGAACCAAATACGCAGCCATAACAAACGGCAAAGGTGGAAATAAATTAGTCTCCAAAAAAGAAGGTAAACTATAAAGAAACATAACTCCACAATCTGAGGTGAACACTAAATCTTAAAAACCAGAGACATAAAAGCATATATTAAAGCTGAAAAAATGAAACACAGCATCAAATATACAGTTCAAAAGGTTAATAAACTGTAAATGATGAGGAAAACTAAAGTATCTGAAGAAACGCCGTTTGGCACCTTCTTCTCCTCAAGCTTGTTGTGCCCAAAAATGGCCAACCTCTCTTGGGCTGCCTGACTAGTAAGACCCTCCTTTGTACATCTGAGATTCTCAAACACCTCCTCAATGGGTATATTTTCCTGCAGCCAACCAAACCAGAATTGCAAAAAAATATCAAAAACCAAACGGAATTTAAGCCACCCAGAGCACGAAATCGAGATAAAAAACGAAGCTTTGCAGATCCATTACCAAATCAACCGTTTCCTTCAGCACAGCGTCAAGAACTTCAGGCTTCTCCGCCATCTTCCTACTCCCAATCTATCGGCTTCAGCTTTCTTTCCGTCTACCAAAACGCTTCCTTCCGGATCAGAACCCAGGATGCAGCAGAAGCATGAGAGCACACACAATAACACTCTAGAAAACCAAACGTTTTGGGGATTTTCTTTTGGATATGAAGGCTAGAGTTGAGTAGTCGGCCCACCAACACGAATTCACCAAACGTACAAAAGCAGCGGAATTGCTGGCAGAAAGATCAGTGAGCAGTTACGCATACAGTCCGTACAAGTGTAGCATTATTAATACTCCCGCATTACTCCTATATCCTAACAAGTAACATATGTCACAGATTTCGCTCTCTCACCCAGATCCCTATTTACTTTCGGAGACTCGGAGTATATACTATAGATTAACCACAATTTGCAATTTTAGCCCCTGAAATTGTAGAGTAATAATGAATTGAGAGGGTGTATGGTAAATAGTTTTTATTTTTTTGAATGATACTGACTCTATTATAATATAGTATTCTACTGAGATTTAAACTCACAACTTTTCGTATGAGAGTCTAATTTTGGTGCTATTAGATCACAATGTTTTGGCTGGTAAATAGTTGTTAGTTGATTGGATTAGTGGATTTGATTAGTTGATAACATTAGCTTATTGTAGAAAGTTGTTTGGTACATTAGTTATTAGCTGATAGCTTATTAAATGTAAAATGACTTTCTCGAAAAATTGATAGAAAAAAGTTTTTTTGAGCAACTTTTTTTAATTTTAACATTTTAATTGTTACAAAAAGTTAATTAATCAAACATTTATATTGATTGTTTAATCAAGTCAAACAATTAATAGTGATCAAATACTCTATAAACTAACTATGTTAGCCTTCCTCTTTTGTTTTTTTGTTATAAGTGTTATCTTTTTTTTTTCTTACCTCTAAGTTGTCACTAAAGCCATGTTTTCAATTATTTTATTAATGATTTTATTAATATTTATCAATTATCAATTATTTTTCAATATTATTAGTTGATTATACTATTAATAAAAATAAAAACTCACATTTTAACTTTCCGTCCAAAACAGTCCCATACTATAAGGTTTGCATAATATATTGTAAAATAGTGTAATATAATTCCTAATGTAATATATTGTTTCATACTTTCATATTCGTACTAGAATTCGACATTAGAATTCTTATTCTAATATTGTAAAATAGTGTAATAAAATTCCTAATATAATATATTGTTTCATACATTCATATTCGCACTACAATTCTACATTCAAATTTATATCTAATATTGTAAAATAGTGCAATATAATTCCTAATATAATATATCTTTATATTGTGAGTACATTTAATTTATTTAAAATCCTATGTTGTATCTAATAACACAATGTTTTATAATATTTTGTTGGTAAAATATTGTGACGATCAATATAAACAAACAATTCCATATTGCAAGAGAACAAATATTATATTTCACGGTGAATTTTGAGGATTAATGTTTTATGCCATGCATCACACTGATGGAATATATATATATATATATATATATATATATATATATATATATATATTCAATTATTTGTAATACAAATATATAACTTTTATTTATTTACACATTTTTAAAATTAAAACTCACTTTTAGAAAAATAAGAGAATTTGCATTTCACTCTAATTAGAACAAAAACGAAAACAAAAAAAAAAATGATTTGCATTTACAAAAATAATAACAATTTTGAAACACTATATTTATTAACTTTAATGTGGTTTTCAAAAATGTATGAGATACAATAATCTTTCTTCTCGTCAAAACCAAAACAGATAGATGGAAACAGACTGAGAGCAATTACAAACATTCTATTCAAATACAAAAAGAAAATGTTGAATTAAATATGGACAACATTATTCGAATTATGAAATGATGAGACAAGAAAAAAAGTGGTGAGATTTAGTGCTGAGTGTGATTTCCTCAATGTTGGATTTGTTCTGTCATGCCTATCCATTTATACTTTTTTTTCTGGACTGTCGTTTTTCTTGTGATTCAACTTTAGATTCCATTTGGTACGACACTTTATCAATTTTCTAACCACTACCTAAAGTATCACAGTATTATAAAGATTAGTAAACAAATAAAAAAAGTTTAGATCATTGTTTATTAGTTAAATGTTTTGAAAAGCATTACAAAAGGACATATCTTTGGCTTCCTTTTTACTGTGCTCTTGCTTTTTTTTTTTTTCTTTTTTTTTTTTAAATAAAAATATCTAGCAATATTTTTATAAAAATTATGATTATAATGTACAGAATATCGGTTTTGATAAAAAGGAAACATTTTTTCATTCTAAACATATTTTTTTTTTCAAAGTTCACATAAATAGATCAAAATCATTTTACACGGGTAATAGTTCACCATCACATGAATTTATCTGAAGCAAAACAAAACACGCCCATATTATCATATACCAAATTTGGTTAATTTGAGGGATGAGAAAATAATAACTTATTTTATGAATCTAATAAAAAAATTGCATTATTTTGTTATTAAATTAAATAAACTTTTTATAAGTAATAAATAATATTTGATTTATTGACTTATTCTTTATTTTGCCAATCGGGCTAAGATTTATTATTTGATTTTATCGTTTAGTTTTATTGTGTTGATGGGTTACCAACTTTAACGCAATTGATTAATATATTAATTTGATGGAATTTTTTGAGTATGCATCATGCATACTAATTCCATGATCTGAATGATAAATGAATAATAAATTTACTTGTCTTATTAGATTGTTTATTTGGCTTCTAAATCAGGTGTTCTGTAGTTTTTTTAAGACTTAATGAGTTTTAATTGTTTGAATACGTGTCATACGCATTGAACAATTAAGAGTTTTTTTCTAAAATGGTTCCTCGACTATCGCTCATTCTCAATTTTGCATTTCGACTTTTAATTGCACCCAATGTGGTCCCTTGACTTTTAAAAACTCTTTCAAATTGGTCTTCCGTTAGAAATTCCGTCTATTGAGTGTTAAAATGAAGGGCATTTTTATCTATTTACCTATTATATGCCTAATATACTCTAAAAAATACTCGAGGGACCATTTTGGGAACAGTCGAGGGATCATTTTGAGAAAAACTCATTTATTTATTTCCATTTTTTAAGACTATCAAATTAGAATTTCTATACATTTTTTCTTACAAATATAAATAGTTTAAACACAATCAAACCTCAAAATTTTAAACTTTTTCTACAAATTTTTCACACTCACACCCACATTGTGTGTGTGTGGCATACTTTTGTATGTGATTTAACTTGAAATTGATTGAAAATATTTTGAATGAAAATTGTATTTAATATATATATATATATATATATATATATATATATATATATATAAAGTTAGGTACAAATTCCGGACATCCAAATGTACCCATGTGTAAAAGTGCGAAGATTGACAAAAAAAAAAAAAAAAAAAAAAAGAAGACAAAGTTATATGAATTCCAATAGTTAGGTACGGCGTTTTGCAATTAAATTAATATGAGTATTACGTCTTTTCCAAAATTATACCCTCTCACTTTTATTTCATGATATGACAAACAAGGATTGACTATTTTCATCACGTGGATCTCATAAAATGTGTCTACATCAAAAATTTGTGAGAGAAAATACAAATTGAGAGTAAAAAATGAGAATACAGATAACATTTTCCAATTAATATTTATGTTCTTTTATTGTTGAAGTACTAGAGCAGTAATTAATTTTCACTAAATTCCTAGTTTGTATAGTACGTCCTAAATTTTCATGAAATTGCATAACAGTAGGGTGGGCAGTGGCCTACTGAGCTAGTCATGAAGGCCGCCGGCCGGCCGGCACGCACGACGTGTTACAGCTACAACTAACGGTAGTAAAACATGAACATCATATATTAACGTGTTTAAGTCAAGACATTTAATAAAGTGTTGATTGTTTGTTTATATAATAATAACATTAATTAATATTAATGTCGGGACCGGAAATGGTTGTGGTCCGAACTAGAATAATGGCTCTGCTTAGACCACGATTTGAACATAGCTTTCTATCTCGATCTATCTCGACCTTTAATTTGGAGTTATGCCCAAGTTGAAAGAAAAATGAATGGTGGAGATGCATGTGTTGAAGTGGTCCGAGCGACATTAATCCCCATATGGGACCACTTCGTAATATAAGAAATAATTAACTACATATTCCAAATAAAAAATAAACAATTAACTATTAACTACATAAACTGAAGCACTTGGTAATAATAATAATATAATAAGGGTCAATGTTGGTAAGGTTATTACATTTACATAGCCTGAAGCAAACATGTAATTTTATATTTTCAAATAAATATAACCTTAGTTATATAACTCGAACTAAACACCCAAGTGTAAATACATATTGTGACCCTAGCTAACATAGGACCGTAATAAGATAAATTGATATAAATTACCTATAGTTGATCGGCTTCAATCATTATTGTGTGGACTATGATTGCACAAGCTGTGTGGATCATGTTTTGTATATTATAAAATAACGTACATTTAATACAAAAATAATGTACTTTTAATATATTGATAATGTATATTGTATTAATGGAAAATATATTATTTGAGTATTGAAAGTATATTATTTTATATAATGTACAGTCAGTACACAAATAATGTACATTTAGTATATTAAAAATGTACTTTTTGTTATGGTTCACACAACAGTGTGTGGACCAATAATTTGCCGGTCGGACTCAATTGATAATGTCATTTAATGTACGATCTTGACGTGACAACTCTTTGCAATCGTTATACCTTACACCACGGCGCGCCTCCCAAAACGACATCGTTTTGGGAGCCGCGGTAGGAAGTTGTTGTGATTATGTATATTTATCCACACAATTATGTATATTTGTTCATACAATTATGTATATTTGTTTATACAGTTATGTACATTTTTTATACGATTATGTACATCCTTTTTATACAATTATGTACATCCAAATCAGAAAATTTGTGTGTATTATGTTAAGAGTTGATGTGTATTGTGTTAAAAATTTATGTTTATTATGTATTATGTTAGATTATGTGTATTACCTTTTAAAAAGAGTATGCATATTTTGTTATATAATTATGTACATTCATGTATACAATTATGTGTATTCTAGTATAACATTATGTACATTTTTGAACAGGGTTTTTTTAAAAGAAAAAATAACTGCCATACACTGGGACGGGAAATTAAAAAAAAATAAAATTTAAAACGACGTTGTTTTGCATCTGGACGCACAGTGCAACGCGCGCCGTGGTGTAGGATATAAATTGCCAACTCTTTGATAAGTCTTATAGCCCATGATTGATTGACTGGGCAGGTAGGCCCAAGCATTTGCATGGGCAGAGCGGTTGGGCTTAAGTTATGAGTTTTCATTAATAAGGTTTCTTGATCTTCAAGAAAGAGTCACCAGACGCATTAATGAAAATCTCGTAAACAATATCTCCCAAAAGTCAAAAATCGAAGTCAGCAAAACTATTCATGGTAATAAATAAATAAATATTATTAAAGAAAAATATAAAAGGAGTACAAGAGGACTAGAGGAGTGATCCAGCTACGTGCTTGTCAGAAATGATGCGTGAAGGCACAACCACGTAGCACCTATTACAAACAGAAAAATATTTCCAACTTGTGGTAACCCAAAAGCATCTAAAAAGTTAAAGTCTTACACCCTTACATGAGCTCGTTACATTTTGTTAAAATATTATTGATTTTTTACTTTATATTTAACAATAGTTAATAGTTAAATTACATACTTCTATGCATATATCCTTTTAAGTTAAAAAAATTATAAATAAATTACAATTTGCAATAAAAAAAGTTCATACAATAAATAATAACTTAGGCAAAGTTATAAATAATTTATCACAAACTAATATTGACGTAATCTTTCATATTATATTGATCATTCACAAGATTATAAAAAAGTTCATTATAAAACAATTCTATAGTAACATGATGCCAACTGATAAATCAACCATAATAATTTTTTTTTTTTTGTTGGTCTCCCTTATTAAAAAAAAAAGAAGAAGTTATGATGGAGGAATTAAACTCTTTTTTGAAGGGTAAAAAGAAAAGAAAAGAAAAGAAAGTTCTTAAAAGAAAAAGAAAGTCAGTCATTCATACTCCAAGAGTCACCACACGGGGCTGCCTGCACCCAAATTAGTTGGAAACTCAAAAGGGGCGACGGCATCGGGAGGGAGTCAGAGAACAGCCGCCCTCTCTAACCTTCTCTCTCGAATCCAAATTAGTTTTAATTTCTTCTCTTCACCAATCTTCGTTTCCGGTGGCTCATATATACACCATCTCAGGTACTTCCATTTTTTTGTTGACTCTTCTTCTTTGACTTGGTTTTTCGTTTTTCTGGTGGCTGAATTTCAGCTGCTACTGTGGCGAGTTTCTGGCCTCTTGGTTTTAATGCATTTATAATGGGTGATGGGTTTTGTCTGCCGACTCTTCTTCTTTGACTTGGTTATTCGTTTGTCTTGTTGTTCAACTAGTTCTTGGTTAAGCTGCGTATGCTTTTTGGTTTTTGGTTTTGGTATTTGCAATTTTGAATGTGGGATGTTTTTATTATCTGCTGAAACCGATAAAAAGTGGAGCTTTTTTGTTTTTGTAATTTAGAATGTGGTGATTTCCTATCGTGTATTGATTGCAGCAAAGATTAGAACTTTATGTATTTTTTTTTTTTTTTTTTTTTTTTTTTTTTTGTTTTTCTGGAATCAGATGTGTAAAGGTTAAAGTTTTTCCTAGATTTTTGTTGTATCCGTAGATGGAATGGGTAATTTTTCTGATTACATTAAAGTGAGCTGCGGAGTTAAGCCATTAATCATTATCTGCTTCTAAAGAAAAAGGCCATTATTGAGTATCTTTTTTTCTGCTCTGCCGTGTGTTTCTCTTTACTATACATATCTATCTATGATCTTCTATAAATTGGAACGACTTAGACAAGTATAATTTTGAGGATTGAACTTAGATCAGGCTAGACTTGCAGAACAAGGCTTCTCTTTACATGTCTATAACCTTCAATAAACAGAAATTTTCTGATTACTTGTCCCTGTGAACCACGTATTAATCATGCACTAGTTGATTATGTCCTCCTGGTATGGTAATATAACTATCTCTAGCAGTTTATTGCTGGGCAAGTTTTGTGCTGGCAATTTATTTTTATTTCATCTAAATTCCCTCCAATGCCTTCACATCTTGTATGGTTGATGAAGTAAACTTTGTTGCCTTAGGATTGTCATTTTAATGACTAAGGTTTCAATGCTCTTGCTTCTTGAAGTGCCAGAGTTTTTTTGGTATTACTTGCTGTAGTGTTAACTGATAAATATTTAAACCTAACAGATGTATCTTTGCTGTTTTAAAATTGTGTTTGCAGAGTATGATACGTGCAAAGCAGCTCGGCACCTTATCCCAATCTGCTAGGTCCTTCATCTTAAGTGGTTCAAAATCCAGTGTAGCAGATGGTTCATGTTCTTGTTCTGAGGATGAGAGCTCTATTTCTAGAAGGCCTCAGACAAAGAACAATGTTCGACATCTGGAAATCTCATCCACCTCAGTTTCGAAATCATCTGGAGGAGTAGGCTCCTTGATTTCAAGAGATGGTGTAAAAGGTGTGAACTTTCAGAAAAACGAGAAGCCTAACTACTCAGTTTCTGACCCACAAATTATACCTTACACTAATTCATCAAAGAGAGCAGATTGTGTTAGTTATGGCAGCTTGGAAGCTTCGGAGATTATGCATTCGTCACCTCCCATTTCGGACCAGTTTGTTAGGGCAGGTATTGCAGCAGTCAATTTTTTATCAGATTTGGTACATTATAAAATCCCAATGTCGGATGGCAATGAAGTACTTAAATCATCACCAAATTGTGTGGTTGAGCGCACAAAGCCAATTTCTACTGTGAAACCCTCAACCGTAAAATCTTTCAGAAAGGACCAGGTTTATGGAAAAGCTCCTGCCATTACACCAGCAGCATCAAGCTCTGTAAATAATCCCAGTGATACAGGAGGCAGAGTTGAGAAATATGGTTCAGTGAAAGGCACTAGTTCTGTTCCAAACAATAGAATGGGAAATTTTGTTGAAGATAGACATGCATTTGCCTCGGATTCGCATGACAGAAAGAGGACAGTCCCTCCAAAACCTAGACCTTATTCAGCCCGTTTCAGAACATATGGTCAGGCTTCCCATGGAGAGCGTATAAATGAAAGGCCAGAATGTTTATCCCGGCCCATTCGAGAGACTAAAGTTAATACCGAAGTTGCTACAAGGTCCAGACAATTTTCAAGTTCTGCCTCTCTTGTAGATAGAGTTTCTCACATTTTACAACATATGAGTTGGGGCCCCGAGACAGAAGATGCTCTTTATAAACTCAATCGTCCATTGGATGCCTATCAAGCAAACCAAGTTCTCAAACGACTCCAAGATCATTCAGTGGCACTAAGCTATTTTTACTGGTTGAAATCCCAACCCGGATTCAAGCATGATGGTCATACTTACACCACCATGGTTGGCATCCTTGGACGTGCTAGGCAATTTGAGGCAATAAACAAATTGCTTAGACAGATGGTGGGTGAAGGGTGTCAACCAAATGTTGTGACATATAACCGTCTTATTCATAGTTACGGACGAGCAAACTACTTGAACGAAGCATTGCGTGTCTTTAACCAAATGCAGGAAGCAGGGTGTGAGCCTGACCGTGTTACCTATTGTACCCTCATTGACATCCATGCGAAGGCCGGATATCTTGATGTTGCCATGGACATGTATCAAAGGATGCAAGAGGCTGGGCTATCTCCCGACACATTCACTTACAGTGTTATTATTAATTGCCTTGGAAAAGCAGGCCATTTGGTTATTGCTCATAAGCTATTCTGCGAAATGGTTGATCAGGGGTGTGTGCCAAACTTGGTGACTTATAATATTATGATTGCCTTGCATTCTAAGGCAAGGAACTACTCTAATGCATTGCAGCTTTATCGTGACATGCAGAATGCTGGGTTTGAACCAGACAAGGTAACTTATAGCATTGTAATGGAGGTTCTTGGCCATTGTGGTCATCTACAGGAAGCAGAGGTGGTGTTTTCGGAGATGAAGAGGAAAAACTGGGCACCTGATGAGCCTGTATATGGCCTCCTGGTAGACCTTTGGGGAAAGGCTGGTAATGTAAAGAAAGCGTGGGAGTGGTATCATGCCATGGTTAATGAAGGTTTACGTCCAAATGTGCCTACTTGCAACTCCCTTCTTAGTGCTTTCCTTAGGGTACACCAATTGTCAGATGCTTATAACTTGCTTCAAAGCATGCTCAATTTGGGCCTAAATCCCTCTTTGCAAACCTACACCCTTCTCCTTAGCTGCTGTACGGAAGCCCAAACATCATTTGACATGGGATTTTGTTGTGAGCTTATGGCAGTCACCCGTCACCCAGCTCACACGTTCCTGCAGACCATGCCATCTGCTGGACCCGATGGGCAGAATGTGAGGGACCATGTTACCAGCTTCTTGGATTTGATGCACAGCGAGGACAGGGAGAGCAAGAGGGGGCTTGTTGACGCGGTTGTTGATTTCCTGCACAAATCAGGACTCAAGGAGGAAGCCGGGTCTGTCTGGGAGGTAGCTGCACTGAAGAACATCTATCCAGACGCATTGAGAGAGAAAAGTTCCTCTTACTGGCTTATTAATCTTCACGTGATGTCTGAAGGAACTGCCGTGACTGCTCTGTCAAGGACACTTGCCTGGTTCCGGCAACAGATACTTGTCTCGGGGATTCACCCTAGCCGCATTGATATAGTAACCGGTTGGGGGCGAAGGAGTAGGGTGACAGGGACATCACTAGTGAGACAGGCGGTGCAGGAGTTGCTCGACATATTCAGGTTTCCATTTTTTACAGAAAACGGGAATTCTGGGTGCTTTGTCAGCTGTGGAGAGCCCCTCAATACATGGTTGGTCCAGCCATACGTTGAACGGATGCATTTGCTGTAATCTATATGATGTCTAGGCTTCTTATTCTAAGAGGAACTAGCATTTAGTTAGTTTATTATTCCTATTATTATTATGTGCTGAACTCAAGTTAGGTTTCTTGCTTTCTTGATCTTGCTGGCATGCAGTTTCTGCTATGTATCCTTCAAGGTTTGTTGGAAGGATTTTGAATGCCAAAGTTTTGAATGTTAATGTGTGGAGTGTGTTGAAGATGTGCAGCCCAACCTGTTGACAACAAAGTGTGACAACCTAATTAGCATGATAATTAACTTCTATATCTATGTGAATTTTTTTTTTAGTGTAGCCCAGTGTTTCTACCGTCAAACACAATGACTAATCTCCTTGTTGAATTGTAGATACTTCTATTAGGTGGGACACTTGTCCTGAAGATTTAAGGGTGCTCCATACCCAAAGTCGATGATTGAATTCATAACTTTTTGTTAAGGATGGATGAGTCTTTTTCACTCAACCACACTCTCAGGTTTCTATATGTATGTCGTCAATTATGATATAAAATATCTTTTATTATTGATGATAGATTGTCAATTATGATGTAAAAGTTCTCTAATCGCTAATGACACATTACCAATCATGATGCAAACGCTCTCTTATCGTTAATGACACATTGTCAATCATGATGCAAAAGCTCTTTTATCGCTTTTAAGTTTTAACATATGCAAAGTGAGTTTTTCTCGTTCCTATACTATTTAATTTTTAATGTAGTTATCAATTAACATTTTTTTAAATAAACGTTAAAATTGATTGAGTATGCACTTTTAGGGTCTTTATTCTTTATCATCAGAAAAATAAATCACACCTTAACCACTCCATCTTTTATAACGTTTATAATTTTTTGTACCCGCATTCAATTTAATGTCTAATTTAGATATTTTGTCATTTTCGTATATTTTTCTATAAATGAGAGATTTTCCTTTTTAGTGCAAAGTGGTCCTGCTGTCACAAGTATTTTGTTTTGATAAATTTCACCAAATCGATTATTAGTATACTTCAATATACACGCTTTATTAAATTAATCAGCAAAAAGCTTCACTAAATATACAACATTAAGAAAAGTTGGTCCAACCGTCCAACAATAATATTTAGGCCAATTAAACTAAAGATGTGGTTGATTTGTGAAATCAAAAGCTTGAATCTTTTTGATTGAAAGTAATGTTTGTAACTGTTATTTAAAGATGTATTATACAAAATTTATTTCTAACAATCACAATTCTTTAACTTTTTTTTTTTTTTTTTTTTTCATTTTAAAATGTATAGACACAAATTATCCTTAACAATCACGTAGCTTTATTATGATTATTTTAAAACCAATCATGTACCTTTAACTTAATTCCATGAAATTCAAAACGTTAAAGTTGAGCAAAAGCAAGAGAATGCTTTAAGCAAAATATATTATAATACATTTAATTTAATTTCTAGCAAGTATTTGCATCACATACTTTATTACAGAGTATTATTATTATATTTATTGACGCTCACTGTACAATAATAACAATATTGACTAATAATACATTTTGGCAGCCATATTCTAAAAGTATGATAGTGCAAAAGATACTAAAAATTTGTTACAAGTATATTTTAGAGATTATGGCCCTGTTCGGTAAAATGGATGTTAGCTGATAGCTGTTTGCTGTTAGCTGATTGTGTTAATTAGAGAGTATAAATAGTTGATATTAGTTGATGGTAGAAAAATGTTTGGTAAATTAGCTGTTAGCTGATAGCTGTTTGATATAATTTATTTTCTCAAAAAGCGAATTGAAAAAGTTACTATGAGTAGCTTTTTTAATTTTAGCCTTTGGAGTTGTAAAAAGCTAATTAACCAAACATTTATATTGATATTTTAACCAAATCAAACAATTAATAGTGGTCAAATCAGTCAAAATTGACTTATAGGCAAATTTTTTACCAAACTGGACCTATATCCAACAAATAACTATAACTTATTTAGTTTATTATAAATGTGACGGTTCAAACTATAATATTTTAACATGTAGTTTGATTTTGAAATTGTTTAATTAATCTCTTTTATATATATATTAGATATTAGATGATGATGAAAACTTATAATTATATTCATGTGTAATAGCTCGTAAACTACATATGAAAGATATTCACACTAAAAAAATTATATGTAACGTCTCAACTAATATGATGTTAGTAAGAATCCTTTTTTGGCAATTCGTTATTATTATTTTATTATTATTATTATTATTATTATTATTATTATTATTATTCCGTAAATTTTTGGTGTAAAAAATACACATGCTTATATAGTAAATTTAGTTACAGACTTAGAATTGAAATTAAATATTTAAATTAAATTGTATAAAAATAAGGACAAAAATGGTGGTATAATAATGAAATGTGCTGTATTAATCTGGCAGCTGCTAATCAATCTTGGAAATTCCCATTTTGCCTTCTTTCTTACTTTCTTGGCCAACACAGTGCTTCAAACTCTGGACTCCCCAACTGCACACCTTCCCAGAACTCAACCACCCCGCCGGTTTGGTGTGATAGATAGATACAGAGGACGGCGGTTATAGTCGTACTGGATATATATACGGCGGTGCTCCGACTTCCCGATCGATCATCTTCTTGCTTCCGATTTCCTCTGCTGCTGTCTTTCTTCTTCTTGCACTTGTGAGTCTTTATCTTCTTGATATCGCATTACGCATATCTCTACGTACACAGACAGTTGTATAGATGCATGTGTAGAGTTTATGCAAATAAATTGATATAGAACAAATTGATGGGGCGCAAGAAGCGAAGCGTCGTTACTCACTCTAAACCCTCAGGTTCGCCGGCGGCGGGTGCGGCGGCCGCCGACGGACGAGCGCCGCCGCATGCACCGCTCGAATCGGAAACTCTAGTTGAATCGGAAGGCATTGCCTCGAAAGTTTATGCTAATATCAAGCTTGAATGCGAGCGGGCTCTCAACTCCCTTCGTATAGGGAACTATAACAAAGCCCTAAGGGTGTTGAAGGACTTGAGTTTGAAGCACTCTAGCTCACCTTCTGCTGCTCTGATTCACCGTATCCATAGCACGGTTTGCGTTAAAGTCGCCTCTATATTTGATGATCCCAATACGAAGCAAAAGCATATGAAGAATGCCATTGACTCAGCTAAGAAAGCAACAACAATGTCCCCAAACTCAATTGAGTTTGGACATTACTATGCGAATTTGTTGTATGAGGTGGCAAATGAGGGAAAAGAGTATGAGGAGGCTGTTCAAGAGTGTGAGAGGGCATTGGCAATTGAAAACCCTGTTGATCCTGGAACGGAAAGCGTAGTGCCGGAGAGTCAGCTGATGCCACCCACTGCGCAGAGTCGGATTATGCATGTGCAGAATGATCTTAGGAATTTGATTCAGAAGTCCAACATTGCTTCTATTTCTACTTGGATGAAACATTTGGGCACTGTGGACGAGAAGTTTAGGGTAATACCAATCAAGAGGGTGCCTGAGGACCCAATGGCAGTACAGGCAAAAAGGCCTAATGAGATTAAGAAGGCAACTAAGACACCTGATGAGAGAAGGAAGGAGATTGAGGTTAAGGTGGCTGCAGCAAGACTATTGATGCAGCAGAAGTCAGAATTGTCCCGGTTACAGAAGGATGGAGATAAGGGCTCACAGGAGGATGGAGATAAGGGCTCACAGGAGGATGGAGATAAGGGCTCACAGAAGGATGGAGATAAGGGCTCACCGAAGGATGGAGATAAGGGCTCACCGAAGGATGGAGATAAGGGCTTAGATCCGTCTGCAGCATTAGGGCAGAAAGGAAGTGAGAGAAGGAAGAGTGGTAAAGTCAGGAGGAAAGCATCTTCCACAGAGAGAAGGGACTGGGTCAAGACTTACTGGAATTCAATGACTATGGATATGAAGAAAGAATTGCTTAGAATCAGGATTTCAGATCTCGAGAGTCATTTCAGTTCATTGAAAAATGGCTTGGCAAGGGAAGTGCTATCTGAAGCTCTACTGTTTTCTGAAGTTAATAAAACATGGAAATTTTGGACATGTTGCCATTGTGGCAAAAAATTTGCAGACCCTGAACTGCACATTCAACATGTCATAAGTGAGCACATGGGGAGTTTGACACCTAAACTCCAGACAGTTCTGCCTCAAAATGTTGATAATAAGTGGGCCAATATGCTTCTAAACTGTTCTTGGAAACCATTAGATATTAATGCAGCAGCAGAGTTGCTTGAGAAACAGTCAAAACCTCAGGAGCGTGGTCCTCTTCATGAAACTTACAAAAGGAATGAAGTGGATCAGTCTAAAGATGATTTTTCTGATGATGAATGGGACCTCTCACCTAGAAAGAAGAAATTGGATGATGGACACAATGGTACTGATGTTGGGGGCAGAGAACATGTGGAGACCTCAGATACTGAATGGATTGACTTTGATAGTAGTGGGGGCACCAAGGATTGTTTTCTCCCTGCCTGCTGGCCTATATCTGATGACCCAGAGCGTGCCAAGCTACTGGAAAGGATATGTAGCGCATTCCAAGCACTTATAAAAAATAAATACCTTGCTTCAAGTCATTTGGACAAGGTTATGCGTTTTGCAGTGGAGGAACTACAGGGTGTTGATAATGGTTCTCAGCTGCTTAACTACAATATCAATCAAACTCCCTTGTGTATTTGCTTTTTGGGTGCCCAAGAACTTACCAAGGTACTGAAGTTTCTAGAGGAGCTTTTACAAAGTTGTGGAATAAGTAGGTATTCTGAGAGAAATAATGATATAGAAGACACAAATGTTGTGACTAAAGTTGCTGATGCTATGGAGAAAATAGTTTTCAGTGAAGATGGTTCATGTTTATTGTTTGATGAGCATTTCCTGCCACTCAAGCTTTCTCCTGGCAGGCTTCATGATGTGGTTACTGATGATAAAATTGCAGCAGTTTCTTCTAATATACCTTATGATAATGGAGTTTTACTTGATTCAGATGCATTTTTGTCCTGGATATTCATTGGCCCATCAAGTGGGGAACAGTTGGAATGCTGGTCACAGTTAAGAGAAGAGAAAGCCCGACAAGGTACAGAAATTCTTAAATTACTTGAGAAGGAATTTCATGACCTCCAGGGATTGTGTGAGAGAAAATGTGAGCATTTAAGTTACGAGGAGGCAGTGCAGGCAGCAGAAGGTCTCTGTTCAGAAGAGGCTAAGAAAAGAGAGCATGCAACTGACTTTGTCCGCCAAAGCTACGATGTTGTTTTGAAAAAACGGCGAGATGAGCTCATTGAAAATCGTCATGATGATGCAAATATAAGCCATGGGATTGAGGTGGATGCCATTACAAATGTGCTAAATGATGCGGAGTCTCTTAATGTCAGTAAGTTCGGGTATGAAGAAACTTACAGTGGTACGGCATCTCATCTCTGTGATTTAGAATCTGGTGAAGATGATGATTGGAGGGTGAAGGATTCATGTGTAGAAGTTGCAATTCAGAGGCAGAAGGAACACAACTCAGTTGAGGTTGATCATTAATTTTGGCTTCCCTAACTATTTTGACAATAGCATGCTCTTTTTATTCTAACTTTTCCTCAATGCAGCTGAGCAAAATTGATGCAAGAATCCTGCAAGTTGTTAGTGGGATGCGGCAATTGGAAATGAAGCTTGATCCTATATCTGGCAATGATTATAGGCGTGTTTTAGTACCCCTAGTGAAGTCATTTCTGCGGGTTTGTAAATGATTTTATCTGCATTTATAGCAGTTGTTTACTTGCTCCTGGAGTGATTTATGTTTCTCTCCCCCTTTTCTTTACCTCTTTATTCACACGATGATAGTTCCTTCAGGCCTACTTGGAGAATTTGGCAGAGAAAGATGCTACGGTGAAATCTGATGCTGCAAGAGAAGCATTACTGGCAGAACTTGATCGTGATTCAAAGAAAAGCTCTGCTGGGGGAACTGATAATGTAAAACATGTAACTGAGAAGACAAAAGATAAGAAAAGGAACAAGGACCATCGAAAAAACAAAGATTCAAAGGTTAACTAGTAGTATCAAACATTTGTTTATTCTTTTTGGTGGAATTTTATTCTCTTGCTGTTGCAAAGATGATTGATTCTGTTACCTCTTATCTTTTTCAGGCTGCTGTTGGGAATGTGCTACCCATTCAACACCATGAGACTACCAAATATGTGTATGTCTCTCTATAACCAAGAGAACATTTTATTTTTAAAGTTTAAACTTTCTATAAGAAGATTTGAAGAATACTGTAAACCACCTTTAATATTCTGCAAATTTCTGTGCTTTGACAGCTCTTTTCCAGATCCTAGTGATGGAGAAAATCAAGAGGATGAACCTGTTGATGCCGTGAGCAAAGATTCTCCAAGTCAGGAGGAGTACAAGCGTAAAATTGAACTTGAAGCAGAGGAAAAAATGCTTGAAGAAACATTGGAGTACCAAAGACGAATTGAAAATGAGGCTAAACTCAAGCATCTTGCTGAGCAACATAAGAAAGCTGTTACAACACTTCCAGAGAAGATGCCTGCAGAAGTAACACCTGATGCTTGTTTGAGTCACGAGGAAGATCAAGATACCAATGAGCAACAGGAAAGTACTAAGAAGGTGATTGCTTTTCTTCATTTTTATATGTTGTACACTTGTACTAGACATGACTTTTTTTCAACTTTTACCAGAGTATGTGGCTTTGAATGATCTTTTTGTTCTCTTAGTAAGATCACTTGATAATTTTTTGGCTCATTTTAAGAGATTGTAACATAAGCCGTTACAAGTGTAGGAGTCAATGTTGCCAAAGAATGAATCTCCTCACATTTCAGAAGGTCTTCTAAAGAACACTGCCAATGTTGATGTAAAGAGAGCTGGTATAGCTCTTAGCCAATATGAGAAAAACTTTACTGGACTGGGATGATGCTATTACAAGTTTTAAATACCTTTCGTCTTCTCTTTTTCAGAGATTCATGATGGAATGCCTGAGGATAATAGTCATAATACTCTGATTTCTGATCAAGGGACTGGAAGACAAAGCAGGCGTCGGAAGGGCTTGACAAAATCTCATGAAGGAAAGCGTCAACCTGTTTCTTCCGGAAGGGAGAAGAAAAGAGCTGGTGCACTGATATCATCAGACCATACGCAAGGTCAGTAGAAATGTAAACTTTAACATATTTATATTTTCAACCCTTCTTTATGATGAATCATATATTTCAATTTAAAAACTCTATTTAAGTGACTTTAAGAAGAAACACTATTTAAGTGGCTTGTAGTAACTTGTGCTTGTACATGGTATAATCTAGTTTACCGCTTAAATTTAATGGTATGGTTGAAAGTGGCAGGACCAATGAAGTTAAAGCTTTAATATGATACATTGAGAATATGAATGCCTCTGTATTGTAAGCCGTTACCCTGACATAGAAGGATAATATAAAAGCACAATATTGGTGCATTTGTAATGACATGGCATGTGATTTTTAGTTGGGAGCGAAAGGGTGGTCTTCCAGTATCTCTGTGGCTTGGGGGTCAAGAAGAAAGGAAAATCCCCATATTGGTTTTTGTTTGTTTGTTTGTTTTTTATTTTATTTTTTTATGAGGATATCCCCATGGGATTTGAGTTAAATATGGTAGAGAGTGGCTTCCAAATGCAAGATTTGCATCAAAAGGAGTGCTTATAAAGTATGGTATCTGATCTGGTAGGAAATTTATCATAATTGCATCGACCTATAAGTTGTTGGTCATTGACTTGAATGATCAACTAGAAAAGATCTATTTTCAACGTTTTGACTATTCTTATCTTATTTGTCAGACACATTCCATGCACATCAAAAGTTGCCCTCTGTGCCTCGTTCGGGGATGCCATCAAAGATGTCCTCGGAAATGGACAATTCTAGAGTTTCACCAAATGAAGTGTCCACTGGGAATGTTCCTGGAAGTAATGTATATGGGGCTGGGCTACAGAATGAAATCGGAGAATACAATTGCTTCCTAAATGTCATTATCCAGGTGTGCAATAACAAAATATGTTGAACTATTCAGTATGTGATAACGTGATGGATTTTACTTGTGTTTCTTATAACTTGCACATTCTTCTTAGGGGCTGTGGTCTCATATATTTATTTTGCTGTTATATTTCAGTCATTGTGGAATTTAAAACGCTTCCGAGATGAATTTTTGAGATCATCATCAGAGCATATTCACGTTGGCAATCCTTGTGTTACATGTGCTTTGTATGATATTTTTACTGCTCTGAGCATGGCATCTTTGGAAACACAAAGAGAAGCTGTTGCTCCTACTTCCTTGAGGATTGCCTTGAGTAACCTGTACCCTGATAGTAACTTCTTCCAGGAGGTAAAATCAGATTATTTCCTTTACCTTCGGTTAAAATTTTCACTAGTTTTTACTAAGAGATTTTAAACCCATGGTCTAAAGTCAGTGTCAACATGGTTACTGTCACCTACAGGGGCAAATGAATGATGCTTCTGAAGTACTAGGTGTAATATTTGATTGCCTTCATCAATCATTTGCTTCAGCTTTGGGTGCTTCAGATAGGTGCATTGGCTCTTGGGATTGCACAAGCAGTGCTTGTATTGTGCATTCTCTTTTCGGAATGGATATTTTTGAAAGGATGAACTGCCCCAGCTGCAAATTAGACTCTAGACATCTGAAGTACACAACTTTCTTTCACAATATTAATGCCAATGCCCTCAGAACGACAAAGGCATGTTCTCTAGAATACTGTTTTAATAATAATAATAATAATAATAATAATAATAATAATAATAATAATGATGATGATGATAACAATAATAATAATAATAATAATAATAATAATAATAATAATAATAATAATAATAATAATAATAATAATAATAATAATTAGTTTGTTGCCATTGTAGTAATCTTAAAGTTGAACATATTTATGATGGGCGGGGATGTGGTTTTTGACTTAACAATAGCTTCTGTTCTTACCTTTCAGGTTATGCATAAAAAAAGGTCATTTGATGAGCTTATGAATCTTCTTTTGAGGGACTACCTGTTGGTTTGTGATCCAGATGCCAATGGATGTGGGAAACTTAACTGTATTAATCATTTCCTGTTAACTCCACCACATGTCTTCACGATAGGTATTACCTTTTTTCCTTTTCTGGTGCTTCGGGTGGCTCAGGTTACTTGTGTATTTATTTATTTTCTCTTGTTTATTGTAATAAGGTGTGTTCCACTTTCACTCAATTTTCATGAGAGTTGTAGTATTGAGAATGTCAGAAATTGGGAAAAGTTGAATTTGATGAAAAGCTGGAGAAAGTTCCAAAAATTCCTTACTTTATTTATTTTTTATTTTAATGCTTTATTTGTTTTCCTGCAGTAATAGGTTGGAAGAATACTTGTGAGAGTCTTGATGACATAAGAGCAACATTGTCAGCCTTATCTACTGAGATTGACATCAGTGTCCCTTATCACGGTCTAGACCCAAAGAACAAACATCACCTAGTTTCAGTGGTAAATCTCTGAAACTAGTGCAATTTTATTTGTGGTTGTGTGTTTTCTCAAGTCTTTTATCTATTTTATTACATTGTTGTCAGAGTGTTAGTTCAACTAAGATTTTATTTATTTATTTTGTTTTATTAGAAAAACATTAGTTTTTTATCAGAAAATTGATATCAAATTATCAGATAAACTGATGCAGTGATGCATGAATGCATTGGAATTACATTTTGAAAATGTCACCAACATTTAAAAAAAATAAAACTACAAAAGCCATCAACAATTGATAACCTAAAGAAGCAACACCACTGTTCCACTCCACTTCAATCTCTGCCTCATCTTTCTGTATTTCCTCTTCAAACTTCTCCTGCCCTTCTTCCACTTTTTTCTCATCCTGAAGATGATGTGGCAATATTTGTTTATTTATTTATTTATTACTATGGTGGATGTGGATTTGACTGATTAATGATCCTCAAATATTAATTTCAGGTTTGCTATTACAGACAGCATTATCACTGTGTTGCCTATAGTCGTGATCATGAGAAGTGGATCATGTACGATGACAAGAATGTAAAGGTAAATTTCTGTTCCATTGTCCTGTGTGTCCTTTCAGAGTTTTTTTAATCATTATGGATGTTGATCTCTAGGTGTCATCATGGATATTTGATTTTTAGGAAATTGGTAGCTGGGATGATGTTCTCATGATGTGTATAAAAGGGCAATTGCAACCTCAAGTCCTTTTTTTCGAAGCTGCAAATTAATTTTGCATGCACGGAACAGTTTTGCTAGTGAGTTCTACAATTTTTTACCTCACATTTGTAAATGTCATAGAAATTACAAAGCAATAGATACAGTTAGAAGTTCAGACATGATGAAGAGAAGTTGGAGTGCTTGGCCTGGAAAATCATGGGTAACCAAGCTAGCATAGTTTCTGTAACCCTTGACCGTTAGGATACTATATGGGTTGTGGTAAATCAAATCTCTAATAAGGTGGTCTGGTAGAAGTACTAGCCCACCAGTTTTTTGGCGGCTTTCAGCGGGGCTGAGTTGCAAGCACCAGTGGATATTGGTTGATTTTACAGATGTATACAGGAATCACTTCAAACACCACTTTGAAAATAAGAAAAAGAAAGGCTTTTGTATAGATCTGAGGATGAGTCTGTAGTATTCTAGTCATTGCAGTCTATAGTAGGGAGAAAATTTTGTATGGAAAAATTTTGTTGTTGAATATCAACCTATTCTCACGTTTGTATGTTGTGATGGTGAGGAAGGAAAGAGACTCTGATCTGTTCTTCATTTTTACCAGAAGAGAATGTTGTGACTTGTGATGTCGACAACTAGTCAACTAATACACATGTTATTGTTCATCTATGGAAAATTGAATTTTCATATTGTTTTGTTACGTATTTATTTTTTTTTGCCCATGAGTTTGATGTTCTTCCATATGGTGTTAGACCTCTACTTATAGTTGATTGGGTTGGTGTTTTGTGACTTTATTTTTGTAGTTTCTCTTAATATGACTTTTAATATAATTTTTAAATATACACATTTTATATTATGTACTAATATTAAATATAACATTATGAAATTTTAATTAACAATAACTTTAGTTAAATCTTACTAATAAAGATATATTGAGTGGGACGAAAGAAGTATTACTTAACCGTGATTTATTGTCAATCATTCTATCATGATTTACTTTGCATATTGGACTACTGATATAAACAGCATTTTTAATACACTAAATGTTTCGTTTTTAAAAGACATTTTATTTGAGTGCTAAAGGTAGATTATTTGGTAATTGGTATACTATCAAATAATAATGTGCATTCAATATATAAATAATATACATTCAATACACAAATAATGCATATTCATTTGTAGTCCACAATATAATTTGTCATTTACGTGACGTTTGTTTCACTAAATTGTCATTTTGTGAAATAGATCTATTCCACTATTTACATCAATTTTTAAAACAAGAAATAAAATTTCACTGTCTATTCTCTTTGCAATGAGAATAGTCATTCTCAAACCCTATTTTGTATTAGCTATTGCTAAATTTTAACTCGTTAGCAATAACTATTTTTTATTATTCAAAAACTACCCTTATAAACCTTTGATAGACAACTAAATGAACCCAATTCGTGTACAATTGTGAAAGTGCAGTTTGGTCACTGAACGAAAAAAAATTGTGCAATTAGCTAGGCCACTTAACATTTTAAATGTATACAATTTCACCTGATAGCATGTTAACACCCCATCTAACATATTGCATGTTGACATGGACGATGATTTTACAATTTTTTTTAAATTTCATTTTCATTTTTAAAAACCCTTTTCTTACATAAAATTGCAACAATATATATTTAGTTTTTTTTTTTTTTTTTTTTGGAGAGATATATATTCAATTTATATAATAATTGAAGTGTTAATAAATAGAATGAAACAGAATCCCCTTAACAGTGCACTACTTTTTTTTTGAATACTACCGACTCTGTTAATATCCCAATTCTATTTGTTTCTTATTAAAATTCTATTATATTCACTTTATTTTATTTTATAAACCAAACCTCACGTTATTGTCACATATTTTCCTACATATAATTTTTTTATTTTATTTTTAAAAGCAGGATAAAAAGTTAAAAACCGATCGGAGCCCAAATGGAAACCCGAAGAAGCCCATTAAAAGGATTCACCAATGTCAAATCGGGTCCAGAAATAAGTCGAGAATCAGAACCAAAGAACAGAGAACTGTTGTCTATTCTCCTACCCAATCGGGGAAGAAGAATAACGCGCGGGGAGACTCAGCTGTAGCAGGGAACAATTAGGGCTCAGAGCTCGCGGAGAAATGAAGACCACGAAGGGAGGCAAAGTCATGAACCCTACCGATGCCTATCGGAAGGAGCTTCGTAAGCGCGAATTGAAACGGGTAAGTTGCTCAATCTCCATTTACTCACAGGCTTTTACTTACTCAGGCATTGGTCTAGAGATTGTTGGTTGGAATTTCGATTTTATTCCGTGCTGAAGGAAATTGAAAATTGAATTATACGTCCAAAACTTCGAAATTTAGTAAAAATCAGAATGCTTAAGTCTTTATTACGGAGTATTGTTTTTAAAAACTTCGAAATTTAGTAAATTTATATTTGATATTCTCAAAAGCTGTTGTTTGTGTGTGTGTGTGATATGGCTTGCTGCTCCAGCAAAAAAAAATTAATCATTCCTGTATTCTAATTTAGTTGCTAAATTGATTTGAACAAAACTTGTTTACAAGAATTCGTTTTATTCTGTACTTAACTCACAGTCGGACATGAGGATCTTTTCAGCTTGGCTTATTTTTATTCCCATTGTTTGCCAAATATTTAACTTTTGATATGTGGCTGTTTTCTGGTTAGTTAGTTTGTTTTTGTAGTGTGAACTATGAAGTTTATAACTTTGATGTTACTCATATTTTTAACAGAATAAAAAAGAAAGGAAGAAGGTGAGGGAAGTGGGTATTTTGAAGAAAGATCCTGAGCAATTGAGAGAGCAAATTCAGAAGCTAGAAGTCATGAGTAAGCTAATATTTGCTTGTGTTCCTTTTTCACTTTTCAAATTCAGGTGGCTCAATTTGCTAAAGTCTTTAATAGAATATTTTGCTGTGTTTCTTAAAATTGAGAGGGAAAATTTCTTTAAGTTTGTTATCTTTATGAGATGCCATCTTTTGAATTTTTGTTCAGCCTTATGTCAGTGGTTGTCATTCTAAAACAGTTTTTTTTTTTTTTTTTTTTTTTTTTTTTGGGTCTGAGATGTGTTGTTATGAACTCAGGCAATCTTCTATCCTTGTCTGTCCTAAACTATAAAGACCAGATCATTCTTTGTCTACAAAAAGATTGACAGACTATTATAAAGGTGATAATCAATACAACATACTTTGTAATTTAATATGCAGAGGCAGAAGGTGCTCTGGACAAAGCAAGAAAACACAAGAAGAGGCAACTTGAAGATACCCTAAATCTTGTTATCAAGAAGAGGAAGGTAATTTTCTAATACATCCACTTTGTTGCATTTATTATTGGAACACAGCTCCCCTCTAGTGGATGCTCCCTCTTTATTTTGATTTCATTTGAGACGAAGTTTTATTTATTGTCAGGATAATGGACTTCCTAAAAATCTGTTTTAGTTAGATGTCCCCTACTATGCTTGAAAGAATTTGTTAGTTGTTCAAAGTTTGTCTACAAGTTTAGGCTGCCACAGCTCTCTCTATCTATCTCTAAGTCAGGTCGGGGGGGGGGGGGGGTGTGGATGTTAAATTTTCACTAATTTTTTTGAAATGAGAACTGATATTGAACTCGTGCTTGTATTGGACTTTATTGCTTATTGTTTGCTTTGCTTTACTGTTTTCTACAGCAAAACTAGTAAGTTCTTCATAGAAAGTTTTAACTTTGTGTCAGGAATATGAAGATAAATTGAAAGATAAGGGTGAAGCACCAGTTATGTTCAGGTGAGAAGCCTTTTTCTATACATTGTGAGGATAATTTTGCACTCTTTCAAGCTTTAATAGCTGTAAAGAAAATTTATTCTTGTGTCTTTGCTGCAGTCATTTGGGACCACCTCCACGAAGGCGGGCTACTGCTGAAGAGGAAGATAGGGTCAAACACCCAAAACCTGAGGTAAGCTCTTATTTGTCTTCCATTTGGTATAGTAATTTACAGTGTTAATTTCTCAACACTGCATCACAGTTGTGAGTTGACAACATCTGGATGCAGGACTCGGTCTATTATCACCCTACACTAAATCCTACTGGAGCTCCTCCTCCTGGGAAGCCTCCCATGTTTAAATCATCAATAGGTATGCTATAATTTATTCTGTCTCATGTAATTTGGTGTTGATTTTCTCTCTCTCTCTCTCTCCCTCTCAATAGTTATTGCGTAGACCGTGGTACACAGCTGTGTGGACCACGGTCCAAAAATGACGTTGTTTTGAGTAAATTTTTTTTCACACGACCCAGTGCAACATACATGTTTATAACTCATATGCACATTATTCTAACTCATAAAGTACATTATCTTACCTTAGAGGTTTCATTAGTCTAACACATAATGTACATATTCTAACACAAAGTATATTATTCTAACTCATAATGTACATTATTCTAACTCATAAAATTCGACGTCGTCGTTTTGGACCGTGGACCACACAATAATTTGCCTCTCTCTCTCTACCATGGGCTCACACATTTTGTTTTGTAGGACCTAGAATACCATTGTCAGAGGCTTCATCTAGTGGTGCTGGATCATCGTCAATGCTTGAATTAGAGGATGGTGGTTTACCCGCCTCTCTTCCACTTCCTTCACCTCCTTACCCAAGTAATGCAGATTCTGTAGATGGTTCAATGATGCCTTCATCTTTGCCTTTACCTCCTCCACCTCCTATGCCTCCAAAACCCGCAACGGCAGACTTGGACACATCGTTGCCAACACCTCCTTTGCCACCACCTCCTCCTGGACCCCCACCAAAGGAACATGGAGGAATTCACTCGTCACTCCCCCCACCCCCACCCCCACCACTCCACCATTCTGCTCAACCTCCTCCACCGGGTATTGGTGGAAATGAACTGGGAAAAAGTCAGCCTGGGAAAGTGGAGGATCCATCATCAATGGAACAAGCCAAGGTAGGTTTCTTGGTAAATATTTGAAATATTTAATCTAGGTGGTTTTACAATTGCAATAACATGAATCATTTTTCCTAGGTTGTCAATCTTTTATTGATGAATTTTCTCTTCCTAATTTCTATCACAGGCTTCAGTTACTCTTCCTCCACCACCTCCACCTCCTGGGTTACAATTAAGGTCTGAAGGGGCATCTTCTGAAAATGACTCTAAAGCTCCCTTAGGAGGGACGGAAGATCTGCTAAGAATGGCTCCGCCACCTCCACCTCCTCCAAGGCAACAGCCTTTAGTTCCTGGACCTGCTATAATCCCATCTTTGCAAACTGATATGTTGCCTCCAGGAATTTCTCGGTTCCCTCCACCTTCACCTCCTACAGATATGAGGCCACCACCCGGAATTGTTGGCCAACCTCCTCCCCCTGGAGTAATGGTTCCACTAATTCCTAGGCCACCCTTTGGACCTCCACCGATGATGAGACCACCACTTCCGCCCGGGCCACCTCCTATGCCGCAGGATAGTACCAGGCCACTCATTTCTCAAAAGCCATCCTATGTTAAATCAGCTGCATCAACGGTTATTAAGAGGCCTCTTGCTCAGCATACTCCAGAACTTACTGCTATGGTGAGTCACAACTTGTGTAATTATTTTGCACTAGAATCAAGGTGTTGGCATCTGTGGTAAAAATTATATAATATTCCAGATAGATTTTTTTGCTAAAATGAAAAATCTATTTTTTATAGACATAACAGCCTCCATCTTCAAGTAGTAGTTGTCAATGCCTTGGCCTATTTAAATTCATAAACTAATTTGTTTGTAGTAGAGTTAAAATGAAACATTAGGAGTTGTGAATATTGAAACTGTACTTTTCCTCTAAAAAATGCTGGTGCACATTGTCCCTCTGCAACCATTTAATTTCATAAATTAATTTGGTTATAGTTGGCGCTAAAATGAGACATAAAGAGCCCCTTTAGGCTTTATCATTTAACCATGCTTTCCCTCTCAATATTCCTTGGCATATGTTCTCTTGCAGGTTCCTGCATCTGTGCGTGTTAAGAGAGAATCTGCTCTTCCAAAATCAAAACCAAAGCCATCAACAACAGTTGTGGCCAACCAGCCCATGTTTACTGCAGCAGTTTTGAAGCAAGAATCCACCAGTTCATCTCAACCAAAGCCACAAAGTATCGATGACTCTTATATGGCTTTCCTGGAGGACATGAAAGCTCTTGGTGCTCTTGATGGCAACAAATGACCCAACGGATAGATGGAAACTTGGGAAGGTGCAAAAGGGACAACTAGTAGCTACGACTGTGTGTGTGATGTTCTAAGAATTTATTTAATAGGGCATCATGTTATCCGATCTGGTGGAGGTTTGGGGGGGTAGGAGAGGAGGGTGTAGAAAGGACATTCTTTTCTTGAATTTTCTACTTTTCCATTCTGGTTGGCAATCTGCTGTAGCCGGACAGAGTACGAATGTACTACTTCAGATAAAGAATACTTTTGTTTCAGCTTACAAGTTGCCCACTAACTATATATTGTGAATGGGAAATCTTCTCTTTCAGCTTACGACCTGGAAAAAAAAGTCTGATTACTTGTTTATGTGCCTGCCTATTCTCCGGCGTTTCCCACTCTTAACATACCAATTCGTCATGGGTTTCCACTCATATGAGCATAAGCAGCAAGAATTGACTCTGCATATATACGCGTATATATATTATGTATGTGTATATATCTGTATTATATATATTTTTAATTAATTAATTTATTTATTTATTTTGATTGCAATTCGTATTTACCACTAAACAAAATGACTCCTACTTCCTATTACCATTCCGATTTTAATATTTGAACCAAACACACTCTAAATGTGGACACTAGACCCTAGATAACAACCAAGATGCATTCAACTAGCCTGCTGCGACGGCCTGCTGGTTTTCCCCAACTACTCAATATTTTATTATGACTTTGCCAATGAATGTTTATGTAATAGGAAAGTCAACGTTGTGCACAGCCCACTTGATATCCCAAACCAGCTGACAAAAAGAAATTTTCAAATGCCATCCTGATCTAAAAAGTTCAATCTTGATAAGGACAGGGAAAAGAAAATGGTCAAAGTAAACTCTTTGTGCCCGTTTGAAATGATTTATGAGGCAGTTGTCTGTTAGGTGATTGAGAATTTTTGGTTTGAAGTTCAAGGAAGGATCTGTTGATGTTCTTGTTTTGCCTTTCTGGGTGAACTGGAATTGATCTTATATGGAGGGAAAAGTGAGATTTTGTCATTTATTGAAAAACAGTCTGTAGCTTAGAGTAGTTGACAAACCATCCAGTAGGTCATTGCCTCGGACTTGGTTTCTCAGTTTGCAGCAATGGAAGGAAGTCACTTCATCATCGTTTTCCTCTTGCTCAACTTTCTCCACCTTCTTCTCCCTGCCTTTCCACTTCCTTTATGCACCAACTCAGGTTAGGATTATATATATATATTTTACTCTTTCATGGAATTCTATGAAATTATATCACTGTTGTTTCTAATATGTTGTTATGTTTTTCTTGCTTGTGCTATAGAGGCCCCCTTACCCCACAAGGATCCTTTGAAATTCTGCCCTTACAATGGAACTTCATGCTGCAACTCTGCTGATGACTCCCGCATCCAGAAGCAGTTTCAAGCGATGAACATCTCGAATTCTGCTTGTGCTGCTCTTGTCAAATCTGTTATTTGTGCTGTAAGAATCTAATTACTTTATTCATATATACATATAGATAGATGAAATAATCTACTTTATATAGTTATGAAGTTTTGAGACTGTATTTAGTTCTGTACCTTTACTCCATTTCCAGGAATGTGATAAATTTTCAGGTGAGCTTTACAGAATTAGTTCTGTTCCTCGCCAAGTTCCTGTGCTCTGTAACTCTACAGCTTCTTCAGTCTCAACCCAAACTATCCGAGACACAAACGACTTGTGTTCGAAAGTGTGGACAACTTGCCAGAATGCATCTATAACAAACTCACCCTTTGCTGCTTCCTTAAAAGGTGAAGTTCCTGCACCTATGAAGTCCAATGTTACAAAACTGATGGATCTCTGGCAGTCAGAAGCAGATTTCTGTAATGTGTTTGGTGGGGCATCTGGTGATGGATCAGTATGCTTTGATGGTGAACCTGTTGCCTTAAATAGCACTGTTCCCCCGAGTCCTCCGGGTGGTCTGTGCCTCGAGAAAATAGGAAATGATGCTTACCTTAATATGGCTGCTCATCCTGATGGCTCCAATCGCGCTTTCTTCTCAAACCAGGAAGGCAAGATTTGGTTAGCTACCATACCTGAGGTTGGTTCAGGAGGATCATTGGAGCTCGATGAAGCCAGTCCTTTCGTCGATCTAAGTGATGAAGTTCACTTCGATACTCAATTTGGATTAATGGGCATTGCATTTCATCCCAAGTTTTCCCAGAATGGCCGCTTCTTTGCTTCATTCAACTGCGATAAGCAAAAGTGGCCTGGATGTGCAGGAAGGTGTGCTTGTAACTCAGATGTTAACTGTGACCCTTCAAAACTGCCTCCTGATAGTGGTGCCCAGCCTTGCCAATACCAAACTGTTGTAGCTGAATTTACAGCTAATGGGACAGCCCCGCAGCCTTCCGAGGTATTTAATTAATTGGTCGAGAAAAAGAAACTTGTTTCTAGTTCATTACATTTCTTTGAATCATCACAATGAACTTTGGGTTATTTTCTTTCAGGCAAAAAGTGCCAATGCCCAAGAAGTAAGAAGGATATTTACTATGGGTCTTCCATTTAGTTCTCATCATGGAGGCCAGATTCTTTTTGGACCTGAAGATGGATATTTGTACTTGATGATGGGGGATGGTGGTGGTGCAGGTTCCTCAGATCCATACAATTTTGCACAGAACAAAAAATCACTGCTCGGAAAGATTATGAGGCTCGATATTGATAACATCCCAAGTAAGTTAGTATAGCATTGTTGGAAAACTTTTTCCTCGAATTCTTAATTGATCCCGTTATCTTTACATGTTTTACCTGCTATTCTTCCAGGTGCAACAGAAGTCGTGAAACTTGGCCTATGGGGAAACTACTCTATCCCCAAGGATAATCCTTACACTGAAGACAAAGAACTGCAGCCAGAAATATGGGCTCTCGGGTTTCAAAATCCTTGGCGCTGTAGTTTTGATTCTGAAAGGCCATCCTATTTCATGTGCGCGGATGCTGGGCAGGTATTTTACTTTTGATTCTGAGTTTCTGTGATTGGATTTTGTTGTTCATATTCTTGAGCTTTAATTTATCCCATAGGATCATTATGAAGAGGTAGATATAGTCACAAAGGGTGGGAACTATGGCTGGCGCGTTTATGAGGGCCCCTTTCGGTTTACTCCTCCAATGTCACCTGGAGGAAACACATCTTTGGATTCCATAACCCCAATTTTCCCAGTAATGGGATACAATCACTCTGATGTAAACAAGAATATAGGGTCTGCATCAATCACAGGTGGATACTTCTATCGCTCCACGACTGATCCTTGCATGTATGGAAGGTGAGCTAACTATTAGTGCTGAATCAACCATTTGCATACGCAAACTTACAATTGCGAGAACATCTTAGTATGGTATTTCTTGGATACAGACATGTCTTTTTAAGGTTGTTATAACTATACAACTGGATATGCAGGTATTTGTATGCAGATCTTTATGGAGGTGCAATGTGGGCAGGGAGTGAAACCCCAAAGGACAGTGGAGTTTTCAACCCCACCTTGATTTCTTTTGCATGTTCTCATGATTCACCCATGAATTGCAGCCTGGTTCCAGGAAGCTTAGTTCCTGCACTGGGTTACATTTTTTCATTTGGGGAAGATAATAATAAGGACATTTACATCTTAGCCAGCAGTGGAGTTTACAGGGTTGTTCCTCCTAGTAGGTGCAACATTAGTTGCTCCAAGGAAAACACTTCTGTTGTTCCTAGTACACAAGGTAGTAGTGGTCCTGCTTCTTCCCCACCATCTGAAGCACCCCTCTCTGCAGGGATGTACAACAATTTGGTAGTGCTGATGTTGTCTCTTTGTTTGCTATTGGTGTTCTGAGCCCACTCCCGCGAAAAAGTTTAATACTTTGAAGTGCTTTTTAATCACGGTGTAAATTTGAAATGTTCTTATAAAATTTATCAGTATCAAATATTGTGTCGAGTTATTGTAGAAGATTTTCTACGATATTACATGCAAGATTTTGTTACTAGAGCATGTAACTCTTCTTTAAACTTGCAAATTTAATAAAATTTGTGTATACAGTCCACAGGCTTAACAATGCTTGTTTCATCTTCATCTTCTTGTCATCTTCTCCAACTACTTTTAAAAAGGAATGTTTTTTACTCTTTTATGAATAAAGTTGTAAGTTTTGGAAGTTTTCTCGAGCAATATCCGAGCATATACTAGTTATTAAAATTTAGTCAAATTCAAATACATAGTAAGATACTTAATAGGGTGAGTTTGAGTTTTATTAATGCGGCATATCATGCCCCTTCCCCCTACCAAAAAAAAAAAAAAATGCGGCATATCATCAAAAATTTAGGATACATTGATTTTAGATTTTAAAAGTACATGAATATTGCTGGGATCCCTTGTAGATTTGCCTAGTAGTTGCACTAAATTGGCTTTTGGGTTTTAACAAATGACACATGTATATTTCCATTTTAAACCTAGTTATTTATGACGAATAATAAATATAAAATGTTTTATTACAATGTTATGAAAAGAAAATAACATTTTTTAAAAATAATTTTGTTACTATCTTGTTTAAAATAGGTTATTATAATATGTTTAATAATACATTATTGTGTATGGGTAGCAAATATTCATAATTTAGTGTTTAGGAAGTGATCTAAGTAAAATTGTCAGCCAAGATAGTAATAAAGTAGTTGTTCAAATGACAAGAGTCAGATTTAAATTCAATGCATCTTAAAAGTTTAAGCGTTATGAAAATATAATCACTAAATTCAAGTGTTTTTAGGTGACACTTGTCTATTCTTATTGCAGGGGTGACAAGTTGAGAACATATATGGTGCATTAAATTATATTCAATGCTAGCAAAACAAATTCAAGCATCAAGTTTGACCATTTCTTTTGATCGAATTGTGTGTATTGAACTTATTAAAATGATACGATATCGAATATTTTATGAATATTATCAAATTTAATATTCTTTTGTGAATACTACTCACCCTGTTACAATGTAGTATTTGTTCATTACTATTTTCTCAACTTACTGAGGGTCAATACCATCTCCACTGGGGATTGAACACATGACTTCTTATTTGAGATAAGCACAACGTGCCACTAGATAACTAGTAAACGAAAATGAGTGTGGCATTTGAAATTGGAAACTAATGGCTAATCATACAAATATAAACAAATAGTGGGAGTACAATTTTGGTTTCTAACAATCATTACACATTAGACATTAGACATTAGACTTAGAGGTGATATGGCACAGGGTTTCCAATGAACAAGGGGACAACAGAGACTAAAACTGATATTATTTGGGTTGAAGGGAGGAAAAAGGGTCCTCACATCTCTCAGTCTTGCACTACACAACACAACCTAGTACTCTTTAGTTGACTACTAAGTTTCTTCTGTGATCTGTCCAAAGCCTTCTCGGACACCAAACCCCAATCTCGCAGAGTAAACCCAAACTTCAAATTTGCTATTTTTCTTACAAAATTTAACCACAAGATTCACTGAATTCTCAAATTCCACACATTATTACCCTTCTTGTTCACTTTTTACCCACCCTTTCTGTCTTTCAAGAAATACCCAGTTTCAGTTTCCCCCAATTCCAATACCCATAAAAAACCTGACCTTTTATTCGTATTTTTCATCATCATTATAAATTATTATCCACTTTTTCTGATTATCGGATCATACTTTCGCTCTTCACTTCCCTCTTCTCGTGTTTCTTGAATACGGGAAAATAAATTGGAATTTTGAGAATATATTTTCTTGATAATTTGTCAAAGTTCATATTTTTTGGGCGAAAACCCCCCTGCCTTCAGTTTTCTTCTTAAGGGCTTGTTGCTTGTTCTGTGCAACCTCATGATCTCTGCGGTGTACCCTCCGTAGACCGTCCTCTCTCCGATCCGGTCATGTCCTCCGACCAACAACCCTCTGCTTCTTCTCCGATCCATTCGCAGAACCCGACCGGCCTGAGCTCTGATAACAAGGTGGAGAGCAGGAGCTCGGCCAACAGCAACCAAAGTAATAGCACCAAGAATAATGGGAACAATGATAGTAATAGCAATCATTTTGTAGTTAGGAGGGAGAGGCCGGCTAGGGAATGCACGAAACGGGCGGCTGCAAGGCTGCAGGCGGCCGCGGCGGCCGAGGCTGATGCGGAAGCGGCAGCAAAGGAGCGGAGGAAGAAGGCCGCGGCTAGGAAGGAGAGGTTGGCTGCTAGGCTGCTGAGGGAGGAAGAGGAGGAGGAGGAGGAGAAGTCGAATGGGAGCGAGGAGGATGAGGAGGGAGTGGAAGGGGAGGATGGGTCACCCTCTTCGTCACGCCAGCAATGTGGTAAGGTTGTGACGCCGCTGGTTGGAGAGCCAGAGCCTTCACAGTTGCCGCGGTGGAACCTCCGCTCCATGTGGCAGTTGGCTTCTATACTCAATTTCTTGAATGTATGTATAGACATAGACCTACAAAGTCTGCAACTTTAGAATGAAATATAGTGTTCTGAGGCTAATGCTTTCTTGCTTTCTTTTATGGTATTAGGTTTTTAGACCTTTGTTGAACATTAAAGCAGAGTTCTCAGTGGAGGAATTTGAAACTGCTTTGATTACACCCAATAATACTCTTGCAGACATACACATACCACTATTGAAGGTCAGTGTGCTTTTGTTTTCTGATCCTAAAAGTTATTTTTTAAAGATTTGCATGCACTCTTAGGTGCTTATGGTAAGTAGGTACTTGTGGTAGTTATAGTGTCTGCTGTTGTTTGCTATGGATCATTTCAAAGGTTGTGTGCATTTTCTATGGTTTGGAATTGCATTTCTATTGCATGTTGCACAACTGCAGCCTTAAGAAAAAGGGTCGGTTCTTTAGATAATCTTAACATTTTAGTCATTCCTCTTGTTAGCTTTTCCATAGCATGTATCTAGTGAGGGTAATGCAACCATTATCCTCTGCTTGTTTATTGTATTCCACAGAATGTCAGTGGCATAAAAAAACTGTATGGGTTACTTGACTAGTTTCTTTGGTCATGGTCACATTACATACTCTGCTGAGTCTCAACCTAAGTATAGATTCTTATTTCTGATCAAGGTGTAACTTCTCCATTAGATGCTTTAAGGAAATTGCTAAGATTGTTGTAGAGTTGTTGGCATCAAATGGTGGAATAGTATTTGGCATTTTCCACTTTGAATGAATTATGATGCCTGCATATGGAAGAGAACTTTATCAGGATTGTCTGTCACTCAATTGAGATGCTATCTTTAGGCAAAGAGACAAATATCCCATGAGGCTCATTTAGTAGGTGACAAATGTAGGGAAAGTTCAATTTTTGTAAAATCAATTGTGGTTAATGTCATCTTCACATTTCAATATGTGTGTAATCTTTCTTTTTGAAATTTGATGCATACTTTTGCTCATATCGTAATACACTGATGAAGGTGCTGTTTTATATGAAGTAGATGTGGGTGATGATAAAATATGGAGAATATGGAAAATCCTCATACTCCATAGAAAAGCATGGGGCTAATGTTATTTGAGAAAAAATACTTGATTACTGCCTTTTAAGTTAAAAATAGTGACTGAGCTTAAGCCCTTACTAGGCTGTATGGTTAAGGGGAAAGTAAAGCAAGAAGTATCTGGAGATGAAGGATGAAGTTACTTTCTCAAAATCTTAATTTTCTTATATCATTTCTATAATGGATGCTACTCTTTATAGTTTATATGCATATTTATAGATGAATTCTAATCATGCACGACCAGGAAAAACTAGTACCTGAAGATAATAAGTGTTTCATATCCAAGCACAACACTATTACCATTTCTCTAGGTGTGGATATAGTATATGCTATAGTTTGCTCAAATCTTGTTTTTAGTAACTTTTAGTATACTAGGAAAACATTTTACACTCTAGTCCATTTTTTTCATGTGGTAAACATATGAGCTAGACGAGCTCAAATTGGATTTGTAATTGGTATTAGATATCCATGATATTGTTGGAGCTTGTTTGGCTTTTCTTGAGCTTGTTGAAAAATATTTTTCTTTAGAAAGCCTCAACTTTGGTGCTTCTTAGAAAAGATGCCTTTTCCTGCTATAAAGTTAAACTGCCATGAAAGTTTTTTTTTCTTTGTTTTTAGTGCTTGGTCTAGTTTATTATTTTTAGAATAGATATACTCCTAAATAAGCTGGACCAAACAAGCACTTAGTCTGTAGCACATGCTTTCTATTTGCTCTGTTTTTACATTTGGTCAATTTTATTAACTTAACCAACTTTGAAAACTTTGAACAAGTTTGCCTTTGCTCCACTTTAACTTTCACTGTGTACAAGATTACAATGAGAAGATTTAAAAATGTTACTTTATACCTGTTTTCTTGTTCTTCACGTTTTACTTCATCAAAATATAGTTCAGTGCTGTTTCTGGGAATTCTTGCTTAGTATATTCCCTTATTGTATCTTTGCTACTAATTCTCTCTACATTGTTGAGTTGCTGCTTTAGGCATCTCATTAGCTTTGCTTCCTTGATTTCCATAGGCAATCCCTCCTGTTACTCGAATGGCTCTTGGGCGCCATACTTGGATAACTGTTTTATGCAGAAAATTAAGAGATTGGTGGCATTGGGTAAGTTGACTATCACACTGTGAAGCGACTTGCAAACTTGTGAAGAACCATATGTAAGGTTCTATGCTGTTTGCCTTTCCTGTTGATTAACCTTATGTATTGCAGGTTGCAGAGGGGGAACTTCCTATAGTTGCATCACATGGGTGAGTAACCACAAGTTTGAAGTTTCTAACTCCAAAGATAATTAATTATTATTTTTTTTCCCCCACTTTATATGTGAGTTTTTGTTAAAATTTAGGACTGAGGTTGATGCTTACAATACACTAGATCCTGCTGTCCGTGTGGTTATTCTGAAAGCATTATGTGATATTCGTGTTGAGGTACAGTAGTCACATTTGAACTATATTTCACTTCTGATTCCTTGTTGGCTTGAGTTTTTCCTAGATAGATAAGGTTGATCACCATTTTGTATGACAATGGGAGAGGGGAGAGAGAAATAACTAGAAAAAAGAACAGAGGAAAACAAAACGAATATATTATTGAAATGCCAAACTTTACCTTTTCTATTTATCAACAAATTGGTTGCTGGGATCTAATTGAAACTAATGTCATACCTGGATCAATATTTATGACCAAATTGAAACTGAACTTATACTTTTTGAGACCAAAAAAGAAAATTTCTCCTAATGTAACTATAAATTTTCTGGGTTTCCCCATATGTTTTTTTGGCTCAAAAACTATTTCAATACCCTATCAAATGCCATATTGTTGTAAGTAATTCTCTTAAAGAAAATAAAGGTACCATAGTAATATGCTTTTCTATGACTGTACATAAACATACAGTGATACAGAAGAGGGTGTTGATGATGTTACTCCTTTAAATTCTTGCAACGTATGTGTTAAAAGAGGTTAAAGCCAGAATAGCTATATAACCATCTCTCATTTTTCCCTTTTCACTTAAAAGTCTGCCTCTTAGAGTTGCTGATTGTATGAAATTCCAATATTCTTGGCTTATTTTGCAGCAAGAAGATATACGTAACTATATCGATGAGTCCCTAAAACAAGGTTTTCAACTTTCATTATTCCGCAAACAACGAATAGGTGGTGATTCGCATGGAATCTCTTATTGGTATGTCATCTTGCTTGCAATTTAGGGGACTTTTTCTATGCTCAATGCAGCAAATTTTGTTCTATAAAGAAAACTTTCTTTTCATTAAGCATAGAGTACACTTCTTACTTCTGGTGAACACTATATGCTGCTTAGATGTGAAAACACTTCAGCTGCATCCTGTTGTAATTTAGGTATGAAGATGATCCCGTGATTGGTCATCGACTTTACCGAGAGATTAGAAAAGTTGAGGTGAAGAAAGGGAAGGGGAAAACTGTACAACCTATTCCTAATTCATGTTATCAGTGGGAAACTGTCGCAACTAGTTTGGATGAATTCCAGGATGTTTCTGTAAGTAACTTGTTTTTTTCTTTCAAAGATGAATGGTTGTTCCCTATATTTATCATAAACTGAAATACAGAACTGAAAATGGAAGGCTCCTTGGTTGTACTTATCTTTTGTTGGAATTTTAAGAATCACTATGTTGCACCTTCAATTTGCAGGAGAAACTCTTTTCAAGTTCGAATAGAACAGAAGTTTCTGTTGGGAAAAAGTTGAAAAATGACATGCTTCCCGAGGTTGAGAAGGTCCACAAGGTAGGGTTTGTTTTCTTGAATCAACTCTCACCTGTTCTGAATTCCTTCAATTTGATGTTTACCTTTTTTCTTCAGAAAAAAGAGAAATTGTTGAAGAAGCAGCACAGGCAAGCTTTGATGCTTGACAATATGATTCATATGGATGGCCTTCTTGCTGGGCGCTCTCTTCGTGATCGAAAGCCCGTGACCTACACTTTTGGTTGGTCAAATGAACTATATATTTTTCATGTGAGGCTAAGTAACATCTGACATCTAATGATATACTGGCTTTGTTGCAGATGATTATGATAGATCAATTAACGAGGCCATCAAAGTAACCAAGTATGGATCTTATGACCTTACAATTCTCCGCTGTTTTTGAATATTGTGGTTTTGGACTTTAATATATCTATATAACTATATAAGAGCATTTGTTGAAGATTACATGCGCATACAGACCAGATTAACTATTTTAAAACGTTTTATTTCTTTTATTTCAGAAAGAAGCAGCCATCCCCAGAACCAAATCTGAGAAGGGAATCTTCTTTGAGACATGAAGCTTCTGCAAATGGTAGATGGGCAGGTCCTTCTGAATTTACACAAATGTCTTTCAAATTACACTCTCCTAAGTCGCCTGAAAACGATGGAATTGACAACTACCATGAAGCTGAACCACTAGACCGCGGGTATTTCCTCCTTGGAAACATTGAAATCTGTTTTTTTTTTTTTTAACTTTTACTTGCAAGCATAAACTGACTGTTGGCCTTATTCTGTTTAGGAACCGACAAAGGCATAAACCTCAACGGTATTCTGCCCAAGAGTTTGTTGAAGCAATATCTGATAATGATGCAGACTTTGACAGTGATGATGATATAGTTGGTGAAGTTGTATATGATGAAGAATATCTAAGGAGTCGGAAAAAGCGGAGGAAGATGTCAAGTAGCTCAGAAGGAGATGAAGAGTACCACTGGGATGAAGAAAATGTTGAAGAAGAAGAAGAAGAGGAAGATGAAGATGAAGATTCCTTAAGTGCAAGTGAGGAGAGCGATGAGCCCCGAAAGTTCAAGAAACTGCCCGGGCGCACTAGGAGGGAAAGTAAATTGAGGTCCGTTGGTGCACTCCAGTCAGGTTTAAGACGTAGTAATAGAGCAACAAGAAACCGTATCAACTATAAACAGTACGAGCTGTCAGATTCTGAGACCGAATCGATGAAACCTGAGACATCAAATGCTTCAGATGAGCACTACAATGCTACTGATAATGATAATGAGAATGAGAATGATAATGCTGACTCCTCATCCGAAAGTGCAGAGTCGAAGGAAGATGATAACAACGAGGAAATGAAAATCGACCCACAAGTTGAGATGCCATCTGAGGAGGCCATAACCAAAGAGGAAGCTGAAGCTGATACTGATCTGCCAAAGAAACCACCGAGCCCAGATCAAGATGAAGTTGAAGGTGGACAAAAGCGGCACTTTCTTGACCTAAACGAGCTCGCCCCAGGTTCTGGTTTCGATGATGCTCCTCCCAATTCAGAGGTGAAAGACAATGGCGCAGCAGATGAGTTTTGAACAAGTTATCCCCTTTAGTGCTTTTGTTTTGCAGAAGCTGAGATTGTATGATAATTGACTTATAAATTTTCCAGAGCACCCACTTCAGAGATGGAAGTGATGCATGCATGCAGTAGTGTTCTCTCTTCTCTTGGCAAATTTTAAAATCGGCTATGAGGCTTGCTTCGCGTTTACTCTTATTATATGATGATGCTGAGGAATTACGTAGATTCAGTTAGCCATTGTTTTAGAACATCTAAATTTGAGTCAATGGGGTATGCATGGGAAATTTGTTGTTTCTGGGCTCTGCCTCTTACCCCTATCTCTGTACAATAGCCTTTTAACTTAATATTGTAACAAACATATTCACATTTTTATGCTCAAAATCTTCTCTTTTTTCCCCACTTATATTCAACATTACATAATACAGTCATCTGCAATACATTCATACTGGTTTTATATATGTACAAGAAGACAACACTTACTAAGACTGCCGATCTAATCTTAAGATAGTAATAGTCGAGAATTTGTGTTAAGCCCAGGTGCCTTTGAGAAGGGGATTGATGGAAGCAGTCTCCCCGAAAGTTCTGATCAAATCGGAACAGGATTCATCATGGGCTGTTTCACCCTCCACTTCTGTCTTCAACTCCAATCCCAGTTCATCATCGATGTTATCAGAGGCAGGAATTAGCAGGAACTCACACCCCTCGTAGTTCAAATAGTCCGATGGGTCGGCGGGATGGTACCTCAGCTGCCCAATTGCAGCCTGCAAATGGGCGGGGAAGATGGCTTTCCTTTTACTCTGCAGCCCTCTGAACTCCCCAGTCCCACGTTGTTCTGGGTTCTTGATTTGTATCAAGAATGAAGCTTCTCTCTTTATGTTTAACTCTTCTTGTGGCTCGTTTTTCTCTTCTGCTGGGGGGAATTCGAGCTTGTATACTAGATGCGTGTGCATTTTCTTCCCCGGATTATGCCTCAGAATGAGATAAACTCCCTCTCCGGCGGCCCTCGCCGGAGCCACCGTCCGGTGACCTCTGGTTGAAGTGTCATACTCCTCGCCCTTGAGCGCCGCTTTGACATCCTCTATCTTGGTAGTCACCATTTCCACGAAACCCCAGTGTGGACGGTGGTTGGATTTCTTGGTCGGGTCTGGAAGAATCTTCTTCCCCATGACGATGAACCGGAGCAACGGCTGCTTTTCGATGTTGACTTCTTGGCAGCCATGTCCGCCCTCCATGTGGGACTTATCCTTCTTCACCGACGTGATATCGCGGGTCGGTTTCTCATCGACGGTGTGGGCACCGAGCTCCGCTCCTTCCTTCCCGGAACTCGGTTCTTGCTTCACTTCCACAGCCCGCTCGCCGGACTCCGGACGGAGAACTATGTACATTCGCTGCACGTCGTCCGTGTCATGCGCTTCTTCCTTGCCGACTTTTGGCCGGAAAAAGAAGAAAATTTCTCCACGTTCCTACAATATTGGCAAGATTGCATTGCCCAACTTAGGAAACCAACGAATTAAGAACGTAAGCCAAAAAAAAAAAATCACCTGAACTTCAACAGAGGAATCGCTTCTTGTCTTAGATTCTTGTCCTTTCCCCATGTTTCTTTCGTCGTCTGCAACATTCTAGTCCTTCCGGTTTATTTATGGCCGGCGTACGTCCCTTCAACTGCCCACGTATTCACCAAGAAAGATACCTTGACGACACGTGGCGTTTCTATAATTTGTACACGACCATCGTCACCCATTCACCCCTACTAAATCTTAAATTCCATTGTTGTAAATAAATAAATAAATATTAAGAGAACGTACTGTGTAAATTAAATAAAACTTGATAGAAAGAAGCTCAAATTTGTAATAATTCCGCACTTAGATTCTATGCTAAGTTACACAAGTCAAAGACGAAAGTAAAAAATGAATGAATTTGATTTATGATCCTAAGATATACTACGTTGTCATTTGTCAATATAATTGTCTATATATCATAAAGGAAGTAGTGTCATCTCATGTTGCAGCATATGGGCTTTCCCAGTTTCTGCAAATTGTTCCAGAGGCACATAATCTGGCGAGGAGATTGGTAGTGAGCTGTGTAATAATCTTGAATGCATCCAGATTGGCAGAACTTTAAACTGTGTACATATTCCACTGGTTTTGTGGTGTTAAACTTCTCTACCCACATTCCCATGCTCACATCCTCCATCTTGAACAGCTGAATTCAAATTGACATACACAAGAACAGCAGGTTAGAAGGTGAAGATGGGAAATGGAGATCACAAGGGGAATATATAGCAGTTACCTTCAGCTTGTGTTTCTTGAATTTGGAGACTATGAAGTGCGCGATATCTGATGAAATCATGTACCCAGGCCCATTCGCGTAAGGCGGATAAGCTTCTTCAGGCCATTCCTGATACATTTGCAGTTCACTTGATTATATTGCAGAAACAACCCAGAGACCAAAATGGCAACATAACAATAAACCATGCATGCATGCCATGTTCCAAATTTAACTGTTAAAAAGCAGAAGAAAACGATATTTATACCTCATATGCAACAGCCCATTTACCAGTCCTCAGGGGTTTGTGGTAATAATTGATATTTCCAATGTAAAAGCTCATGCTCTCAGCTACTTTGTTCACTTCATTCAGTACTGCATCTAATCTCACAAATGTGTCATCGTCGCACTTCATAATAGCTTTTGCAAATGCAATATGAACCTGCAAAACACGCGAAGATTAGTCGAGACGAAGCTAATTAATGTGAATAATGCATTGATCGATAGTGACACAAATTAAAACTCACTGCATATTCACTGATAGCAACTGTTTTCAGAACTACGAGGTTGTAACTGTCCATGTATGGAACTATGACAATGTCACCGAAAAATTCTGCTTCTTTCTTCAGCTCCACATTCACCTCTTTTCTTGCATGCTGCCAAAACATCAGATCAGATCAGATCATCCAAAATCAACTTTCAACCAGGCTCCAATTATATATGATCCTGCAGCTAATTAAAAGAAATTCAGAAGAATTTGTGTGTTCGATCACCTACCAATGCTACAAAGAATCGAGCTACAATGTTTGAAGATTTGATAAGCCTATGCTGCATCCATGACTTCCTTATAGCCATTCGCTCTGCAAAATGGTTGCCTGTAGAGAGAACACCAATTAATAGTTCCACAGGTCGATCAGGAAGAGGCGAGGCCTTCCACCTCTCGTCTGACAGATCAACATCTTTCTCGGGAGTAAAACTGGGCAAGGAGGTAGCAACTACAGACTCAACTTCGATGTCACCATTCAACCACAACCCAGTGGCATCCTCAAGTGTAAATCCCTAATTAATTCATGCCATTACATTAATAACACAAGTCCATTTTGATCATTCAAATTAAACGACTAAATTAAAGGGTATCAGATGTATCTATCTTACAGTGTGATATGGAAATGAAGTTACATGCCTCCCATCAACATTCACATGATAACCCTCAAAGCCAGCACTAAGGGTTAGTACAAACAACTTGTCCTCTGAAAATGGAAACAACCTACCCAGAGAAAGCTTCTCTTTTAGTCCCATTAACCTGTTTGACCACCATGTAGATTTCAATTGTTCAAAATGCTTATCATCATCTTCAATCCAGCTTTCGCATTTCACCTTTCCATCTACTGCATTATATTGCAACAAGAATTCAATACAGAAACTCTATAATTCCCCCCTGATGAACTTCAAAGAGTTTTAAACACCTGTGATAAAAATGCAATCTTGGCACTATTTTCCAAATTATAAGCACCTAAAACAAGTACGGAGCATCTTATAGAACCCAGAACCCTAAACTGACTTGGTAACGATTCCAATGCACACCCTAGGAATCTAGGATAGGATAGGGGGTGCAATTTCCCTCATCACTCAAAAACTAAACAAAAGAAGATATCTTTCTAGTCCAATCACCAGTCAAATTTAACACAGAGTTTATTAAAGGAAACTATTAATAACTCAAAATTATTAAAAACCAAACTCATAATCTTACCAGTTTTCTGATCATTCTTGGATCGCCATCCCTCACAGCGCTGTGCAGTCCCCCACTGCATTCTATAACAAGTGTTCAGCTCAATCACTGGCTTTCCACTAAAATCACCCTTCAACCGCGGATTAAAATGCAGAATTCTGGGCGGTTCCTCGCCGTCAACTATCTTCAGCCCCTGCAACTCCATCATAAACTGCGAAACCATCAAGGATTGGCCTTTCTCTGGCGCTGATATCTTGGAGTCGCTCTCTGGGTGCGCCCGTTTAGGCCTCCCCACCACCGTTATGTGCGAGCCCAGAGTCAGCCCACAAGATAACTCCATCATCTTACCGTTGCTCTAAAGCTCGGCTCCGGACATGGAAACCGAGTCAGGGCAATTCTCTTTTCTGTTGCTGCTCTCCTCCATAACCACTTCTTCTCTCGGCAATTCGAGCTCTTCCCATAGCTTTCTCCCAGCCTCAAAAGCTACCGCGGCGGACTTCATGATCCCGGCGTATCCGCCTTCTCTGCTCGCATTCAAGAAGCTATCGTCGAACACTATGCTCGATAACGGATGATTCCGCAGCTCTTTGATTCTTCTTTCGGGCATGGACTCTTCCAGTGGCCGATTCGGAGCATCTTTCTCTTCCACGTTCTCTCGGCTGTCGAGCACTTCTGGCTTCGAACCCGAGCTCAACAGCCCGTTTCCGAAAAGTTCTAATCTGAACCCAGTTTTGTACACAATGGGAACTTCTAAACTCACCAACAGCAAATATACAACGCACATCAAAATCAAAATCTTCACCCCCCATTTTTTCCGACTCAAATAGGCAGAGCTTTCCCTCTTCATCGTCAAACTTCTGACCATAATTCCATAAAAGTGAAAAACAAAAGCAAACTCTTTTCCTCGATCAGCAGCTCGTGATCGTCAATGTAACCGACTTTTCCAGAAGGCGAAACAAATACAATGCGTTTCGACCAACCCTTTAATTTGTTTTGAAGTAGATATTTTTGTGTGAATGGAGCACAGAAATCCCATAAAGAATGCTGAGGTTTTAGAGAGTGAGAAAGAGAGAGAGAGAGGAGTTAGGTTATCAATGCAGAATCAGAGTACAGAAAGAACTCCCATGGTTCCGCAGGGTGGCTGGCCTGCCTGGAACTAAATAGGTTTCTTTGTAATTTCCTATTTCTTAATAGGCAAAAAATTATTAGAAGGAAAAAGTGTCAAATTAGTCCCATAAGTCAAATGGATAGTGCAATTAGGTCCCTAAGTGAAAAAGCTTCATTCAATTCCCCTAAATTTATAAAATTGTTCAATTAAGTCCAAGTTAACTTGTTTATTAGGTTAAATGCATACGGTGTTGACACGTGTCCTTATTTTAATTTTTTATTAAAAATATTATTTATTATAAATTAATTAAAATAATAATAATAATAATTAAAAAAAAAAACAGTCGTGTCCGTCTTCCTTCGTCGGCCATGGCCGTCTTCCTTCGTCGGTCATGGTCGTCTTCCTTAAACCGCCGTGGCCGGTCCTTGAAGAATGAAGACAGCCACCGGCTGTCCGGCGTGGACAGTCGGTGGCTGTTTTTTTTTTTTAATTATTATTATTAAATAAAATAAAATAAGGACACGTGTCAACACCGTATGCATTTAACCTGATAAACAAGTTAATTTGGACTTAATTGAACAATTTTACCGATTTAGGAGACTTCAATGAAGTTTTTTTTACTTAGAAGACCCAATTGCACTATACATTTGACTAGGGGGACAATTTGACACTTTTTCTTTATTAGAATTCGTTAATTAAAAGGACTTGGAAACATATTTGCCGGGTTCCTCCCTTGTTCCTCAAAAATTAACCTCCTGCCCAACAATTTTTTTTTAGTATTTATAATATGATCATATGAAAAAATATAGAATTATATTATATTTAACTAAATAATAAAAACAAATTTGATCCGTGTAGGACTATTTCTCTATAATAAATGCAGTGGTTATCATTTTTTCGCACGATTTTATATTGAATTTAAAAATTAAAGAGTTATATTCGATGTATATGTGTAATATATATGCAAATTTGAATTTAGTAATATATTTACGTTATATATAAGGTGACTACGAATTAGATAATATAATCGTTTTAACAAATAACATAATAAGGTGAAATGTTAGATAAAATTTGAAAATTAAACGAGATATTAAATAGCGAAATACCCGATAAACAAGTTAATTTGGACTTAATTGATTTCATTTTGTATACACTGCAGTTTCAGTTCAATACAACTACAGTTTCATTTCAATATAACTACAGTTTCATTCAATATTTATACACTCAAATATGTGAAAATGTTATTTAATTTAATTTTATATACACTATAGTTTCATTAAAACACAACTACACGATCATTTCAATATAATTACTGCTTCATTGTACAATATACACTCAAATATGTGAAATGTTATTCAGTTTCATTTTATATATACTGTAGTTTCATTTCACCACAACTACAATATCATTTTGATATAACTGCAGTTTTATTTGATAATATAAAAATAATACATAAAACAGTGTTGGTTTAAACATACTGTAGTATCACTCCGTTATAACTGTAAAAATGACGACGTTTTGACGCGCGGTGCATAATCGATTATGCGTCGCGGTGCACGATATAACGAGTGATCCCTATCTAGCTAAACAACTTGCCATTATAATTTGCCCAAACCCACTTAGAAGGTTACATAGAGCGGCCCAATCATGCATCAAGTTGTTAACTAGTCCATTACTTTGAATTACTTATATTTCTAAAATTACAGTGCCTTAAATCTAATTTTTAAATATTGATATTTATGGACAAAAGTATTAATATAATTGTAATTGTAACTAACTATATATTTTAATTGTTAAATAATAAAAGAATATATATTAGAGTCCAATTGGCATAATCTAATTTAGGTGGGTGGTTATAACTTAAGAAGAATATTATGTTGAAAAGTCCTTGGTTGCAAATTGGTGAACGACCGCCGAGGAATATTGCATGGATCGGAGTAGGATTATGCATAATGTCTAATATTGCAGGCATATATATGCGATAATTTCATGATCATGACATTTGGCCAATTCCACGTAGCATTTTCCTATGATCCACGTCGGCCGTCGGACAATGCCAAATTAACGTCACTCTCCTATATATACATTGTTCTATTCAAGATTGTAGTCTAACGTCCGACAAATGGCTACCGGAATTTTGCTTTATGAAATAATGGCACCGACGACGGAGAAAATTATAAAGTCGGGTTCTTGTATTCAAGTTCGGTATAGTACAAAATGTTTCTCTTTATTACATAAAGAAAATTATTTATATCAATTAAATGATGATTGATAATCTTTCAAAGTAGTATTCCTGTTGTAATAAATCTCCAACGATCATTTTGGTGTCATAGTCTATATGTAATAAACATATACATTCATGCAAAAAGCCTGGGTTGAAGTGGAGATTAAAAAAAAATGTCATTTTACTTTTACATATTTGATTCTTAAATTAGTTGAATCTTTGTTTATAATAATAGTTAGTCTTGTAAAACTTGTGAACACTAAGATCAGATGATGCCCATTTCTTTTAATTTATTGTCAACAACAATACTTAATTAGCAAATAATAAATCTATGCTTAACCAAATATTTCACCCAAACTGAACCTGTTAGATACTAATCCTTCTTTATTATTAATTTGAAGTCATCTTTTATAGGACAGATGCATTCCATGCATCGTCATGCATATTTAGTTTTTAAGGAAACTGAATCTCATGCATTCCTTGCCGCCCTGCTATACTGTATTGTTATGTTATTATTATAGGTATATATTATATGCATACAACTTCTTGCCTTCATCCTCCGATCCCTGTATAGTTTTAATTTGTTTATATATTTTTTCATGAGATTTAATTTGTTTGAATCGAAGCAGAAAATGGGAAGGCCTCATGGCAGCTGCACTGAGAAGCTGCCTTCAAGAAGAGGGTTTTGGGATGACTATGATCAAGAGGATGCTGCACAGAAATCTGTAGGGTATGTTTCAAGAATCAAAACAGGTAATAACTGGACAGCCGCCATTTCCAAGAAAACAGCTGCCTCAGGTACATACATACTAAGAAACAAAACAACTTTGTTTTGTAGGTTTAATTTCTGTCTGTGTTTTTTTATGAACATGATTCTGTTTGAGTGAGTGGGTATTGTTCAGGAATGGGCGGCGGGAGAGTTGAGAGGAGTAGCAGGGCGCGGTGGAGCAATAATAATCGTTCTTCTTCGCGGCATGATGTTGATCATCATCATCATCATCATCATCAAGAACAGGATAACTTTAGTCCCCAGGAAGAAGAGCTTATCATCAAGCTTCATGCTACCATTGGAAGCAGGTGGACTATAATAGCACAGCAGCTTCCTGGGAGAACAGACAATGATGTGAAGAATTTGTGGAACACGAAGCTGAAGAAGAAGCTTTCTGCAATGGGGATTGATCCTGTTACGCACAAGCCCTTTTCTCAGATTCTTGCAGACTATGGAAACATTGGCGGGTTCCCCACTTCAACCAGCAGGCCGCCGCAATTTGGCACTCTCAACAGGGCTTTAAAGACTACAATAATCATGTCGTCAAAATCGCAGAAATTATCTGCAGATCAACCATCTTCGCGTGCGGCGGCGGATTGCTGTTTCCTGCACACCACCACTAACAAAATTAAAAGCAGCGAAGAAGACGATTCCAATCAGTATATGGATCTCCTCTCCGAGCTGCAAGCCATTAAATCCATTACAGAATCCACCAATTACTCCTCGGCCGCCGCCCCGGATTCCACCATTGTCGTCTCCCCGCCGTCCTCTCTGTCATCGTTAACATCCCCTTTAGCCGCCGCCGCCGCAGCTCAAGAAAAAGCAGGTTTCAGCTGGTGCGATGATTTTCTGCTAGAAGATGCATTTCTGCCCCTCAATAATGTCCAACAATCTTCAGACTGGGAACCCAACCACAATAATAATACAAGTCCACAAGATATCATCAAGATTTCTTCATCTCCTTCCTCATCAAACAGCAACCTTGAAGCTGCTTCTTCTTCATCGTTTGTGGAAGCAATGCTGTCGCGTGAAGACCACGACATGTTCTTGGATTTTCCTGGCCTCTCTGAGGAACCATTTTACTACTGATCTCATCACCTGCAGGTAATTAAATTAAATTAATATAATGTTCAATTTGTTCGTACAAGAATTATATATATTGTTAGCCCATCATCATATCATTTGTTTGTTCGTTTGTTTTGTCTCAAGGAAGGACATGCAGCGGCAACCTTTACATATATATATCTTTTAATTTGTTTAAGATTATATTCATTTTATAGCCTATATTCATATTTAATTTGTACAACTAACAAATGAAATAATGTATGCGAGCCTATATATGTACAAGATCCAACTATTTATTAGAGATTGTCTCGTGTACATACAATTTTTATTGTTGAAATAAACAATTAAATAGGATTTGCGCCCCAGAACGAGAGTGATATATAATTGCATATACTTTCATTACAAACAAACCAATGGAAAATAAAAGAGATTGTATACTTTGATTTACATAAAATTAAAGCTCGATTGATTATGCCAAACATCTTGTACTCAGATGGTATATGGTAACCTTTCTTAGGTGAATGTCATAAGATTGAGTCTCAGTTTGTTGACAAAATGTTCCATCAATTTAATTATCTATATATTTTGAGATAAATTTTATCACTCTTAATTATACCCAACACCAAAATTAATTACTCAATTTTACTATTTATAAACATAAACATACCTTCTTTTTTTTTTTTTTGAAGAGCATATCATACCTTATTCTCATTGATTTTAGGGATCAAAAATTTGAAAGGGAAAAAAGATAAAGACAAATAATAATAAGGCACAATTTCCTAATTATACTCCGCATACGGCGCACTTTAGAACAAAGCGAGACCAGATCTCAGCTCATAATAAGTCCAGTCCACTGTCCACATCCAATGGCTACTCAACTTTTTACATCATATATCATAATAATAATATAATAAAATAAAAAGGGCTATGCTATGTTATATTGCTATCATCTACCTCTCCCATCTCTCTCTCTCTCTTTCTTTTGCTATTTGCTAACTTATCCCTAAAGGCTAAACAGGATGGCACACAATACCACCCACAGGCGTAGCTTAGCAGCATCCATGGATCCCACTCTGAAAAGGCATCAACAACAACAACCCAAATCCTCCACCACCGCCCACCCCCACCCAGATCCCACACTTGCCTCCTCCGCCACCATCCAATGCATCTCCAAACACTTTTCCAATCTCTATTCCAATCATAAACAACGCCTTTCTGCCTCCTCAAAAGCTTCTGTTGATGCCCATCTTGACTCTTCCTGCCCAGCTTTGACCAAGTCAAAGAGCCAACATGGTAGAAATTTTCACAGAGAAGGCGCCCCAATCAAGAAATCTCACAAGCACCCAGATTTTGTCAAGAGGAGTAACGATGAAATCAAGAAAGCTTCAAAGAAGGAGGAGCCTGATCTTGAGGGGATTGATGTGAAGAGGGCGTATGGTAGTCTGTCAGGGAGTGAAGAGCTGAAGAAGATTCAGAAACAAGTAGTGAAATATGAGGAGGAGGAGGAGGAGGTGAAGAGGCCATCTCTCTCACTAGAAATGGGGGGTGGAGGGAGAAGAAGGTCATTTTCCAGCTCACAGATTGAGTTGGCAGATTTCTTCTCTTGCAATAGTGTGAAGGTTGTTTCAGTGGACATGCCACCATTTATGCAGATTCATGCTGTGGATTGTGCAAGAAAGGTTTATGATAGCTTGGAAAAGTTCACTTCCAAGGCCCTTGCTTTATCCCTCAAAAAGGTAACCATCATCATATAAACAATTTTTTTTTTTTTTTTTTTTTTTGAGTTTTCTTGATACAAAAACAAAAAATTTGTTTCTGGGCAGAACAGACTCACAGAGAAATGGATTTTACATGACCATGTAAAGTAAATGCAAATGGGTAAATTTGGGTTGTGTGTGATAATGGTTTTGTCTGGATTTTGCAGGAATTTGATGGGGTATATGGACCAGCTTGGCATTGTATAGTAGGGACTAGTTTTGGGTCTTTTGTGACACATTCAGTTGGTGGGTTCATATATTTCTCCATGGATCATAAGCTATATGTACTCTTGTTCAAGACCACTGTACAGAGAGCAGACTGAAAGCTGAAATCTGAGGTGAAATTCCACCATTTTAGCTTCTCAACAGGAGATAATTTTAAGAAGATGATAGTTTGTACATTGGTTTTGTTAAGAAAAGAACTAGATGCTCATTTCCCCTCCTTTATATATATCACTTTACAACAAATTCATCTTAATTAAAGTAATTATTATATTGTTTACAATCTTGATTGTGTCTCATCTGTCATCTGTCTTGTGACAACCCAGCCAAACTCAATTTGATTCATATTGCAATTACCTTCAGTTCACAAAAAACAATCTAAATACTCATGACAAAAACAATCTAAATGTTCAAGATGAACTTATAAGGTGTGACCCTTCAGGAAGAACTTTTGGTACCATCATTATGAAAATCTTTTTTTTTTTTTTAAACTAAGGTGGTGCCCAGTGTCAACATCAATAGTCACTACTTGGCAGGAATCGGAAAAGCAATAGTACCAAAGTACATTAATGGTGGTAATGTACTAAAAAAAGAAACAGTAAATTAACACTCTTTTCTTCCTATCCTGCAAATTGGACTGGCAAAACAATGTGGATTGCATAATCCTAGAGTTCTTTTAAATACTGTGATCAGGTTACATATGACATAACCTTAGATGAGATGCAGAAATGAAATAACAAACAAGAATGTCCAAGGAATGCGTTTGGTTCAACTGTTGTAATGAAATCCAGACATAGAAAAGCATCATACTTAAAGGCAAAACTCCCGCGCAGCTTGACTAATAGGAATAACTCCGGATGGTGTTATTAGGGCATCGACAAGAACATCATCTGGAGTAACCGGTATGGCATCCACTATCTGCACCGAGTATGAAAGTGCAACTGCAAAGCAAAGTTAGATGTGTGAGAGCAAGTGCAGTTTTTATGCATGTGGTTATAGAGCAAGAAGGTGATCTGACGTACTCTTGAGAGGTTGCTTCCAATTTCGCGCCTTTGCTAGCTCTTGATATTTTGTCAAGAAAGTGTCGTAGTAGCTTCATTTATCACCGTGAGCAGAATGCAGAGAGAAACACCAAATTTAGATATTAAAAAGTTACTGAAGGGTCAGACAAAACAGCATTTAGCAAATGTATGAATAATCTAATCTAATATAGGCAAGCATAAAGATATGTACAACCAAGAGAACATGGGTGATGGAGAAGAAAACTAGAGCTCATTTTCCCACCACCAACCAATTTAATAAATCAAACCCCACCAAGAAAAGGATCCAAAGGGAAACTGAAGAGCGGGGCCCTGTTTGGTAAAATAGTTAACTTATCAGCCAATTTTGGCTTATTTTACCACTATTAATTATTTGACTTGGTTAAAAGATCAATATAAGTGTTTGGTTAATTAGCTTTTTGTAACTCCAAAATGCTAAAATTCAAAAAGCTGTTCAAAGAAACTTTTTTAATTAGCTTTTTGAGAAAAGAAATTATACCAAACAACTGTCAGCTAACAGTTAATTTACCAAACACCTTTCTACAATTAGCTAATGTTATCAACTAGTTATACCTCTAATTAACCCAATCAGCTAACAGCTAACAGCCAATTAGCTAATAGCCATTTACCAAACACAGGCCCATGGCTACACTGAATCAACAGCGTCTGAAACTTACCCTCCACCACGACCTATACGCCTTCCAGCTTTGTCAAATCCAAGTCCTTCGCAGGGGAAATGAAAGGAAAGTAGAATATGAGAAGCTAAAACCATGTAAACTCAAGATATCAATGATTAGAAAGGAGTTTGAAGACACTTACCAGGTATAAGGAACAAGTCAACAGGTTCATTAGCCAACAACACTGCAAAGAGAATTTGTTAAAGCACAGCATAAAATGCTTTCCCAAATACATCAGCTGAATTGAATTGATGCTAAAAAAAGTAAGGTAAAACACAAAGAACAAAGAAAATGGTACACTTATTGTGAATGCTGGAGCTAGCAACTCTTACAATACCGAATAGCTTTAGAAGAAAAATAAAAGGTACCATCTTCACGTTCATTTCCCTCAGCATCTGTCAGACCTGGTTCCAAAATGTTCATTGAATTTGGAATTAAATCTTCAGTGCTTGAGATGTTCAACATTCGCATGTTTCTGTTCTTGTCCTCCACACGTGGAACATAGAGCTTCTTTTGATCTGCATATCCCCGTCTTTTTCAAATATAATAAACAAGCATTTCACCTTGCTAAAGAACAAGCACAAATACATACCAAAGGGCCAAAAAATTTGAAAATACTTCTTTTATCAGAACAAAAAAAAAAAACCCAAATCTCATAAAGCCAAGCATCATATAAAGATTTCTCAAGCTATTAGAACCATCAAAGGTGGCCTAATTGAGGTCATAAGTTCAATTCACAGGAACACACCATTTTCAGAATATCACTTTCTACCAAACATTGATACATATAAGTTGTTCCATTGCTTATCCACAAATTAAGACAACAACAATTCTTTAACAATATTCAAAAGCAAAAAAAAGGTTGTGTTTAAGATAAAAATCACACCTTTGGACTGCGTCTGAAGAACTTCTGCAAGTATATTAGAAGTATCAACTTCTCGAAGAGCACTACAACAAATGTAAGCACATAGTCTCTTACAATCTTTAAACCATGGAGATTTCAGAACTGCATTCTGTATTGCTTCATCTGGAAAGAGTGATAAGCCAACGATAAATACATACAGGCGTGTATGTATAAGTGATTACTACTCACATATAACTACATACCTTCTTGGGATCTTTGGGTGGGATCCATTGACTTGAGATCTCTTCTGATTTTGGATCGGAGAGCCTTCTTCTGAGCGAAGATCGCGTCAAGAACGGCGGCGCCGGAGCTCGGGTTTGATTCTTCTACGGTGCTCATGGTTGCTAGAGTGAAGCGAGGTGGCGGTGGCCGGTGAAGGGTAGCTAGTTAGCTACTATGTGAGTGAGTGAAGAATTGTTGTGCGGAGATTAGTGATTAACCAAAATATCAAATTGGCCCCTATATTTTTAATAAACTATCGATTATTTCCTATCTTCTTTTTATATTATTGAGGAAAAAATTATGTGTCAAGATTTTAGCCATTGGTAACTGGCAACTAACTCTCGAGCTAATCGCCCCACCACATGTCTCTCTGTTTCGGATCAAGCCATACCCAACATGTTCTCTTAGGTTAGTTTGAGGTTAAGGTTATGTATTTGTCTTTTTGAATTCTCGAAGCTTTACTTCTTTTCTATAAAGTCTTCATTTTTAATGGATTGAAGAAGAAGAAGAAGAGGAGGCTTTTTAATTTGTTGAACTTTATCAGTTCTACAGTGTAAAGCCCCTTTTTTTTTTTCCAGTTTTTCTGGTTTAGCTGTGATGGATGGATGGATGCACTTTATAAGAAAAAATGAATTTTTATAATTAAATGTATAGCATCAACTTTTACAACAGAAATTAATATGGTGAACATTACAAGGAAAGAAAGAATGAGAGGAGAAAAAAGAAGTCAGAGCTGCATTGATGCAGAAGCTTCGATTTGAAAGCTCCTTGCAGGACAAAAAGCAGCTATATTTTCTAATATGGAAACATTAATGACCGTACTAAATTAAATATGATCTGGTAGCAGCAAAACGTCGTAGGTTATAGGCTGAACTAGACAACGTTACTTAGTACGGCTGAATTACTAAGTTTCTTTGTTCAAGAAAAAGGTGATCTTGATCTTGATAATGCTGTGATGCCTCCACTGATCTCCTCAGTTCCTGTAAAGTTTCTGTATTTAGTGCATATGAAGATAAAACAGCAGAGAGATGAAGGAAGAAAGAATATGAATTAATTACCCTTGTCTGTCTTTATTGAGTTCTGATGAAGGGAATTCTTCTTCATCTGAAGATCCAGTAGTCTTGTTTCCAACATTGGTTAACGAACCCGAAAGATGAGAGTTCTCAAACTCATAATCTACAGATGATTCCTCCCTATTCCCGGCTGTGTAAGTGCCAGAATGCTTTAAATGATCTACTTCATCAGTAGGACTGGTACATTCTGACATTCCAAAGGATGATAAGAAATGGGATCTCAGCTCCAGATAATCTTCGTCCCCGGGAACTTCATAGGCCTCGCCATTTACTCTCGAGAGAGGTCCATAGTGTTGTCTATATGCCTCGAGCTCAGATTCCATAATCTTCATTTCCTCCTCCCTCTTTATGAGCATGTCTCTCATTAGTTCCACTTCTTCTTGGTCGAATTCTACCTCTTCTTCCATCATTCTCTGGTACTGGAATGCCTCCATTTGAAGGGCTGCCTTCTCTTCTTGCAGCCGAGTGATCATTGCCATTGCATTATTTGCTGCAATGGCGGAAGCGTTTCTTTCTTCATCCAGTTCCATCTTTAGTGCCATGAGAGACTTGTGATATCCTTCACTCGTGTCATTGGAATCTGAAAGAACATCCATTGACAGCCTAGACAACCTAGGACTTGCTTGAACTGAATCTGAGGAAGGGAGAAACCTGCTTGCTCTTAGAAAACTAGGGGTTCTGCAAGCTTCTTCTTGGACTCCCTCTGATTTAGTGTCATTTCTCACTGCAAACATCATAAATGGAAACAATGAAACATCACATTATGACAATGAAGGAAAGCTTCAAACTTGCTAACAAGTGATCTACCTGGAGTAGAAGAATCTTCCTCATATGGAAGCTCAGAGTCATTATCAGGCCTCAACTTGATGTCTGTGAAACGAATGCGAGGTGATTCAACACTGCGGATTTGCTCATTTCTCCAGGCGCGAGGCGATGGAGCAGGAGCATTGGAGTTCATGGATAGATTCCTGTTATACTTGAGCCTTTGGATGAAGTCCCCACAACACGAACACCTCTCAGAAGTGGTGTCCTTGTCAACCTGGGGGGCCTCCTCGTTGTCTGTCACTGTCTTGATAGATTTCACAGAAACTCTGGCACCATCATCAGCAAAGCAGCTGACATCCTTGTGCAGAAGCCCCAACAGAGGCTTGTACCTCTCACAATCAGAATCTTTGGAGGTGGCAAAGGAAATAAGGCAATTATCACACAAATGCCTGATTTCAGAGATCTTCTTGTGAATATGGCAATATGCGAGGGAGGAAATGTCCCTCTTGTGCTCTTCACAGAGGCAGTCATTGTAGCAGAGATTTTGTTTCCTGTGAGACATGACATATTCGATCCTGGTACAGAGCAAGCAAGGGATGTTTAGCTCAAACAGCCTCGCGAATTCATCAGACAAGAACGCCAGAAACCCATCCAGGAGAATCATCATGATCATCATCCATTCTAGGACAGCATATATGAACAAATACACACACATTGGGAACCTTTGTTTCACAAAACGCTTGAATGACAGGGTAGGCTGGGCCATAGAAGCGGCGGCGGCCATTTTCTGGAGCAAGGAAAATTTGTTTTGTTGAGACTTGAGAGAATTGAATCAACAGGCTGGGAATGTGGTTGGCAGGAGGGATCAAAACCAAATTTGGGTTTGGTTAGATGAGACAGATCATGACCTTGCTGTGATTAATTGAACCACCACTGGATCATGATCCGCCTCTCCCTCTTTTGGGTTTTGTGTTTATTGTGTTGAAAGCAGGAGCAAGACTGAAGAACAGATTTGGGCTGACAACAATACTTATAATAGAATTGAGTGGCAGATTTTGTTTCAGTTTGCGGAGGAATTGGCCTCGTCCGAACATTTTTACAGCAATTTGCGGACTGTCACAGTTTCTGTGTTTTTTTTCTGTCCATGTAAAACTTTCCTAATTCCTATGTTATGTTTTTATTATCTCCAAATACAAGTACAACCTTTTCTAACCATTAAAAACCAAACAGCTGGATCGAAACAAGAATCACCACCAATATAATGCCCCGCAGCTTCACTGGAACATCACATAACCTGCTCCAATCAAACACTCATAGAATAAATAACATTGGACACCATACCATGAACATAGCACAAACATTATATCTTGATAACACAGGTAAAATGCACAAGTAGCAGCTTCATATATACTGATAGTTTCAATATTATTGTACGCTAAGAAGCATTCTGATCTATATAGCATAAAACAATAAGCTGGGCGGGCAAGGCATGATAAATCTGGAATCTGTACAACAATAAAAGCCCAAATTCTACATCTTTCCTTAATGGTTACAAATATGCAAAGCTTCTTCTTTTGTTCTCATGCCACGCCGACGACAGTGTCTCCATTAATCCCCGGGAATACCAAGTGCATTGACGACGAGTGATCCAATGACATGGACAGTTTCAAGGACAGAGATGATGGGTCAAGGAGCTGAGAGGGTGAACAAGGAAGCGAAACGACAGGAAGTGGATGGACAAGTATGGCGGATGTGTTGTTTACTTGGACCAGATTTTCCATTGGCCTCTCAATTTGTAGTGGTAGCAAAACAGGAGCAACAGTCAGGGGTGGAGGAACCAGGTTCCCTTCTTCAGGAGACACCTATTTATTTATTAAACACAACAACGTAACTTAATTGAGAAATGGAATAATAATAATCTTCATTTTCTTTCCTTGTTTTAATTAATCCACACAACGTACACCTAAATCACTTTGAAATTCACAAATGGAAAGGAAATCTTTTGCACTAAACTTAAGCCATTCATTGCTTGATTTTGGAGCAATTATTTATCCATCATCATATCACGTACAGATGATATGTCTTAGATTTTTTATGTGAGATCGATAATCACAGCTAAGGATACCTGCAGGCTTGTTAGTGGATAGAAGAAAATGAAAAGTCATAAAGAACAATAGTGTTATGATTGAATATTATATTAATTATTACCGCGTGAGTGGTGATATCAAAGAGGCTGGATCTGCGGCGGCGCCTATTGAGATTGGTCCGTCGGAGAAAGTATTTCTGAGCATGACTTGCTACTTGTGTGGGTGTACGAGTCTTTACATAATTTCTAGAGATTCCTCTCCAGTTTCCTTTTCCCACTTTCTGTAATCCCAAAAGGAACAGCTTGTGCTCTTCTTCAGTCCATGGAACTCCTAAAAATTAATATCCAGTTAGCTTAGCTTCATCAATAATCAATTTTCATAGCTAGCAGGAGTAATATAATTCAAATTGATAATCAATTAACATACAAATTGTATATGATCAGACTAACAAATTGATTTGTAGTAGAGGAAGATTAGAGAAGAAGAAGAAGAAGAAGATGACAGAGATGTATCTGACCTCGCTTACGGTCGCGGCCACCGCTAGAGCGGTGCGGGACGTCGTCATCAGCCGAGGCATAGCCGTCGTCCACCACCGCTTTCATCGACTCATTATCTGTCGTCGCAGAATTAAGATGCTCGTACTGAGACAAGTTATTCAAACTGACGCTCTTCCTCATGGGGTCCACCCTCACCCGCACCCCAAACAGCATGATCTCACCAGAACTTTCCACACCGGCGGAGGCCGACGACAGCTCGTCGCAAGTGCGCGAGTCCTGCAGGCCGTTGCTGACACAGCTGAAGCCACAGTCGGCAACCATCCTTAAACTCCCCATGAATCCACAAAAGTTATCAAACAATTGATTGAAGCACTAAGGATGAGATCATGTATGCATACAGATTATATATGTAGCCTATAGATACATATAGATCCTCTCGAGTTTAGAGTTTAAATAGAAGGAAGGAGAAAACTGTGATGGCGAAGGCCGAAGGGGAATTTTGTCATTGCGGCGGGCCACGTGCCACCTCCACTCTTATCACGCTTTATCCGAATCTTCTATCTTAGCTTTGTCTTTTCTTTTTCTTTTTTTTTTTTTCTTTTTTTCTTTTTTCTAAGAAATACAAATGTATTTTACTCCAGTCCTATAGTTGACGCCTCACATCAATAACAACTACATAGATACTCTTTTATTATACTTTATAAGAATTCAAGCGGGATGCAATCTGTATTTTTTTTTTTCTTAATACTACTAACTGTGTTATAATGCAGTATCTGTTCAACCATTTTCTCAACTTACTATAGCACAAAGAGTCAATATTTCTCTCAATTAGGATGATTGTTTAAGCCTTGAAGGCAATGGAAGTTAAGGAAAAGGCATGTGTTTATAAATTTATAATATATTGATGGTTGAAATTTCTCTACAAATTATTGGATAAATATTGAGTGTCTTGAGCTTGACAAACATTAAATTGATATGCAATTCCTAATATAGCGTTGTTAGAAATGTAAAATGAAAAATTGGAAACAATTAACCTAGTCTAATCATCAAGTCAACAATTTAGCATGGTACGGTGAATGCTTCCCACCTTAATTGCCTTTTAAAAGTGCAAAATGTGAGTATTTTTTCTTTTCTTTTTACTTTAAAATGCATGATCGATGTTGATGGATGAGTAGATGACAAGACCTTGGAATTCAAGGTTACCCCATTAAGTGCCATCTTTTCATATTAAATATTAGCGAAAAGCCATAAAATATGGAATCTAATAATTTAAGAATATTTTTTTGTTTAAATAGGTCAACAATTGTATGACAATTGGTAATCCAGCTATTACTAGAATTGTGTGTGTATAATGTTTAAAAAAATAAAAATAAAAAACTTTTGAATCAGGCCCCTCTCTCAATCTTGGTGGTAGGAAAAAAAACAAAGGGCTCTTTTTCATATATAATGAGCTTGTGACAATTAGAAAGAGAGAGAAATTTTGTATTTTAATGAGTTCTACTACATACGCTCTCTCACTTTTACTCATGATATGACAAAAGATGATAAGTTATGTTCATCATATGAGTCTTAAAAAAAATGTCAACATTAAAATTTGGAGTGAAGAGAATAAAAGTATAGAATAAAACTTAATGTAGTATTTGCTATCTTAATTGAGAGTAGGAAGTTGTTTTCAAAAAATAAAAAAAAAAAAAATTGAGAGTATGAAGTTTGAAGTTTTGATAGGTACTAAATGTCAAAGATAGGATTGAGACATCTAATGGAACAATTATAATCCTAAAAAATTTGTAAAGTACATGCTAGGCTGCTACCAGCCTGGAAAGTCATTCCAAGAAGAAGGGCAATTCTCTTAAGAATCAATGGTAAATTAATGACTGGTATTTGTGCACTAATATGGCGTATAAAGGTTGTTATCTTTAAGTAAATAAATTGTTTATTGGGAGTGGGTGGATTTTTATTTTTATTTTATTACAATTTTTTTTAACCTGCTGCACTTAACTATCAGGAAATAGAAAATCGCCAATTTACCTAAAAAAAAAGTATATATTCATGATAAAAGATGGATGGGAATATACATTATAGTATTAAACCACCGTGTAGAATGAGGGGCGGATGGGTGGCTACTGGCTAAGTAGTGCGTTGAAACTGGCCACTAACATTTGCATCCACGAGGTGAGGTTTGGACATCTTTTACCTCAGCTCTATGGATAGGATATGATGTTCTCCCACTTTATTTATTCCTGCCTGCAAACTAACATTTCCTTTCCTCATTTTTTTTTTCTCATTTCTGTGGAATAAAAAAATAAAAGATGGTTACGTTACTGTTTTAATATACTAAGTTCCAGAAGGCCTCATTTTCGTAGCGGACAATGGTTGTTGAAGCCACATGGGCAGGAGAGAATATTGTTTAACTAGGACAACTGGGTTTTGTAATATATATATTTTTTAAGCTGGTTTTGTAATATTTAATCATAATAGAATTACCATTGGGGAAAATAATAATAATAATAAAACCAGTCTTGTATAGTCTACTGCTTTCCAGATAGATGGAACTTTTTGTCTTCAGACGCCACATCTCAAAAAACAGTTAACAGAATATACCGAAAGCTGTAAAAATTCCCATCTGAATAGGGTTGTAATTGCCACCTCCTGATCAGATACATTCTCTAAAATTTCCAAATAAATCCAGACAAAAAGAGTAACTAAACAAAAATGATGCATTAATTTACACAAGGGGAAATCCACACCCTTGACCCATTGGTCTTTCACTAAACCAAGCACCACAAAAATGTAAGCATTTCGTGGCCAAAGCATACCTGAGAAGTGAGTCATAAAGGCACACCATGTATTCTGACATATTGGTGAGTGTTATCCAACATTGGCACCGGAACCTCATTCTCCACCACTGAAAAACCCACCATCTCATCATTCGGAAGACAGCCACGAGTTCTTACATTTCTTTGTGTGTGCACCCCTGGTCACAAAAAGCTGGCCTTGGATTCACGTATCCATTCAAGTTGTGGTTGCCAAAAGTTCTGAACGTGTTCTGTTCTTTTTGGTTTCACTACTACCATGTTTTGATCTTTTTGCGTCCCTTGTAGATGACTGTGTAGCCAAAAAAGGAATGGGGGTGTTACTTAGAGAAGTTTGGATGCCACCTTTTGAGCCTTCTGAAGATGATTCACTACTGCCAAAAATACGCTTCAATTGAGACTTTTGGCAGATTATTCTGCCCTTGTTCCACACGGGGAAACTAAACGTTGATGAAACATAATCCTCCAGAAAAGAATAAGCAGCCTTTGCAATTGGAGAATCTCCACCAATTTTGCTCCTTTCCATATCACCTCGTCTGAAAATCATAAACAAAACAGAGGAACAAGTATTTGTCAATACATGCACACAAAGGGATAGTAATAGAGGAAAGGAAAATAATAATAATAACAGAACAAGAAGAATTACTCAATTCTGTGCCCTGTCCAAGTACATCACACACATGAGATTAAATTACTATTATCTGGTAATTCTCAAACTTGATTGACTTGGTTTCCAATTACCATGCATACCCATGCACCAAAGGTTTGCATGATTTCAGTTCTTATTTCCTTGACAATGTGGGAGATGACAAAAGGAGGGGTAAGTGCAAAAAGATGGCCATCTGCCTCACTTTCCAATTAAACCCACCACATAAAATGGGAAGCTATAATTTGCATTTGAAATGAGCAATGATAAAAACAGCAAAATGTTGAGATCTACCTCCGACCTCAAGCATACAATATAAGAAATAAATATGAAGACTACAAGAGGAAAAGAGAATGCTACTAAGAGTAGATAAAATGTGAAAAACACTTACACCACCACAACTGTTGCCACTTCAGGAAGGTCCTCCCCTTTTGGCAACAGTTCCTGCATATTATTAAGCCAGACAGATATTGCAGTACATGCACCTCCAGGCCACATCCTAAACAATAAACATTTGGGTAGAGTAGAGTATAAGTATGTTTTCAAAAAAAAAAAAGAGTATAAGTATCATATTAAGCTTTTTTACAGAGCAAATGTTGCTAGTGCTTACCTATGTACATCTACAGACCACACAAGTTTGTTTTTCCGATATAATTCAGGGAACAGTCCCCTCTTTGTTGCCTCATTTAGCACTCTTGCAGCCCTTTCCTTCTGGCGAAACCACCAAAGTGCTTCTAGAAGTGCATTGTAAAATCTAATGCCCAGACCACATCCTTCATACTTGAGTTTGTCAAAGACATACTCTACGATCTGCCAGTTATTGTCATCATCAAAATCCCCCTTGATCATTTGTCCAATAACCTGGTGCATTTCGGACACCTTATTTGTTAACATCTCATCTAATAATTCCAAGGCTTGATCCCACCTGAAGCAAGAATTTTAAAGTAAGGAAATTAAAACCATGGCTGATCTTTACATGGACAGCCCAAAAAATTTAAAATATTCAGCCAACTTAAGAGCATGGGTAGAAACTACTAGAAATATACTAATCTTCAAAGGGCCCAGTTCACTATCTAAGCTGAAAGTATTTAGAAGGCAAAAATTCCAAATTCAAGTATTTAACCAATTTCTTAAATTCATAGAAGTATGAAGAGTGGTAACAAAAGCATATGTAGAGTAGTTTATAAGGTAAAGCATTTCCACATTTCATAGATGGGTTATAAACAGAAAGTTATCCCCATTCAAAAAGGTAAGTGCTGCAATATAGCATAAATTATTTTTCCTTGAATGACGAAAGGCAACAAACAATATATCAACAACACCCCCTTATTAAATGGAGGATCCTGTGATCAGTTTCAAATTCAACAAAAACATACAGTGAAATCTATGTTATTATACCTCCAGCTGATATGCAGTTTGCAGAAACCTAGGTCATCACAAATTCACAATCCTAGGTACTTGATGAGGAAAAAGAAAACCTTAGAAACTAAAGAATCACACAGTAGCACATAACAGGGGAATAAGCTATTAAAATCTAACCTTTCACTTCTTGCATAGACTGCCAGCATCATACAGTAGCACATAACACTAGGTTGTATGCCTACAGATTTTATTTCTTGAAATTGCCCCTCGCTTTCATCAACTAGACCTGCAAAGCAGTAGACACTTAGAACTACCTCAAGGGTTTGTTCATCTGGATCACATCTTTCCTTTTCCATATCAACATAAGTCTTTATAGCTTCTTCAAACTGGCCTCCCTGTCTATATGCTTCAATCATGCCATTAAATGAATCTCCGTTCCTCTGAACACCCTCCGCTTCCATTGTAAGCAATATTGCTTCAGCCTCTTTGTAAAGTCCCCCTCTAGCAAATGCATGGATCAGAGAATTGTAAGTTTCAACCATAGGCTTGCTTCCAACCTCATTCATTGTATTGAAAGCAACAGTAGCCTCTTCATATAATGCAGCCTGTCCATAAGCTTCAATAACACCGTTATAAACCTTAGAACTTGGAACTAACTCTTTTCTGTACATACTAAGAAGGATCTTCTGCGCATCTTCATGAAGCCCTCCCTTCCCACATGCATATATCAATCCTTCATAAGTTTCCATATTTGGTTCCACTTTCTCTTCCATCATATCATGGAACAATGTCACTACTTCTTTAAAATATCCGCCTTCCCCAAATACCTGGATAAGAATGTTATACGTATCTGCATCTGGCTCTGTATTACTAATTTTCATCTCAAGAAAGAGATCCCTGACCTGATCATACCTCTCATTCTTTCCATATAAATTCAACAAAATGCTATAAGTCTCCGCATTAGGAGTACACCCTGCAGCCTGCATTTGCCTGAAAACATCCATAGCCTCCTTCAATGACCCTGAATGAGAATATGCCTCCAACAAGACATTATAGGATGTTACCTCAGGTAAGTTCCCTCCTGCCTCCATTTCCCTAAGCAATTCTGAGACTTTCTCTAACTTTCTTAGTTTTCCAAATGTCTCAACCAAATAACTATAAGTAGTTATATCAGGTAAAACCCCACCCTCAGTCATTGTCCTAAACACCATTTCTGCCTCATCATCCAATCCTCTATTTGCACAAGCACTTAACAAAGTATTATACGTGACCAAGTCTGGCTGAATCCCCTCATGTCGCATTTCAGCAAATAGACTCAATAACCCCTCCCATTCATATCCCCCTCGAGCACAAGAGTTAATAACCGTATTATATGTCAAAATGTTGGGAACTACTTTTTCCTTTTTCATCTTATCAAGTAATTGGAGGGAAGTTTGGTACTGACCATTCCGGCCAAAGGCATTGATGATTGCAGTATAGGAGAAGACGGTTCGGGCAACACTGTGAGCTGGCATTTCATCGAATATCTCCATGGCCTTATCGAGAAGGCCTTCGCGGCCAAGTATTCCAATCATTAAAGTGTAAATATGCTCGTTAGGGCTGCACCATATCTGGCGCTGCATGTACTTGAAAAGACGGAGAGAGCGCTGCCAATCGCAGCGGGCGGCGAATTCCTTGAAGACGTGGGAGAAATCGGTGAGGGAGAGCTTGTTGCGGAAGGTGTCGAGGCAACGCGCGATGCTACCCCGCGGCGGGAGGCTCGATAGCTTGTTGATAAGGGTTTCGACGTGGTAGCTGTACTTGCCTTTCTCCACGGTAACTGTAGGGTTACCGAGGATGAGCTCTTTAGGCTTGCCTCTCGCCGCGACGGTGAGTAGAATCCGCCGGTGGACGACGGAGAACTTTGGATGGTGATGCAGGTGAGGGATTTTGGAGGGAATTAGGGGATGATGAAATTTAGTGGAAGGAGAAAGGAGTGGGGAGAAAGAGTGGTAGGATAAGGACATTTTGTTCATTCAAACATGTGTTGAGGAAATGAAGCGGTGGAGCACAACGGTGGCCGGTGGAGGAGACAGTAAGCAGTGGTTTAAGCTGGGGATAAAAAACGAGGAACGTGGAATACGGTGGCCGACTTTCTGTGGATAAGAACTTCAACTAAAAATAACGGTTATTAAACCATTTAGGCTTGTATTAAGATCCACTGGGCCTTGATAAAAATTATTAACATATCTGATTTTTCAATCAAATCCGCTTATCAATTGTCTCCTATATTTTATCAAATTGCTGCTAATAATTCACTCATCAACTGTCTTATATATTTGTTTACTTTTTAATAGCACAAAAGCTGAATTATCCTGAAATACTTAACCCACCATCACACCAGAATGCAAAAAACACTACGACTGCACTATTTCACAATCAAAGTAAATTTTTTTCTGCGTTTGTAATGTTAGGAATAATACAAGATTTGGAGAATTATACCTATCTGATTCTAAACTATACGAAGAAGTTTGAAACCCAGTATTTTTTTAAGTGGTTCATTGCTACAAAGTGCAGTTTGCAGCGAGTAAAACTGCCCTTCAGGAGTAAAAACCTTATATTAGCTATTAGGTTAATATGGAGTGACTTGAGGCAAATAATTCAGAGCACCAAATGCGCTGGAGATGAAAATGGGCATCCAGAACTGTTCATGTGCACTATAGGCAGGCTCTGGATGTGAAGATTTAGGGAATGGAAAAGCTCCCAAATAATCAACGGAATACTTCTGGAAATGACCACATTATGAATTTCACAAAAGTGTCTGATTCCAGAAACTCGATGTGAGCTGCCCTTCCTATCATGGTGTTCAAGTTCCTCCCCTGCAAGGACGTATCGAAATTAACATCGCATCGCATGAAAACCCGATGATCGTGTGAAGGAGAGCGTATCTGGTCTAAGCAATGGTTGAGCATCTCCATAAATACTTTTCCCTTCTTTGAGCTGTCTGCCGAAGATGCTTGGCACATCTCAATCCTAGCAGAATGATATGGAACGTAACCATCCTGAAAGCAGAATGACAATAGCACAGCTTGCCTCAGATGCATCAAAGTTTTTTTCTTTTTTTAATTGACTCATTTTCTTAGAGCATCAAAGTAACCACTAATATAAGTGCTATTGCTATTGGTTTATCAGTTCTCAATGTCAGAAATGTATTTATTCTGTTTCAAGAAAGAATCTAATGCATCATAGCCTTGAAAAGGAGAGGATGAAATACCTGTGGTGAAGATAACAGAATAATATTCCTGAAGTTCTCCAAGGTCTTCCGCTGAGAAAGATGTAGCAAGTGCAGTGCATGAGAACCACAGTAATAACACAGATTATTACTCCGTACTATTTTCAATAAACTACACAAACCTTCACAAATCCCACTAATGACTGGAATTATTGAATTTTAATACATTACACCAAGTCCTTATATTTTCTTCCACTGAATATATCTAATCCAAATATCTAGTTTTACTGGTTGGGCAAACTGAAAGTGTATTGTCGATGTGAAGGCTTCATGCCACCTTTTAAAAGTACTAGCAAAACTATTTAAAAAAAAAAAAAAAAAAAAAAAAAAAAAAAAAAAAAAAAAAAAAAAACTGAGACTAATCAGTACCTTGCAAAGTTTGTACAAGAATGTATTTTGTATATCAGGATCATCTGTAAACGTAAGCTGATGAATGCACTGTGTGCCCTTGAGCTTCTTCAAAAGCCATAGCCCAGAATTAAATAAAGAATTTGAACTGTACAAGTAACCAAGATGTGGCCCGGAAATAGAAACATAGGTATGCAGATATCTGAGATAAGGTTCCATGATGCTCTCTGCAAAAGTAGAAAACAAAGTCGTTGATATTTGAACTAGATTGAAGAAGGCATCCAAATCTATGGGGAACAAACCTGTTAATGCAGTTCTTAATATGATGTTTCCAATGGAATGACCTACAAAGCTAATCTTGATGCTTTTTAAATTTCCATATCTTGTGGCCTTGTCCATCTTCTTTTTTACGAAAGACGTTACTTCTTGAGCGAGCCTTAATCCCATTTCTCTGAAGTCGCCAGAAGTTTTCTCTTCGTTAGCCTCTGACATAAGAAACTCTATCTTAGGATCTATCAAAAGCCATTGATTCCTTACAAGACGCAAGTCTAAATGATGTCCCTGCTCATGGTATTTTGTGCATGGTCAGAAAAGGTCATCTGTTTATTCTGGTAAAAATTTTCACAAAATTTTATGCAATGAGTAGGATGATATTGCTTGCATGCCTGAAATCCATGGACAAAGACAACAATTTTTAGAGAACGGCCATTTTGCTGAGGGCATTCATCAGATGACTTCTTTATAGCTTTGGAATCCATCATCATAGGAAGCAAGATATCTGCATCTTTTTGCTCCAGATGCCTCAAGTATGAATTTCCACTAGTTGAGCGCAATGGAGCATTTACAACATGTTCTACAATCACAATTGGAATGCGCGATGGATCTCCAAAAATTTGCATATCTTGGATTGAACAATTATTTATCTGCAATAGAAAAATTCTTTGGTCAGGCATCCAGCTTATTAATGTATTGCAGGAAACATTGTTTCTTTGACAGAACTCACCCTCATTTGTGCAATACTCCGCCGGTGAAGCTCAGCTCGCATAGCTGCAGTTTGTGTAGGCTGCTCAGAGCACAATAAAATATTGAAATTATGACAAACTTGATTACCACCTAAAAAAATATGACATTAAGAGAGCAAGTACTAAATCAGAAGCTTAAGTTTCAATTACATCCTCAGTGAGCTTCCGAAAGATGGGTGCTCTCCCAACAGTACCATGGAAGGTAGAACTATCAACCTCACTACTTATATATTGATAAGGCATCTCAACTTTAGAATAAACCATCCATATTGACCACTCAGCTCTTCGATCAATAGCCCATTGATTTCGAAGAAAATCAAGAATTAATGTTCTGTGAGCCCTGGAAACAAATTAAGAGAATGAATCGAAGAAAATCAAGAATTAATGTTCTGTGAGCCCTGGAAACAAATTAAGAGAATGAATTTTAGAAAGCACGGTAGGTAACAGCAAGAACAAAAAATGCATCTCAGCATAAGAAACTCAGAAATCTTATCCCTTAAGATTTGGTAATCATCTTCTGTTAAACCTTTTTCCAAGGTGCATAGTTTTAACTCTTCTTAAAAGGTCATGTAGCAAGACTGCTAGTGAAACATAAGGTTATCGAATACAATAGATGCAACAAGTGAAAGTAAACCTGTGAAACTTTAGAAATATACTCCATAAGTAAAATACTTGGTTGCCAAAGGAATGAAATAAGCCCACTAGTTCATCCTTGGATAGAGAATGAAGAACTTCTTCATTTCGAAAATCAGTTATACCATTGCGTTTCTGTTAGGAAGAGAATAGCAGATTAATACTATGGAGAGTAAAGCACCATGAACGAAAGCAGAAATGCAGCCTCATAACATGGGGAGAAAAAAAAGAAGAAGAAGAAGAACCTGTGAAACACTCTGCTTTTGGCTTGGCATTTGTCCTGAAACTTCAGCATTATCTTTTGAAGATGTGCTTTGGCGGGAAGTGAACAAGTCTTTATCCTCATGCTTAGAAGAAAAATCATTTACATCAATTGCTTGATTAATAGCCTTACTGACTTTCCTTAGCTCTTCAAGTAATATGTCACGAGCAGTTAAAAATCCTTTTATAAGAACAACCTGTTTCAATGGTGCTTTATGAGTATTTATTTTGTAACAAGCAGAAATTTACTATACTGCTAAGCTCTGAAACAAAACCACCAAGGCCAAGCAATGTGAGTATGTAACTAAGTGCATGTATTACCTAGTATACTCAGAAGATATACCTGTGATAAATAAATAAATTGATATAGCTTACAAAACCTACTACATGACCTAACAGCCTAAAGGAGCACATAATCATTCATTTGAGTGCATGCAAAATGGACCATGAAAGCTAGGTAAATATATCTGAATCCCAGACTTCCACGAAAAGAACATACTTGTTTTGCTTTATCAAAGTCTTCACTGGAAGCATCATCACTGCAGGAACCACTGGAAGGAAGACCAAAACTAGAAGCTGCTTACATGAATTCAATTCTTTGAAAAATGCAGTTGGCAATCAAAATATAAAAGCAAGGCGTCTCCAATTTATAGCGGCAGTTTTATTGTTATTGAACAATTAGAGTAAGTGGAAGCTGTGACAAACCTTGCAACCTTCGATGAGAGGGTATGGACACCACGTTTCAATAAGCATATGTGTACACTTGCATCAACAAGTACAGCATGGAAAGCATCAAAATGAACTGGGCAGTAAGAGTGCAGTCCCAAAAGAGCCTTGGGAGGAAGTCGAAATTCATGGACTGCTGCAGGATATGTGTCTAATGAGGCCTGCAAATTACACCTGTAAATGATGTTATAAAGTTGTTAAACTGTAAAATTACCTAAACCAATTTTGATTTCAGTGCAAGCTAATGGAGAAGTAAACTATTATAACCAAAAATCAGAGAAGAATCACTGGAACTGGAAAAACAGTATATCAAGCAAACTAACCCGTTCTCCAATATAGGTGCATACAAAAGCTCAAATTTCAGAATAACGGCAGAAGAATGGCTCATTCGAAGGACCTATTAGTAGCCAAGAGAAGACATCAATGTGGAAATAATCCAAGCACTATATAAATAGAACATTATATAAAGCACTTGAGCTGTAATATGTAATCTTCTGCCCCGATGGGTTTACTCAGTCTGTTGACACTTGAAAGGCCGTTTCACTCCCAAGAAAAACTCATAAATACATTTTCAATGGGATCCATGAGGGAAAAGAAAATGGTTGTTTCACATCTAGGTTTTGGAAGAAGCAAAAAGAAAAGGTGAAAAAATGGCAACAGCAAATCCTGTTTCTTACTTTCTTTGACTACTTTTTTCCATTCTTTTCTACACCAAGTCAGGATGCAAATAGTTTATCCTGAGCATTCTCTTCAGGTCAGGAACTTTACACTCTGCTATAAAGAAATGCCAACCACCAACCCACACTTAAACATAAATTGGGGAAGATTGGGAATTGAAGGCTATTAGTTCAACTTTGTCTACACACACCTCCCAACTGTTTGAGATAAGGGTTTTACAAATTTCTTTCTTTTCAGCTATCTTTCATTATGTCTTGCAACTTATTTATTCATAGAAAATAATTAAATCCATGCCTTAATTTTACTTTAAAAAAATAAATAAAATCTTCATACCTAGATTTGTATTCCTTTTAGTTTTCTATAGGTATCCAACCAAGACAAGTGGAATTCTTGCTTCTTGGATTTCATTTTCTATTCTCTTATGTTTGTCTCCTCTTCACCACTTTTGGGATCCAAATGAAGTGAACAGAAACAGCCTATATAGCTATGAACCATTGATACTCTGATGAGAGACTTTTGTTAAGAGACAGAAGGAACTACACTACAAGGAGAATAGTACCTCATATTTGGAGAGAGATAAATTAAATGAGACCAACACTGAGAGAAGGATATCCTGTCTTGCATATTTTATCCGGAAAGGTTGTGTGAAGTAACTGTTGTCTGTGTCATCAATCATCCACACTCCACATATGTTATCAGAACCTGTATCAGGAGCTGCATGACATGCAAAATTGTGACAATTTCCAGCTCATAGTCCATTTTAAAAATAAGGCCATTAATTACTATTTAATTATTTATTTTCAAAAAGATGTACTAGTCGTATGATATGTATACACCCACACAAAGACACACATGCATATTGTGTGTGTATCTATATTAAAAGCACATGTGTATTATGTATACACATGCAAGAAAAGCTAAGGTCCAAGGGCCATACCAGTATAAATTTCTAAAAAAAGTAAAAGAGAGTGTTATTGGCACCTAATTGTATAAAACTTTTTAACAAAAAATTGGAGCACTGTAATAAATAAAATCTGAGAGAAAGTAGTTCTGCTTCAGAAATGTATGAACACCATCCTGTAAGAACTCCAACTACTTGATCATGCAATTAATAAAAATGGAAATTCTTCAACACAAACAATTCATTTCAAATTCCCTCTACTTCTAAATTCAAACATAAATGCATTTATTCAAAGCTTCCCACTTTGCTCACCAAGGTCATTCTAATGTGTGCACTTGAAATTATAACTAAAACAAATGCCCATTTGAATTACCTTCATATTGAACTACTCTTGATGGAGTTCCAACAGATTCATAATCACCATTCTCCCATCTCATTGTAATCTTAATTTGATACCATCTGCATATATGCCAAAGAAAGAGAAAAGGACACAAGAATGATTCTCAAAGTGACATGGTAAAAAGATATTAGGTACAGCCGTACAGGAAATTGCAAGACACATACCCTTGCTGGAATAAGTCCAGATTGTGGAATCGATGAATGTAAAGAGCAATCTCATACACAGCATCCAACATTGATTGTGAATTTCTATGGTTTGATAAAGACTTGGAGTTAGACTTCATTGGCTGTGACTGCTGCTTTTGTGATGATGATAGCAAAGACGTGGGTCTGGCTTCAGTACTATTCAATCTCTTAGGTGTCACCGGCGCAGGTCTGTTCAAACCAGCAATTATCCATCGGAGACGCTCTAATATAATAGACATTTCTTGTGGTTCTCTCTAGTCCTAACACTTTGCATCCTCCAATTTTGCTTACTCACAGACCAGCCTAATTATATTTCATTTGTAATTTATTGCCAAAGAACAAGATGATTCAACACCCATATAGAAAAATGCTGGTTCACCATAAAAAGGCACATCTTCCTGAAGCTATCAACCAGCAGAGTGTAGCTGACAGCTTTGCAAGAGACTCCTATACATTAAAACATACCTTGTGAATTTTCTTTCATAAAAAAGTATGTGGTAAAATATGAAAAAAACAGAAAAAGACTTGGCAGGAAGTTATAACTGTCAATGTGACAAAACAAAAGATCCTCAACGAATTTCATTAAGTTATAACTAAAATCAATGGTTTATAACTAATTCAAATATATAGAACCCTAACCTAATTTAAGTGCTCCGACTATACCAAAATTTAGCACTTTTAACTGCCTACAAAAGAGAGTTTCATTGGCTATGGCTCTGTACGACTGTACAGAAGCAATTACTTTAATTCAGCTCTTTCATGTTGCGAAATAGCTATTAGCTCAGCATTAAATACAGACACCAACACTTTGCATTCTGTTCCCACATCACTGCTATATGCTGAAGTCAATTCTCTATTTTCCCTAACCACAAACTCTATTTCTTATTTAAAATTTAAATCAGTCCAACTAACAAGACATCCAAACTCTAATTGTCCATAGAAAATCCCATTAAATCCCTCTTATCTGTCCCATCTTTGCTACAAAAGAAAAAAGAAAGAAGAAGCTCATTTCGTGCAAAGCCAATATGATGAAGCCAATTCTCTAATTTCTCTAAACATCAACTATTTTTTCATTTCCAGAGTAAATTTTAAATCAGACCGAATGGAAAGGCATCTAGAGTCCATGACATCCCTCTGATCAACCACATCTTTGCTACCCAAAGAAAAAAGAGAGAAGCCCATCTTCCCCACTGCATAACTATAATTGCAGTCACCACATCAAGTGTCAACAAACTATATATACAGGATAACAGCTGTAGAATGTGCTATTCAAGTCATATAGCCTCAGTATAAACACAAAATTTGAAAACTAGATTTGAGCTAAAACTAGCAAGAGCAACTACCTACCCAGATCAAATGGCCTACATTCTGCGCTTAGCATAGAGCAGAGGTAAGGGAACAAGATAACAGAACAAAAATAATAAAAGGAGAGTGGGAAATAGGTCAATCATCAAAGCTCAAAGGAAGTGCATGCAAAAAACAATGGAAAATATCAAACCTCATGTCATTCCTAAATAGCTACATCCGTACAGTTTCTACAAGCAAATTCATACGTATTGAGCCAATTATACCATGAAAAAAAACAAACAAACGAAAATCCCAAAAACAAAACAAATCTACTCCAGAGAAAGAAAGAGCTACTATAGAAAACGATTTGAAAACGTATAAAACAAACCAAAGGTATATGCAGGCAGAGTCAGTTATATCTGAACCTAAAACGGCACTCCTTGTTTCTTTCCCCTGGTTGAGCTGTATACTGCCAGGGGTAGTCAACGATGGCTAGGTGGTCAAAGCGTCCCAGTACGGCAGCGGGGGCGACAGGCCACCGGAAATGGGCAGAGACGGCGGCGAGGGTCACGATGAAAGAGAAAATATGAAAATTGGGAGCGGGGGCTGGGCTATGAGTTTCCGAAAAGGGGTAATTTTAAGTTGGACCAGTAGAAAAAATTTGGAGCTGAGTTGAAGCGTTAAAGTCAGATTTTCACACAGGCAGAGCTGATCTGTCCGGTGATATGACTAATGTTGTAGCCTGCATTCATTGGATCTAATACGGAGTATACATAATTAATGGAAGATCAGGGGACCTCGGAATATCAGATACAGTACTCATCCTCAAATGTGTATACATTCACAGTTGTACTATGAAGAAACACAGTCAAAATTATTGGATCAAAACATCAACTCCTCCGTACTATAAAGTCCACCGCGTTCTAGACTTCTAGTGAACCCCATGTGACTCTCTTCGCATATAGTTAGTTCTTAGGGTTGTGAAGTGTATTTGACATTTACTATACCATTGCGATAAATATATGAACTAACCATCAATTGATTTTTGATTTGTCTATTTACATTTTTAAAAAAATTAAAAAAAAAAAAAAAAAAAAACTACGTGAACAATGGTAAAGATCTGCTATCTTATTTGACATTAAAAATTAAAAAATAATAATAATAATAACAACAATCTGCATTCAAAAAAAATAACAACAATCTTACAGTGCAATTATTATTCATACGTAAATCTTTTTACTTTATTTTCTGTTAGATAGGGTGATTTTTTGATAAATAAAAACGACAATGCAAGCAAAAAAAGGTGCTCTATGATCACTTTAATCAGTCACCGTCACCGTCAGGATGAAGAAAAGCATTAGGATTGATAATAGTTGTCATTTTACTGTTTGTTTTTTTTTTTTACTTTTTGTTTTTGTTTGAATTGCATTGTTTGCTATATATAATTTGCATGTTGCTATAATGCTACGAAATATGAAGGGGGGAAAAAATCGCAATTGGCTTATGCCACATGAGGCCAGTAACTTAGTAAGTGAGGGCTATCCAAAACAAAACAAAAACAAAAAAAGACCAAGGCATACTCTAATTAGACCAAGGCATACTCTAATTAAATTGAATATTAAATAGTTAGTTTGGTCTACAATGACCACTACACAGCTCAATATAGTATGTACTAGTTTGGAACTTTGGATAAGAATTTGTCAACCTTCTACATTCACACGATATATAACCACAGCTCAATATAGTATGTACTAGTTTGGAACTTTGGATAAGAATTTGCCAACCTTCTACATTCACACGATATATAACCAAACTAAAATTATGTCTTACAAGAGCATGCATATCAATGCAGTTTATTTAGTTTTTACAGATAGAAAAAAACAAGCTTGGGTTTCTAACTACTGTGGGAGGAGTTTTTTTTTTTTTTAGGTGTGTTTTTACTCCTGCAAATATTGTATTTTTGTGGGTCCCATTGTTAATGCTAGAAGACAGAGAAATTAAGAGATTACATTGCATGTGCGCGAAACGCGCACCTGTTGCGCATGCGCCGCTAAGGGCATAAATTGCTTTGTTTAAATTTTTTTTTTTTTGTTGTTGTTGTTGTTCTTCTGCTGCTCTTTAGTTTTTTTTTTTTTTTTTTTTTTTTGTGCACATTTTATAAAACTTATTTGAAAGTTTATATCTTATTTTAACTTTTTAACTTTAAGTTAGCTGGTAAGTTATGTATGTCAAACAAAATCGTTGTCTTTTTGTGCACATTTTAGTGTCGCATATCACCATGTAACACATGTGTTGTTGACTCTGACTCAACAAATTGCTCATCCAATCGCTCCCAAGTCCCAACTATTTGTGCCCTAATCAATTGTTGTATGCTCAAAACTGGGACGCCAGAGTGCATGGTCGAATGTTCCATATCCAAATCACTAAGCATACAGCTCACTGTGTCCAATTTGGTCATTTAGGCCTTCAAATTATTTGCGCGTTGTTGACGTTGACTAAACAAACTGCTCATCTAACCGCTCCCAACAATTTGTGCTCCAATCAATTGTTGTACACTTAAAAAAGGGGTGTCAAAGTGCATGGGTAACTGCTTCCTATACAAATCATTCGTACAGACAACTCACTGACAACTCATTATCCAATTTGGTCAGTCATACCCCAGTTGATTGTTATGCTTGCTCTAACCTCATATCAATGACTATTTTAGTGCTATTGTAAGCCAAATTATTTCATAAACTTGTAACTAGTCACTATAGAATCAGATTTATTAAATATAAAAGCAATACTTGATTTTTTAAAAAATTAATATAAGTTATACATTTTTATGGAGTTTTTGTGTGTGTAAGTCTTCAATCAAATACTTTCAATTCATTTCAAATTAGAATTAAACTAAAATCACATAATTTTACAATGTCATAACAATTAAAGGGTGACAACAAGTTAACTTTGAAAATAAAGAAAGAGAAAATTTTGAATATGATGGAAATGGAGTAATGAATTTAAATTTAAATGTTTTATTGAAAAAAGGTACTACGTATAATTTATTACTTCATATCAAATTAAGAAATAATAAAGTGAAATGTACTCCTAAATCCTAATCTTTAAACAAAACAGTCCAATTGGAATTTGATTTCAATCTGAAACTGAAAAGGAAAAGAAAACCAGAAAATTAGGAGCAGAGCGAAATGCCTTTTCCCTCCAAACTTCAATCCCATGCGTCGTGTGAAGGCCATGACCGCGACACGTCAGCAAAGTCAGTACGGTGGGACCGCCTCTCCGACGCGCGCCCATAGGGTAAACGCTAAAACCCCTAAAACGAAAACCGCCCCGGCGCGGGTCAACACTCGTCATATTCCGTGGCAGTCCCGTAGTTCAACTCAATTCCAGGGGTAATCCTGTACTTTTTTCGAGCGACAGGACTTTCAGTTCATAACAGACAGCTACCGAGGAGAAAAACCACCATCCCCAACCTCTCACTACTGACCTCTCTCTCTCTCTCTAAACCTTTGCTCGTAAACACGAAAACCTTAATACACACCAGACAAACTCTTCGATGCTTTAAGGTTGCCGCAATGGCGACCGACGAGGTAATGTTCCGCTGCTTTAACCCGCCGTTGTGCTCGGCGGCGCAACCGTCCCAACCACCACTTAAACCTCCAACTACCTATAGTTTTTATGTACCTCCAAAAAAAATGAGGATCGATTTTGATCGTATTGTTGCCTTTTTATTTATAATTTAAATTTTGATTTTTGGGTCTTTACGTGCTTGGTGCGATTCCCCCTTTATTTGTTTTCTTTACTTTTTTTTTGTTTTTTGGGGTTGCAGAGATTAACAGCTTTGAAAAAGGCGTATGCTGATATAATACTGAACACGGCGAAGGAGGCGGCCGCCAGGATTATGGTTTCGGAGCGGAAAGCTCTTCGATTTCAACACGAGCTGCAGGTGGCTAAAGAAGAAGCGCTTCGGATGCTGCTTAGGCTTAAGCAGATGATGGATTCAAAGGTGAGGATTTTCTTCTATTCTATTGAAATGGGCTTCAATCTATCTGAATTTTGTATACGTTCTGATCAGTTTTTGCTTCAATGCAAGTGTTTTCGATTGTCTAAGTAAGTGAATTTGGTCATTTTTTGCTTTTTGTGGATTTCTTGAATTAAGAGTTTCAGTTTGGGTCACCTGAGATTCGAGTTTTTGTATTCCTGTTCTGCTTGATTGTCAATTTGGTGGATTTGTTTTCTGTTTCTGATTGATTTATGTGATGATTGTGATTAACTAGGAAGATGTTAGCTTTATTGATTCCACTGTGGAAGTGATTTGTTGCAGCAAAATGCCCTGGCTTTAATATAAAATGAGTTTGGGCAACTGGAACAATGTTTTCTTGGAGGCTTGCATATCTTCTGTTTCAAATGGGGAATAATTTAGAACTAGTTGTTGACACTTATAATCTTATTGCAAATGATATTGTAGGTCTTTACCATCCCCATCTTTGAGAATCAACTGAAATGAGGTTTTAGATTCTCAAATGTCAAGGATGGCAGGAGCTCAGCGTTTTGTTTCGCATGCCTGTGTCAGGCAAGATAGAAGAGGCTTTTTTTGAGACAAAACTTGCATAAAAGTTTTTTTTAAATATCTATTTCTATCACATCATAGACCACCCCATATAGGCTATAGCTGTTTGCTGGTGTCTTTGTTGATCACTAGTAATATAATGACAACTTGTTATTGAGATGTGCCTGCTTGTTTAAAAAGAGACTTCCTGAGAAGCCCTCAAGTGTAAAGCTTCTTGAGAAAGGAGTTTTTTTGGGCTATAAAAAGCTTTTTCTCATTTCATTATTTGGTCCAATCTTATGCCTCTTGGAGATAAGCTCGAATAAGTTGTGTGCAAAAACACAGTAGGGGTGAGTTGTTATTTTTGGAGGGGTGAATGTTTAAATTGAATAATGCTAATAAGAAGGGGAAGTTGTTTCCCCATTGTTGATTGGCTCAAGACAGAGTTACGCTCTTGATAATTCACTAATCGATGCCTGCATGATACTGCCAAATTGTTTTATCTAATCTCATGTCTTTTAAGATGTTTGTAAAGTACTGCCAGTCCTTTCTCCTATTCTTATGAGCTTGCTTTAAATTCTTTATTGGAGTTTCTTCTGTTAGTGCTATGTCCTTGGGTCTTGGGTTGGAGGAAGCAGCTAAACAGTTGAGCTTTTAGGATCTTTTCAGTTTTACAAAAATCCAGTTTTTGATAAGAATATGTTTTAGGATCTCCAAGATTTCACTGTGTATATAAAATTCCATTCTTCCAATATAATAATCTATGCATTTTTGTGTGCTTTTCGTGGTAACTATTAGCAACTCCTTCGCAGATTTGTTCATGATCAGATTATTGCTATATACTTTGACTGTCCAGTATATCTTATTCGGTTTTCCTGTAGGGTGTTAAGACTTTAATAATTGTGAAACTGGGGATGGGAATGGAGCACTGCCATTAACCACTAGTTGTTTACACCTTTTCTTTCTTCCTTTGCAGAATTGCAGGCTTAAATTATTACATTTTACACTTTTGGATTTCTATATGGATGCTGAGTTTCTTAATATGATGTTATCTGACCTCATATTATTATTTACAAGGAACTAATTGTTACAAGAAGAATGCTTCAATATATCCCAAGCTTGTATGTTTAGAAACTACAACTGTCTGCGTGTAATGTAGGTAAAACAAACAGATGTGGTTGCTCATAGTTAATCAAAGTCTCTAAAGCCACCTTCAGTTCAAGATAATGTCTGCACTAATATTGGTGTTTTACGTGTTTGGGAACTCATGTTTCCTTTTCTTTTTCTTTTTTTTTTTGGGTATTAATAATTAATACTGATTCATGGCGTTGCATACTGAGCTTACAGATTAGTGAAGCAGAGTCGACATGCTTGAGTCAACAGAAAAAGATTGAAGAACTTGAAGCTCAACTTCACGAGGCTGAGGATATTGTAAGTGATCTTAGAGGAGAGTTGAGAGAAGTGAATGCTGAGCTGGAGAGAGTGAAAAGCAACAAAGAAAATGGATTCCTGTTGGGTAGACATAATAGTGCCACTCATACAGAAGCATCTGAGGAGAACATATTCTGTACATCTCCCCCTGTATTACATCCTGCAGAATATCAAGATAAACGTGTGGCAGTTTCTGACATGAAGGACATGAATCTGAGTCAGAGAAACGAGGGCTACAAGACTTGTAGCAGAATAGTTCACATGGGAAACTCTTATCTCTCACATCCGGATCTACCCTCTATTATTTTGAGAAGCAAGGAGCCTGAGCTGTATCGGAATGGATGTACACAAAGGATTCGTGCCTGTGAAGGAAACCCGTTAGGCACCCTTTCAGGGAAAGTAGGAAAAAGGAAAACTGAAACTGATGGCAAAAATGATGACAATACAGAAGTCTCTGCAATGCCTGTTCATAAGGTTGATGGTATGGATGATACTGAGAAGAAAGTTTTCTTCAAATCTTGTCATAGGAAAAGAAGAAGGGCAAACAGATTTTGGAAAAATAGAGTTTCTTTAGATGGAAACCTTCCTGATCTTTCACCGAAGATGGATGGAGAACCAAATAATTTTTGTTTGAGGCCTCATTCAGGTCCAGTTAATGACCACGAGACGACTCCAATATCATCATCATCATCAGATGGAGTTGAACCCGTGATACTTCCAGCAAGTGCCAAGATTTCTGGAAACAAACCTGAGCTTGCCGAGCCTTGTGGTGTTGAAATTCCAGTTTTTGAGTGTGAGGGATTGACAGAAAAGATGGAGGCTCCAGGGCAGGAAAGTGGATCTACAGGAAGTTCAGGGATCACAGTGCTTAAATCAGATATTGAAGAAGTTGATGTCCAATTGCTGCAGTCAGGTTCAAAGATATCTGATGCTAATCTACCTAGTGATAGAAGTTTCAAATATACATTCCAGAGAAAGCGGAGAAGAGGAGCTTCTAGAGAATTTGAGGATGCTTCTATACAAAATTGTGGTGTGGAGACGAATGAAGAGAAAGAAAACGTTCCAAAATTGTCAGCAGAATCATCTCGAGATAGTCGACGAATGGCACAGGTTGCTCGTCAGGTTAGTAATGAACTATGCATATTTGTGTGAGGATTATTGAAGTTTGAACATCTTCATCTTTCTGTTCTAAATTCTAATCGTATGTTTGTCTTCGTCATCTACATCTGGCAGCTCATATCATTGTCGGAGAAGAAGTGGTGGCAGTGAATATAAGAAACGCCCTTGTCTCTACTCTTCCATGGGAAAGCATGCAGATGGGACGGAAAGTGTCGCGAAACATTTATGATCCAGGATTTAAGTTCCTGGTGAGGAGTGAAAAGCTAAAGCTGTGATGATGAAATGACAGTAGTTATATAAGTAACTGATGATGTTAATTGCATGACATCAAATATGTTGAGTAGCATGGTGCCATACATTGTTGTGAGGCTTCACATTCTGTGGAAGTATAAACCTTTTTTTTTTTTTTTTTTTGTCTAGTTTTGTGTTAATCGAATATATTTCTACATATTAATCCTAAGTACATTTCCTTTTCCTTTCACTGACAGACAATATTGTATTGTCACTTCTCTCTCTGTTCATTCCCATGACAATAGAGTTAATCCACAGGAGACCCCTCTTAGCTCATTTTAGGGGGAAATAATTATAATTCGTGAGAAAAGAATAAAGTAGGAACTTAAATTATACTATTTGGCAAGGAAGAATATAAGATTGAGAATTGAAAGAGAAGTAAATAAAAATAAAAATGGTCTTGTATAATAATAATATAATAATGATAAAATGATAATTTATCATGAAATTATAATTCCTATTGCAACCAAATTATTGAATTGTAATTTCATAAAATTTAATAGGAATGAAATAACAATTTCATCTTACCAAACACTCTATTATTAAGCTTAAAACCGAAGAAACTGAGATGATATTGTAAATAAAAAATAGAAATAACTCATTTAAGTAGTATATATACCAGTAGATTAAATTTGAAAAAGGGGTGCACACTCCACACTGCTCCGTGGAGTGTCCGGCTGAGCATTTTGGGAAGAAAACATAGATTTGGGAAGTATATAAGCATTACAGTAGTCTGTACACATATCTAAAGTGAAAATGGGAATCGCAAGTAAGGCGGGGGACTGGGTGTTCAAGATCTTCACGGCTGGGCTAGGCGGCGCCACCATTTTCTTCGCCGCCAATCTCTCCTTCAACGTCTACCGTGGGAAGAAATGGAATACTGCCCAACTGGTACACTATACTATCAATGAAAACCTTTTTTTTTTTTTTTTTTTGGCGTTCTCTGCTTAAAACCCTAGATGCGAAAGTTGAGATTGCCGATTAATGCTTATTGAAGCTGGGAAGTAGTTTTTATAACCCGCGATGCTTCTTTTTCCTTCCTGCTAGCAGATTTTGTTGTTTTGATTTCTTCGACAATTAACACACAATACGTTTGTTTGATGTCTTTTTTGTTGTTAGGATCACAAGTTTAGTTTAGATGCACAACACTAATCTATGTGGTTCATATCCAACAATTTTTTTGCAACTTCTCTGCTCTGATTGTATGCTTCTGGGTCTGTCGCCTAAAAATTATATTGCCGTTTTTAATCGCAGAAGAGTGAAGAAAAGGCAGAATAAGCTGCGGTGGATTCCAAGTCCTATACTGTATATGTAACTTGCCATGTAGAACGTTGGATGAGATTGTCCAATAACTTCCTAGCTACAGCTTCATTTGAATATCATTAAGCAGTACAAATGTCTGACTGCAACAAATGTTACTCGTTTTGTTCATCTTGTATTCTAGTACAAAAGTTGGTGTTGCTGACAGCAAAAGTTGGTGTTACTCGTTTTGTTCATCACCAGTCTTTGACGCTGAACCATAATTTTCCAGTTCCCAATTACAAACAGAATGTACCAAACCAAACCATCATTTTAACATAATAAAACTAGAAGCAAATATAGGATTTCTTCAAATCACCCGCTTACATTACATGATTTAGTAGTATTTGGAAACAAGAAAGATGGAGTTGTTTATACTGAAACACATAAATCCGAGGTAGGATGATATTTATGTACACTCACATTACATTGTTAACACTCTTTGAAACTCCACTCGAGGAAACCTCAGAAACTCCCTGCGATTCGTGGTACATTTCAGCCAATGGGTTTCGAATGAACCCATGATTACTTTGAAGCTGGAACCTCCTCCTACTCTCTAACTTGAAATCTTCGCGCACTCCAGCTTTGCTTCGTGCTGCAACCAGCGAGGGGGGCTCACCTGAAACAGGCAACTGTGAGGATGAACTCCGCCCTGTCCTCTTCCATAGTCTCGAGCTAAAAAATCGTGCACCAGGTAGCGTGCAACATATGGGTGTGGTCTTTCTATTTGACATTCTTTGAGTTGACACAGCCAAGTCATGTGAGATCTCATCTAAAGCCAACTCCAGACCATGAACCCGTGTCTCCAGAGAATGCATCCCACTCTGTGTACTCCCAATGAATTTCTGGATATATATATACATTTTTTCAGAAAAGTCACTTCACAGTAAATAAAGTTTGTTTTCATAGTAAACTAGTACAGCATGCTTCTCCAAGTTCGTTGTAAAGTTATTTACTTCGAAGTCATAATCACCAAAGCTATAGTACTAGAAAAGGGGAACACTGGCAAGTTACCTGGAGAGTATCTATCAAATTGGACTGCTGAGTTTCAATCTGAACAAGTTGCTTCCGAATCTGGGAGAGTTCTTCACTCTCTTTCTGGTTCCTATAGAGATCCCCAGTTTCATTACTCATGACAACGGTATGTTCTGATTTCTCTTCATGATATGGGACTACACGAGATCCAGCAGCTTTCTGTCCAAAGAGGGCTCTTCTGGTTTCTGGTTTTGTAGCTTTCTGATCTTTATATTTCAGATCATCCTTTGAAGCTACAGGCACAGAGCCTTGAAGTGCAGAAACCTCGATCTTGAATTCAGAAGACTTCTTGCAATCAAGCTTGCGGAATATTGCAGAAGCAGCCTTCTTTTGAGTACCCTCTGTAAGACTTCTCCTCCTAGCTGTAGTAGCTGGTGAGCTATCATGGACACTAGACTTGCTTGGAGTAGTATATCTTCTTCCCCTTTGATTGCGAGCACCAGAACTCATGGAGCCAGGCGGATAATGCCCATCACTAGCATTTTCTGTGCCAATGATTATGAAGAGAGTGAGTGATATATTTGATTTCAGAATAAAGTTTATGACCCAAAAAAAAAATAAAAATTGCAAACTTCAAATGAACTACTATATTGAGAAAGAAGTAAATGAAGAAGGGACCAGTCAAGGGACTCTCAAAATCCAATTTTGCAGAATGGAGTACTAAAACAATAAATTTTGCAGAATCAAACAAATAAGATTACAATCACTAATCAAGGGACTCTAAAAATCCAATTTTGGAAACATATACTAAGTATAAAGTATTCTTCGGAACAGATTGAGGAATCAGATACCTTTGGATGAAGAATTTGATTGGGGACGAGGTGAAACATCATCAGGCAAGTCAGGAATCTCTTTCCACGCCTCCAACATCTGATTCATTGTCTCTCTCACTGCCTTCACCTACCATCAAAAATCATAAAAATTATCAATTCAACCAAATCACGACAAAGTAAATCTGGCAGGAATCAATCAATAAGAGGAAAATTTGATCCGTATTGCCGGAAAAGGAGGAAATTGAGATTTCAACCCGTGATACCTTGTCGAATCTTTTGGCCTCGATAGTCTTCAAGCAAGCTGGTTTAAACTCCGATAACATCTCTTTCTCCATTATCCCCGCGAGCCTCGTCAAAGCCTCGACACTGGCCTTCCTCGCCGCCCAATCGTCGCTATTGACGAATTGCACCAAACACGGAACTAAATTCCTTACGACTAGCTGATTAGAAGCGCCTCCAATGCCAACTACACTACCGATCAGGGTAAGCAGCGCGGCCTTTGCCTTGAAGCTATCGCATTTCAGGAGCTTCTCGAATCTCGGCATCAGCTTCCTCAAGTATGCGGCATCCGGATCAGGCGCTCCCTCAATCGCTGCCGACAAGCAAAGCGCGGCGCCGATCTGGGAGTTGATTTCCTGTTCAGTGAACAGCGCCTCTAGGAATGGCTTGATGATGGAGGGGAATGGGGGCTTGGTAAGGTGGGAGGAGATGGAGGCGCAAGCGGCGATGCAGGCGGAACGGACGGAGGAGTTGGGATCGCGGAGGCGGCGGACCACGGCGGAGAGGAGCTTCGAGAGATGAGGGGAGAGAGTGTCGCCGTGTTCCTCGGACAGCAGCGAGATAAGGCGGAGGCATTGCTTGCGGACCGGAGACTTGTCGGAGGAATCGGTGGCAGAGATTGAGGAGAGGAAAAGCGGAATCGTCTCCGGCGAAAGAGTTTTAACGATGGACTCGAGCTCGGAGGCCGCCGCGGAATGCGTGTCCCGGTCGGAGAGTTTGTGGAGGCAGGTGAGCACGCGGTGCTTCAGGTCACGCGCTTGGCTGTGTTTCTGCTTGTTTGTCACCGACATTTCTCTGAACCTGAAAGAGAAGTAGGTAATCGAACGGAAGGATTCAAGAGTGGGACGGTGGTGGTGGCGGCGCCGGTGGAATTTCCTGTAGCATCGCCGTGTCTGCTGGCGGTGGGCTTTTGCTTTCAGAGTTGGGATCTGTCTTTCCCTTTTCTTTTTGAAGGAGAGAAGAGAACTGTAAAGAGGAAGGAAGTTATCCTACGGAAAGCCGTTAATCTAGTTTAGCAGTAAACGGCCGGTAACGTTTCCTTTTAAGTATTTCATCGTATACGGCGTCGCATTAGCATTCAGCGCGCCATTTTTTGCATAATTACACTAATTATTATTACTTGCCCTTGCTTGATTAATTAAACAAAATAATGAGAGATTTTTATTTTTTTTTTTCCTTTTTGATAATCCAGATTTCCGAGTTTCACCCGACTATATCCTGGACTTAATGAAATTATCTCCAAGCTCATGACAAGGTAAATGGCCCTAATCTAACTTCACCAAAGTATAAGGCTAAATTAATTTTTTGATAATATTATATACTAATTTGATTAGTATTTTGTTGAGGGTGTCCCCATAATTGGATATTGGAAAGGTGAAATACTTGAGAGACAAAAGCTGAATTCAGTCAAAAAGGTTAGAAGGGCATTGAATTAGAAGAATCAAAGGAATTATTTGAGCATGGAAAAAGATTTTCAAGTGAAGTGTGCTAATCATTAATCATAATGTTGCTTCTTTTTCTTCTTCTCAAATTATTGCCACTTCATTATTAAGCATTGTTTCTCCCTTTGTACACTAAAATATTGCTCATAAATGGACAATTATATTTAATTTAATACACTTTATTACTCTTTTTATATTTTACTTATTATAAATCCTTTTGTTCTATAAAGGTTTGAAATTCAACTGATTTAAATTAATATTTTGTATATGTTATAAAATGTTTATGTTTTTAAATCATAAAACAAAATTTAAACACAAGACAAAGTATTTATAATTAATTTAACATAGAATAGTAGTTATTAAAATTTTCACTGCTAATCTAAGTAGTTCAAACATCAATCAATATGTCCTAATTTAAATCACCAACCATACAAAATTCAATTTATTCAATCAAACCATCTACCAATATAATCTACTTTGTGGCCCAAGTATATAACATGACAAACTTTATTTTATTTGTTTTGTTGTACAAATATGAAGTATTGTAATTTTCATGACAAGGCTAATTTGTTGATTATTGAGAGCTCACCTTTTCTTGTCTCTCAAAATTTTGTTTGTCTGGTTGGGAACTCATGCGCATATTATATATCATGAATAAAATATAATTATTGATTGAGATTCTACTGAATTTGTCAAATTTCACAAAATAGCATAATAATGACTATGCAATATATATATATATATATATATATATATATATATATATATATATATATATATATAAAGAGATGGTTTGAGAAGGTGTTGTCGGCCGATATGGTAGGGAAATTAATCTAGTGCTTGATTGCCCAACTATTTGTATAGTTTGGTACGGAATGAAAGAAATCATTTCTTGATGTGAAAAAGACTGGATGATGAGAATGATAATCGTTGATTCAGTTCTGAACAGATTACAATAGAATACTAAATAGATTGAGTCTAACGTAAACTACTCCTATACAGTAGGGTAGTCAGACTAGTAGACTATTGACTTATTCTAATATAATTATAACAACTATATAATAGAAATAATAATAACATGGCTAACACTCCCCCTCAAGCTCAAGGAGGGTGCATAACCACATTGAGCTTGTCCCGTAAAGAAGCAAACCGGGGGCCCGGTAGCGGCTTGGTGAAGATATCAGCTAGCTGGTCCTTGGTCGAAACAAAGTTGACTGTCATATCCCCGGATGCGACCTTGTCTCGAACAAAGTGATAGTCGATTTCTACGTGTTTAGTCCTGGCATGAAAAACAGGATTAGCACAAAGATAGGTGGCCCCGAGATTATCACACCACAATGATGCCGGTTGTCCGCTATGTAACCCTAGCTCACGGAGTAGCGACACAACCCACGTGACTTCAGCAGAGACGTCAGCTAGAGCCTTATACTCGGCCTCAGTGGATGAGCGAGCAACAGTGCGTTGCTTCCTGGATAACCAAGAGATCAGATTAGACCCAAGAAAGACAGCATATCCGCTAGTACTTTTCCTGTCTATCGGACAACCAACCCAATCAGAGTCTGAAAAGGCATGAATAGTGGTCGAGGATGAAGTAGTCAGACGCAATCCGTAGGTGAGAGTCCCTTTGATGTACCGTAGGACCCGCTTAACGAGACCCCAATGATCCGTAGTTGGGGAGTGCATGAATTGACATAACCGGTTCACTGAAAAAGACAGGTCAGGCCTCGTGATGGTTAAGTACTGTAATGCCCCTACAATGCGACGGTACTGGGTCGGATTGTCAAACGGTTCTTGAGTTGGTGAAACAGCTTGAGTTACAGCAGCGGGTGTGGCTAGTGGCTTGCACTCAGACATCCCGGCGCGGGCGAGTATATCATTCATGTAACGTCGTTGAGATAGCATCATACCGGTGTCGAGCTGTACCGTCTCTATGCCAAGAAAGAATCCTGGAGCACCTAGATCCCGGATTTTGAATGTGTCAGATAGTTTACCAAGCAGTGTAGTAATCAGCGTTGCATCATTACCCATCATGATGATATCATCAACGTAGACAAGTAAGAAGACCCGGGAAGAACCAGTCGTGAAATGGAATAATGAAACATCAGTCTTAGACGGCAAGAACCCTGCAGATAATAAATAGTCATGAAGCCTTTTGAACCAAGCGCGAGGGGCTTGTTTCAGGCCATACAAGGAGCGTTGAAGATGACAGACATGATCAGGATGCGTGGGGTCTTCATAACCTGGGGGCTGTCTCATGTAGACGGTTTCAGCTAGATGTCCATTGAGAAAAGCATTATGGACATCTAACTGACGTAATGTCCACTGGTGAGAGACGGCAAGAGAAAATAACATGCGCACAGTAGTTGGCTTGACTACCGGACTAAAAGTGTCGAAGAAGTCCTCGCCAGCTACCTGATTAAAGCCTTTGGCTACAAGCCGGGCTTTATAGCGTTCCACCGAGCCGTCAGCAGTTCGTTTGGTCCTGAATACCCATTTGCACCCAATCACATTCATGTGTGGTTCAGCGGGTACTAGAGACCAAGTGTTATTGTGTAGGAGTGCATTGAACTCCTGATCCATAGCCTCTCGCCACTGTGGGTGCCCTACGGCTTGTGAATAGCACGTGGGATCAGTTGTTGCACTCAGAGCCTGAAATTCCTCGTTCGTACCACGAGTCATACGACGAAGCCGCATCCCATGCTCTCGAGTCCGAGTCGTGATTTTGCGCACCCGGACTCTACGAGCCCTGACTGGCCCTTCAATGGCCAATGCTGGCGGTGCTTCTCTAGCCAAGGGAACTGGGCTGGCTGATGGGCCCAGTACAACCTCAGGGGACACTACCGTGGGGTGAGACACAATCTGAGTTAAGACTGGACTGGTCGCCCAAGGGAGTGCCGGAGGCGTCGCTGAGATGTCAACCTGTTTCTCCAAGTCTGCAAAAGGGAAAACATGCTCATCAAAGCGCACATGGCGACAGATATAGACTTTTCCCGATGTTAAATCAACACATCTGTACCCCCTAAAGGACAACGGGTAACCTAAGAATACGCAGGGTGCCGACCGATACTCTATCTTGTGCCGATTGTATGGCCGAAGATAAGGGTAACAGCGACACCCAAACACTCGAAGGAATGTGTATGGGGGTGACACTTTGTGTAGAAGACTGTATGGACTTTGAAATTTTAAAACGGACGAGGGCAGATAGTTTATTAGGCACGTTGCTGTTTCAAAAGCGTAGTCCCAATATTGCAATGGGACTGAACCATCGGCCAGTAGGGCCAAGCCGGTTTCGACTATGTGACGATTTTTACGTTCTACCCGCCCATTTTGTTCATAAGTGTATGCGCACGATTGCCGATGGTTTATACCATGATTAATGAAGGTGTTATGCAGTTTGCGATACTCCCCTCCTAAATCTGACTGAATGGACTTGATAGAACGCGAAAATTGGCGTTCTACCATGACACGGAACGACTCAAAAGTTTTATATATATCCGATTTCACCCGTAAGGGATAAAACCACGTGAAACGGGAGAAATCGTCAACGAAGAGTACAAAGTACCTATAGCCACTAGCAGAAATTACATGGGCAGGGCCCCAAATGTCGGTATATAATAAATCCAACACATTTTGACTACTTAAAGGAACCCTATCTAAAGGAAATCTGGAAGATTTGCCCATATGACATGATTTGCACGACTCCAATGCTGTGACTTTATTTGTTGCAACTGGACACTTTTGTAACACGCGACTTTGGACGTTTGAATGCGGATGGCCGAGTCTCCGATGCCATATGGTGGGTGTTGTACGAGAGGTGAGATAAGCAAAATGAGAGTGCGACACCGGGAGTTTATATAGGCCACCCTCCGTGAACCCCTTAAGCAGTATTGCCCGAGTTATGGAGTCCTTCACAAAAAAGCAATTCTTGTGAAATTCAAAAAAACAGTTATTTTCATTAGTGAATCGCTGGACCGACAGTAAAGGAACTGACAACTCAGGAACCAATAAAACATTAGATAATTTTAACTCTTTTGACATGGATGGTACAGACGCATGACCAACATGGGATATAGCCAAACCTGCACCATTTCCTACGCGCAGGACATCACCACCGTTGTATTCGTCAGACTGAGATAGCAGTGTGTGATCCGGCGTGGCATGAGCCGAGGCTCCAGTATCGGGGAACCAGCCGGCAGCAGCTCCGGGCACAGCATCATCTCCGGACAGTGCAACATGGGCCTGCGCCTGATTCTGTCCGGCATAGCGCTGGAAGCAGGTGACGGCAGTGTGACCATCGACGCGGCAGATCTGGCAGCGGGGGACGCCGTTCCGGCCGCGACCACGGCCTCGTCCACCTCGGCCACGGTTGCGACCCTGGCCGTTCAAGCCTTGCCGGCCGCCTCCTCCAGTTCGACCACGGCCAGCATAATGTGCCGCCGGCGCAGCCGCAAAGGTGGGATCGGAATGCACCGGGAAATCTTCTGCATGAATAAACTCCTGTGCCTGCAAATAGTCTGAAATTTGAGAGATTGTTACCGGAGTTCCCGCGGCCGTAAGGGATGACGCCATAGCCCGATATTCTGGACGTAGTCCCCTGAAGACGAACAGATTCTGTTCATCAAGTGAAATTGGTCGTCCGGCTAACGCAATATTCTCCACTAGTATTTGCGCACGGCCGAGATACTCGGCTGCCGTACTGCTTCCTTGGCGTAACGAATGGAATTGGCCGAGGAGACTTAAACAACGCGCGCGAGTGGAACTGCTCAACGCCGTGGTGATGGATTCCCATACTTCCCGGGACGTCGCACGGCCTACCGCTAAATGCATTACCTCATCCGAGAGGGATGAGATAAGCAGAGACAAGATCGCTTGGTCTTGTTTGATCCACGCCTTATACTCGGGATTCGGGATCGGAGTCGGGGTGGCGGATGCGGTCGCGGACTGACCGGAAACTGGCGGAGCGGTGATGACCGGCGGTGGGCATGGGATTTCGCCATCTACAAACCCCACCAAGTCTTGGCCACGGAGAAACGGTACTAGCTGAGTCCTCCAAAAGAGGAAATTGCGCATTGTCAATTTGATTGACACGAAGTGATGCGCTCCGGACAGAGGATTGGAGCCGGAGGCCGGAGACGCACCACCGGCGGCAGTCACAGTCCTCTCCGACGAGTCACTCGACATGGCAGCGTACGGTGGTTGGTGTTTTTCGGTGAGGGTGGGGGATTTTTTGGAGAGAGAATCGACCTGGTGCTCTGATACCAGATGAGAATGATAATCGTTGATTCAGTTCTGAACAGATTACAATAGAATACTAAACAGATTGAGTCTAACGTAAACTACTCCTATACAGTAGGCTAGTCAGACTAGTAGACTATTGACTTATTCTAATATAATTATAACAACTATATAATAGAAATAATAATAACATGGCTAACATGGATGTCTTTAAAACATCAACAAAAATTGTTATTTATATTTTTACTTCAATCTAGTAGTTTTAAAAAAATTATTTAAAAGAAATTAAAAAAGATACGGAAAATTATGTATATCCATTCTATTTACGAAGACTATGTGGTCTAATGGTACCCGGGTTGGACTTCCATTTGAAATGTTGTGAGAGTAGTTCATACTACATTGTAATAGAGCCAGCAAACATTTTCTTTATGCACATGAATACAAGAATTTGACCGGTACGTGAAGCTGAGATCATTAAACCTTTTTTAAAAAAAAAAAATTGCTTTGTCCATCATTGAGCATTAATTTTACAAAATGCTAGAGGCCCCTAATATATCAATGTGAAAACATCTAATTGGTAACTAACTTATATTTTGATTAGTGGTAAGGTAAACTGATTAATGACACTCAATAAATGAATGCCATGTTATGAAGAAAAATATTGGTGGTAAAATTTATGAAGGGAAGAAAATATTTTCCATCTTGCAATCACGTGAGGGACATTTAATTATTTGATGCTAAACATTATGCAGAACACATTAAGGGTTGATTAAGTTTGTCGGTGATAATTATATATGCATTCTTTTTTTTTTTTCCTTAATTTATTTTATAAAAAAAAAATAAACAGGCACTATAAATTATTACATGAATCTTTGTCAAGTTGGACCAATAATATGCATGCAAAATGGATGGCCAAATGGGTTTATCCTTGTTGGGTAGCATTTCGAATCAATGAACATTGTATTTTAATTTGTAAATGATCACAATTTATTTACACTTGTATCATCTTTGTTATAGGCATATGATGAATAGAGCGCTATCAACCATGCTAAATAAGGTTCGTATATATAATTATATTGCATGAAACAAGAGCTTTGATGACTAGTAATTAAATATTGTGATTAATTTTTCTTATTATTGCTATAATTGTGATTCTTATTATATAAATAAGACCTCCCATCATCCCCTATTACTCTAACTTGTTGCCACCAAATTAAACCTAACTACTCGCTAACACTTCAATGTACATTGACTTCTGCAAAAAGGGCCACCAATTTTACCTAATAAGCTAAGCTATCCACATTTAAGTTTCAGAACCCATCTCTCCAAAGAATCCAAAGTTTTTTTTTTTTTTTTTTTTAAAACTAAATATCTCAACTTACGTTAGACTATATCATAAGTCTTTAAGACCTTGTCCCTAGAGCTGCTTGAGAAGGTAAATCATAAATTGTTCAAAAAGCCTCTAAATCACAGTAGAAGGTGCATCTACGTATAAAAAACTTTCACCGTACTGATACCTCACCACAAGTTTCAACAGGATTTGAACTATGACACTAGAGCAAGACTAACAAGGCTGGTTGCAAGCCATATGAGCTAGCTATATATGAGGAATAATGAATTTATACAAATATGGGAATGGCAACACTTACGATATCATAAAAAAAAAAAAAATAATAATAATAATAATAATAGTAATAACGGGTCTAAGCCCTCAAGAAAGTTATTATACACACAAAGACATATAAAAGTGATTATGATGAGTCGTCACTCAATATGTAAATTGGAATTCTAGTAATGTTTGGAAAGATATTTGGCAATATAGCAAATATACATTGCAAGAATAAAGCATGTGTTTGAATGAGCTAAGAGTGGATAACGACGGGTAGCCCAAATGGAGCAAAATAGATACAAAGACAATGGATATCACACGTCTCTGTCTCACATCAATTTCCCCAAATGCAACAAGAGACAAGCTGAGTCTAAGTGGGCCTCAGTTACAGGCTATGGAGCCAGAAAGCCCAATTAGCATTGGAGGAAACAGCCCAAAAACGAAATTTTGAATTCCTCGGCCCATCTCGACTAACTCTTTTTTTATTTTCTCCATATCACACGAAATTTGTATGATACATATTGTTGGATTGTAAGCTTCTTCTCTTAAATTCCCAACTCCAAGAACTCCTTACACTTCAGTTTGACAGAACATTTAAAACGATGTAAATTCTGGTGACTTACGAATCAACAGACAGGACACACAAGGGATCTATTCTCTTTATAGACATAATCAATACACTGTCATCCTCGTAATTTAAACATTGGTGTTTTCTCACAAATATTGTTATAGTGTAAGCTAAGTTGATGGTACAGCTCCAAAAAAAAAAATTGGAGATGAGTTTTTTAGTTTCAAGAGTTGCGTAAACCACAGCATAAACCTTAGCTTTACAATGACATGTCCGTCCTAAACCGAAACCAGCCGTTTTCTTGCACAAAGTAGTTTACATCACGATTTATCTTCATAGTACGACGGCGTTTTGTCTGCGATGTTTCTGTGATATTGGTAACCACAACATCTTTCCATTTGTGGCCCCTGAATTTCTTGCATTACTGGTGCGCTAAAATATGGTAATATTGTGAATAATGTGGAAAAGCAAGGGTAGTCTTGGGAGCGTACACATATAAAGAGGCAGTGGGGAAAGCCTCATTTTTCAGCGTCTGAAAAAGCGCAGAGGAGTTTCTGTTATCCTTTTTGGTAGTTTTTGTGTAGCTCCGTCACTCCTTTTCTCTCTCTCAAATTCTTGAGATTTTTCCGTCCACTCACGATAGGGTTTCTCATCGATTCATCCGCTTCACACTCCGTCGTGGCAGCCATGATTTCCGATTCAATCCCCAAGGCTTCGATCCCCATGGCCTCTTCTAACCCTAAGGATTTAGCAAAGAAAAAGAGGGTAATTTCAATTCTTCTTTTGTTTTGTGCTAATTCGTTTTTCATTTTTGTCTTTTAAGGTAATTGTGTTGCTGTGATTGGGTAATATTTTTCATTTCTGTATTATTTTTTTTATTTTGGAATTTCAGTCTCATCGTTCGGCCAAGTTGAAGCAGTACAAGCTTGATGCTAGGCGCGAGCAGTGGCTTTCACAAGGTTTGTCAAAGATTTCTTTTTGTCGTTGAGTTGGAGACTGGTCTTGTTTTTTTCATTTCTATCTAAAATTTCGCATTTTGTTTGCTTGTTTTGTGATTCTGGTTTTTTTTTTCTTATAGTGAAGAATAAGGGACCAAAGGAGGAGCTGAATTGTCTAGGAGGGACTTGTGGTAGTGTGAAAGGTGTGGATGAAAGGCCCCGGTCTATAGAGAAGCTAGAGATAATCCCTAGGGGGGAAGAGGATAATGAAGGATCGGTTAACAATTACAGTGATTTGGACTCCCCTGCTAACAGCCCCACCAACCACCCAAGCATTGTCTTGGGTGGGAATGATTCCGGTACAAACTTTAGTGGGAGCAGTGGTAGTAGTAGCAGCAGTAGCACCAGTTCCAGTGGCCAATGTTGGTCAGGGAGCATGAGTGAAGAAGATGAGGAAGGGAATGATGGTTGTTTGGATGATTGGGAGGCTATAGCTGATGCTTTGGCTTCCATAGATGAGAATCATGGAAGTCAGCATAATTCTAGTTTGGATTCTCATCATGGGAGAAATGAAAGTGTTGTTCAATCAAGTTCGCAGGCAGAGTTGTTGGGTGTAGATAATTCCAAGGCAAACCTGGAGACATCCAGACCCCCTGCAAATTGCCGAGCATGGAGGCCTGATGATGCATTTCGTCCTCAGAGTCTGCCCAATTTGTCCAAACAGTATAGTTTTCCTATGAATTCAGAGCGACATTACCGTGGAGGGTCTGTATGGGGTTGTAGGAATTTATCAGTACCAACATCATGTCCTATTTGCTGTGAAGATTTAGATTTCACAGACACAAGTTTTCTCCCTTGTTCATGTGGGTTTAGGCTGTGCCTTTTCTGCCACAAGAGGATTCTTGAGGAGGATGGACGCTGTCCTGGTTGCAGGAAGCAGTATGACTGTGACCCTGATGAGGGGGAAGCAGCTGTTGATTCTGGCAGCCCAGCAATCCGATTGGCTCGTTCGTGTAGTATGATCTCTAGGTCCTAAGGAAGAATCTCTTCCCAATGCACATGTATGCTAGGTCCCTTTTACAGTGTGACTTAAGTGTGTTCTTACTCTTGTTAGACTATCATTAGACTGATTTTTCATAGTAGCACTAGACATTGATATAGGAATATGATTCTGGAAAGCACAAGGGAATTATTTTGGTTCCCTTGTGATTTTTCATCGGATGTATGGTGCATGTGCTGAATTAGAAGAAGAATATTGCTTATGTGAGTGAGTACTGAGTAGGCTTGGTGGTATAGAAATTTAAAATGCAGAATTTGACTGCAATAAAGTTCTCTTTGTTGGTTTGATTTTGCACTTGTCCTATCAATAATGTGATAATATTAGATTTGGTTAATGGTTTTGTACAACACATATTCTATTATTGTGTTTGCTTCTTACCTGTAAACCTTTTAGTTTCCAGTGAACCATACTTTGGTTTTGTTATTCACTTTCACAAAGAAATTGTGGGTTTGATGTGTATTTTAGCATGCATGCTTTTGGGCATGGGGTGCAAGATGTTTGAGACTCCATTAAAGTGCTAATAAGAAACAAACATCTCTAGCATTGCATTGGGACTCATTTAATTGATCATTGGACTTGAAAATGTTACTGGAACTCAATACCTTTTAACAGACACTACTCATATTTTGCAGAAGATAAGTCAAGATAGATATAGACCACTGAAACTCCTTTTTGGTACCTGTTAACTGATAAATGAAAGAGAGTACAGTTTATTGGCTTCTAACTCTTCCAACAATATCACCAATACAACAACAGTAAGACAAGAAAAAAATGTTTCTAAATTGATAAGCTGAAACAGAATAAATACACACAAAAAATTTTCTGGTTTCAGACTATAGTAGTTGATGGTCCATTTGACCACCCCTGGCTTCTCACTCTATCTCCACATCCATAAACTTAGAAGCTGGTCTCGGCTTCAAGATAATTTCTTTTGCAATTCAGTGACAATTAGGAATTTTAATGTGGAAAGTGTTCGACATCCCTTGCATGTCTTATTCCTCGAAGCAGACTTTTTGCTGTTTCCTTCTCCTGCATGAATTGCAAAATTCAGTGAAAAAGAATCACCCAATATTCGGGCACAAGTGCCACTCTAGCTGTCATTTAAAACTACTCTGCACTTATTAAACACAGAGGGGTCTTTAAGAACAATATAAAGAAGAGGTAGATTTTAACTTACAGGACCAGCACAGTCAAGAAGCCGGGTACAATAAACCTCTGCTTCTTCAAATCTCTTTTGAGTTTTGCAGTGTCTGGCAAGAAACAGTAAAGCCTCAACCATGTTGGGTGCTTCCCTGTCCTCAGCATCCATCTTCTCCAAATCCTTCTGGTAGTAAAATGCTGCTTCTTCAGAACGTCCAAGTTCAGAATGCAATTTCGCTAGCTCATGAAGTGCTATTGCTTCCCGATCATTGCATTTTGCTGCCCTTTCATAACATTTGATTGCCTCCTCGAGCATATGAAGCTGCTCTGTTTTGTAACATTGGGCCATGGCGATCCACAGTCTAGAATCACTTGGCTGCAGGAACACCGACTTCTTAAAATAATGAAGTGCATATAAGGGCATTCCCATCATTTCATATGCTTGCCCTAACCCATACCAGGCCCGATAATCACGTCCATTTATGTCCACAGCCCGCCTATAGGCATCAACTGCTGCTGGAATGTTTTTCATCTCAACATACTCATGACCCATAAGTGTCCAAGCTGATAAAAAATTCTTGTTCAGTTTCAGTGCCCTCCGAAAATATATAACAGACTTCTCATGCTGCCCCTTCAAACTGTAGTAGTTCCCAATGATGCAACATGATTCTGGCCTGTATTTATCTGTCAAAACCACCCTATGGGCAATGCTACTTAAAGCAGAAAAACACTCCTTTGCATAAAGCACATTGGAATACATGTCCATATCATCAATCCTATATGGGTCATTCCTTAGTAGATCATCAAATATAACTTCCACTTCTTCAAATTCACGGAGGTTGTACTTAGCTTTAGCAATCTGGGCCTGGATGTAGTTGCTAAAACTGAATGTTCCTTGTAGATGCTCATATTTTGCCAAAGACTCATTATGCATTCGAAGCTCTTGGTAAGCACTGGCTAGGAAAAAGTCTTTCATCCAGTGATTAGTAAGGTTAAGGTTATTTAGTGTCTCTATTCTGGTGCACAAGGATTGAAGCTCAGACCATGCACTCCAGTTCCATGGAAAGCTGCTCACAGACTCCACAAGTACTGTCCTAGCAAGACTGTCATTGCCTTTTTGCTTAAGAACAAGACCATACAGGTAAAGACAAAAGGAGTCAATTGTTCCACTTTTGAGAAGTGCTGACAACTCCCTCTCAAGAGAAACCAGTTCTTGGTTCACAGCATCACTTCTGCCTAAAGATCCTTCAAGTTCTATTGTTTCTTCTTCTTTACGCTTCTCACCCGCCTTCACAGAACAAAACAAGAACTGAATGTCTACAGCACTTTTGCAAAATATATAAGAAAACTTCATATCTTCTCTATTTAAAACACAAGACTTTATGTATATGAATCTTATGTTGCTGAATCAAGAATCAAATATCATGAGTTCATCATTTTCAGTGCATTCTGAAATCCAGATAAATTAATGGTCATTTGGATAAGTTTATTTTTAGATTATCTACTGCTATAAGCACTAATACTCATTCTTTACTATGTTTGGATAGGCTTATGACTTCTCAAAACTTGTTTGAGCTTATTTTCTACTCCACAGCCAAGTGCAAAGATTTACTACTTTGACATGTCTACTGCTTTCTTTGCATTTAACAACGAATGCAATTTCATTTATTGAATCCTCCAGTGTTTATACTTTTACCTTCCATCTTTGTTGGTGAAATTATGGAGGGAATGCAGAATAGGGTAGAAGATTGACATGAGAATGAAAATTTGAACATTCATTAAAACCCATAATAATGGAAGACCAAGACATGGCTTTCATTTGGAAGAATCATAAAATCCCTTTAAATGCATTAAAACGACATACTCTGCATCTCTTATCCCCTGATTCAAGTGAATGCATATTTTTCTCCTAAATTCCTAATAACCTAATTCTCAATGGAAAAACTAAATTGGTATGGGTAAATTATCTTTCTATCAGCACCATTAGTTTGTGCTTCCAATATATAAGTTCTACTGTTTTTTAAGGAACATTAACAAGGCCCCAAATACACCAAACTACCAAGTGAACAACATAAATCATACAGCAGACTGGCTTCAATTTAAATAGAGATTAAATTGATAGCAGGATTGAAAGCACAAACCAAGTAAAGGGAGTAGTAGCATAAGAACTTGGCTTTCTTGCTCGTCTGATCCCTGAGCACATGTGCAGCTCTCCGGTACTCCCGGCAATCGAAGTACGACTTTGCGAGCAAATAAAAGTCGCTATCAACTGCGTCGTACTCATCTTCCAGCAATGATTGGCTGGCAACATAGGACACACCGGCGGTAGGCGTGGAAGTGAAAGCTGACTCGGGAGTCGCGGTGCGGAAGCGGCGGCGAATGCTCGAGCTTCCACGCTGGAATCGGGTGTGGGATGAGGAGTACTTTGACGGGTCTTGCTCGATCCCAACTAGCTGCTCCGCTGCCCTGTGCCAATATTCGGTTTTTATTCATAAGAAATTTAAATTTAAATAAATAACAAAAGATGGATGGTGGAAATTTACGAAATAAGGGGTTTAGGGTTTATGCTTTTGGGCAGGAGGGGCTTACCATTTGGCGGCGGAGTACAGGCAGCGGTCGTTGAGCTGACGGATTGCGGCGCGGAGCTCATTTCTGTAGTTCTCTTTGGATCCCATTTAAATTTGTGGATACTTTACTCTTCACGGGATAATCACTTGTGTACAACTGAGAAGCATATGTAAGCGAGTGTTATTTGCAAATGGAAATTAATTACACAATGGCTATTAATAGTCTATGGAACGGTGGTGCAGATTCCGGTGATTTCACCGGCGACCGAGTTCGGAGCTTTTCAACAACATTGAAGATACTCCGTAGATTTCTAATACCGGAGTAGTAGAAAAACTATTGAGTATTTCTAAAAGAAAATTCAAATAAGAGTAAATACCAAAATGGTCTCTCGACTATAGTTAAATTTACAAATTGGTCCTCAATTTTTAATTTCAACCAATTAAATCCTTAACTTTATAATTTTAACACAATTTGGTTATCTGTCTATTTGACCGTTTGTTGACTGTGATTTTTGAGGATATATATGTAATTTCATGGTCCATCATCAGTTTTTTAAGGTTCCGGTTGCATTTTCAGACCGCACTGTTACATTCGAATTCACTGCCGAAAGCAATCTACCAAATTCGGTTGCCTTTCTTCATCCTCCATTTGGATTCAATGTAGTTGAGTTCGTACCAGAGCGAAAAAGACGACGTGTTTCCGAACAGGTGCAACGTCATCCTGGAGGCCTCCACGTGCTCCGACGAAGCTGAAGGTTCTTCTGGAGATCGTCGATCACGGTCAACAAATGGTCAAATAGATGGATGACCAAATCGTGTCAAAATTGCAAAGTTAAGGACTTAATTGGTTAAAATTGAAAGTTGATGATCAATTTGTGAATTTAGCTATAGTCGATGGACTATTTTGGGTATTTTATTCCGAATTTATTTATACCTTTAGTCAAAAATTTTTGGATCAAATATTGATTTGATCCCACAAATATTAGCAAAATGACAGTTTCGATCCATATATTTAATTTATATTAATTTTATCATGATTAATATTTTAATATTCATTTTTATCCACGATTATCATTTTAGTGTTTAAATTCATCACACCGGTCATTCCTCCATTTAAGATATGCCGAAATATGTCCACATGGACCGCTCAACGGATCATAGAGATGAAAGTTAAAAAGAATGACTCGGGATCGAGTTTCACCAGCCACAGTGTGGGAGCAACCTCCCAAACAGGGAGGCTCCTAAAGATAGATAGTTTTTATCCTCAAATTAAGATAGATGAGGATAAGAACTGCAAAATATAAATATTTTATTCTAAAATATAAATAATCGATTCTTATTCTTGATTCTTTTTTGTTTGTTTTTTCTTTTTGCAAATTATTCATTTTTTTTTTTTTTTGAAAGCCAAATGAATCAAATTGCATTAGCCACCACGTGCTCAATAAAAGAAGGAGGTATATCCTTCCATAGTGAACGTCCTGCTACTGCAGTTACATGTTTAGATAAGGAGTACGCCACATGATTGGCCTCCCTATTAATAAAACAAACGAGTTCCAGGCAAAGCACTAATTAAACGATTACAAGTCAAAATAGTGAAACTAAAATAATTGCGAAACGAACTAGCATAACTAAGACCCGAGACCAAAACTGATGAGTCCGTGTAAATTCTTCCACCTGAGTACCCATTATCGTTCAACCAAGAGAGGGCTTCACACATCACCATTGCTTCCACTATGAGAGGATCATACGGACACGCCAAAGGGTCATTATATTCATATTTATTATATTAAAAATAGTAAAATAATGGGTATAAATAATTTTAGAACATTATGGCTTCTCGAATTACGAATTTTTTATTTATTGCTAACATTATTATTATTAAGTGTTTGACGGGAAGTTAAAAAGGAAAATTTTATTTTTTAATAATAGTATTGATTGGAGTATTGATGGAATAATGTTGTTGAATATGAATATGAATTTTAATATTGTTGTATTGTATATTTGTATTATGAATATGAATTTTAATGTAGAATTGAAGTAAGAATAATAAACTAGGAAACAATATATTTTATTATGAATTGTATTACACTATTTTACAACGTAAACCTTAATAGTATATACTGTTTTGGGCAGAAAGTTCAAATTTATGATTTTGTTTTATTAACAGTATAGATATAGATATATATTATTAATAACCGATTCGTTATATTCATATTCATTAGATTATTAGTAAAATAACGCGTAGAAATAATTGTAAAACATTATGACTTCACGAATTAAATATTCTTTTTCCGTTTTATTTCTAATCTTATTAGTTATTATTATTAAGTATTCGGACGGGGAAGTTAAAAATAATGGTTTTGTTTTTAATAATTGATTCTTTTCTTTTTATTTTTTTACAAAATATTTCTTATATTCATATTCCTTAGATTAATAGTATAATAACGGGTATAAATAATTTTAGAACAATATGGTTTATCGCATTATGATTTTTTTTTTTTTTACTACTAACCTTATTATTATTAAGTGTTTGCGTAAGAAGTTAAAAAGGAATATTTTATTTTTAATAACAGTATTGATTGATTGGAGTAGTGACAAAATAATATTGTTGAATAAAAATAGAAATTTTAATATTGTTGTATTGTATTACGAATAAAAATTACAAACTTTAATAGTATATACTGTTTTAGATAGAAAGTTAAAATGAAGAATTTTATTTTTATTAATTGTATAGATTGCTTATTGGCACCAAAGAGATTTGGGGTCTTCTCCTTCCCTCTCTTCCTATGAAGTATTCATATAGAGGAGATTCAATATGTCTTATTAAACCAAAAAAAAAAGATAAGTCTGTAAAAATTTATTTTGTAGAGTTTTCCTTCTGTTTTGTTAGACGAAATATTTTCATTTCATTTATTTTATAACCAAATGCACTTTGAATTTCCTAATCATTTAGACCGCTTAAAAGGGAAATAAAATTGGTTTCAGAAAAAAAAAAGGGAAATAAAATAATTGAGTAGGTGAATTTAATAAAGCAAAACAAGATCCTAGTACGTGAGAACGGCGTAATTAGTTTCCCTACATTTCCTAATTCCTACACTAGCCTTTCCCAAAATCAGCAGAGTCAACGGCAAATCCGAAATTAATACGGCGTTCAGAGGACAGAAACGTCAATGCATACCAACAGGGCGCGGGCTCCCAGATAGAGTGCAAAAATAATTGGGATTCAAATTCCCGCTTTAACGATAACGAATTCGAAGTTTGAAAAAAAGCCTCCTTTCCGCCCCCGCCATTGCTAACAAAACAAACTAACCCTCCCATCTCCATTTCTCTCTCAAATCTTAAATTCTTTGCACCTTTATATACACATATACATATACATGCAAAGAGCAGAAATTATACTTAGAGATAAGGAATTGATCTGATATGGCTTCGAAGGATTCTGGATCTGTTTACTCCCGAAAACAGAAATCTCTCGGTCTCCTTTGCTCCAAGTACTCTCTCTTTTTCACTTCATGTTCCTTCTGAAAAATCGATTCTTTTGTATGAATTGGAGAATTGATTGGTGCGTGTCTGTAGTTGTATGCGTATTTGTGTACTTGATTAATGTGCCGTGTGGATTTATGCAGTTTTTTGAGCTTATATAATCGCGAAGGCGTCGAAACCATAGGGCTTGATGACGCAGCAATGCGGTTGGGGGTTGAGAGACGGCGGATCTATGATATCGTGAACGTTCTGGAAAGCGTTGGTGTAAGATCTTTTAATTTGGTGATTGGGCCGGGTTTTGGATTGCTTGGATGAATTGTTTAGTTGTTTACTGGATTCTTTCAGGTTCTTGCGAGAAGGGCTAAGAATAGATATATGTGGAAAGGGTTTGAAGTGGTTCCAAATGTTCTCCAGGAGCTCAAGGTACAATTGTTGTTTTGCATAATTTGTTTGCTGCATACCGTAATTTGTGGAAAGGGTTTGACCTTCATAATTTGCTTGCTGCTAGAAATCAGGAGTTGAATTTACTTCATTTTTTTTAATGATTTCAACAATGGAACAGGAAGAAGGTCTAAAAGAGGGGATTGGTGCATCTGATAGAAGTTTGTCACTGCAAGTAAGTTCTTTTAGGGCTTAAATTTGGTTATTTTATCCAAGGTTATTGCCAGCACTAAAATGCATATCGTTTTCCCTATCAGGTGTCAGACGATGACGATGATATGCATCACTCAAACCCCAATGCTTCAAATCAGAATGACAAATCTGAAGCAACTTCTGTTCTTAGGCTAGCAGGGCCTCCTAGGACTGGTATTTCCAACTTCAATTCTCTATCAATCATGAAAAATGTTAGCTTTCACTTCTTGTTTGCCTTATATACATTATGCATTTAACAGACAATAGAAAGGAGAAATCTTTGGGGCTTCTTACACAGAATTTTATCAAACTTTTCCTCTGCACCAATGTGAGTTGGAAGTCTTTTGATTGCCAAATCTTTCATTTTCATTTCACTCTATGAATGTGTTGCAACAAAAAAAGAAGTCCTCAAACCCATCAACTTTGTGTTTATTGCTCTTCCTTCAGATGGAAATGATTTGCCTGGAGGATGCTGCAAAATTCTTGCTGGGTGATGGAAGGCCTCCATCAATGACAAAAAGTAACAATCCTTTATTTTTGGTTCAGTAATTTGAATTCTTGCAATGATGGTTGATCTAGATCTGTTTTGATTTACAGTCTTTCTACCTTTTTGCAGATAAAGTTAGAAGGCTGTATGATATTGCCAATGTTCTGTCTTCAATGAAATTTATTGAGAAGGTAATCATCCAATTTGGCTAAATATTTTTAAAGCAGCTGCATCACATAAACATTTGCTAGGCAAAGCCTAGTATCAATTTGAATTTTGTAATAAAGACTTTTAAAAATGCTGGTCTATTGCTTGATGTACAGACTCAACACCCGGAAACAAGAAAACCTGCTTTTAGATGGCTGGGGTTGGAAGGCAAATCAGCTGACATGTCAGAGATTAATTTGGGTTGTAATCAATCCAAGAAGAGGGTATTTGGGACTGAGCTCACAAACACGCCTATTAAGAGGTGTAAATTGGTCCCCTTAGTGGATGGTGATGCAGCAGAGACAAAGCTGGAAGCCCAAATCAAATGCGGGAGTCTGGACTGTGAGGCCAACATATCAACTTTGGATCCTGGTTCAAGAACAAGTGCAAAGGGTTATCAGTTTGGTCCTTTTGCTCCTGTAAGTGTGCCCAAAGATGAAGCCCATGAAAGTGGTCACGGATCCCAACTACTTAGTGATTGTGAAAGTTTAGCATCTACTTGTCGCC